AGGGTGACGCAGGGTTTACTATAATATTACTGATACTAGGGCCGTCCGGATATCCCCATAAAATGCTTATGCTTATGTGCTTTTTGGGCCCCTAATATAATAGCCATAGTGATAGTAGTAATAATACCAAATAACGAGGTCCTACATGCCGTGACGTTTGTGAGCATTGAACTCTACCTAGAAGAAACCAGGGTCGTGAAAAAGGTAGATGTAGGGTCATACCTCCCGTTTTACAAGTCCATTAGCTACTCTAAGTAACCTCAAGCTTAGGCCCGAAAAAAATCCACAAGTTCAAACTCCCAAACCCCCGCGCCCAAGACCCCAAACCCAAACAATATCTTGAGCCCGAAAGCCAGAGCCCTAAACTCCAACAGCCAACACCCGGTCCCAAACTTCAAGCCCTCAGCCCCCATAAACAGCAACAAGGATAACAATGATAACAATAATGGCGATTATCTTAACAAGACTGCTAACAACACTGGCAGTAGCAACACTACAATCAAATATACAACTATCTTTTGCATGGTTCGAGATTAATATTAGATCCTTGTCAATGAGTCAAAGGAGGCCCCAAAAAGCCCTTGTGGCGGATCCTCGCTGCAAAGCACCCCAAAAGCGCCCGAAGCGGCGAAGAACGCGTTTCTGGGCGGCAAGGAGCCGCACTTGCTCGCCTTATGGGGTTTAGGGTTCAGGATTTCGGGTTTAGGGCTTCTTAGCGTTTAGGGTTTATAGGAGGGTTTGGGGTTTAGGGGTTTAGGGGTTTAGGGTTTGGAGTTTCGGACTTTGTGATAGGAGGTGCAGGGACCTACTATATACGGGGTCGCCAAGACGATTGTGCTAGGGCCTTTCATGTGTTGCTAGGGGCTAAGGACCAGGTTTTTAGAATATTTCGGGCTTCTGGCAGTGCTCCTTCCATCCCTGAGCTCCGCCTGCCGGGGTTGTATCTTTTCCATCTGTGCCTGTTTAGACTCATGTTAATTACCTTCTATTTGCCTTTAGTTTGCCTTCTTTTCAAACTGACATCTGTCTTTGTCTCCATGAATCGGACCTTCTAAGCTTTAGAGTTTTTTCCCCTCCTACTTGGCAAGGACGAGGTCCGCATTGGAGGTTTAGAGTTTAGGGTGTAGGGTATGGGCTTTACGCTTTCGCAACTCGGACTCGCCAAACGAGGTCTCTGTGTTCGGGTTGCCCAAGGGTTGAGGGTGTAGGTTTCAGAGTCAACTTCTGATGTTTGCCTTTGTTGGCATCGGTAACACCTTGAACTTCTGGAGGAATCACTTCCAGCTTGGATACTCACAGTTCCTGCATTGCTTTCTCGGACAAACCTGAGGAGGCCTTCAACAAAAAAACTATAAACAACGCGATTCCATTATCGTGCTGATGCTCTGCTCCAACATACACATCCATCGAAGCCTGGAAGAATGGGACTCTCAATCAGACCTGGTCTTCTTTGTAATTTAGGGTTTAGGGCTTTAGGGCTTAGGGGTTCAGGGGTTTCGGTTTTATTGTGCTGACTTCCTAGGATATCCATAGGCTTACCTACTCACACTCTGAGTTGTAATACTTTGATATGGATAACCATGCTATGTACTACTGCCTCTTTACGGCATGAGTCCTACAATTATTGAGAACATACTGCAGCCCAACAAAGATCAACAATAAGGAGCAACATGTAACGGTGTGTGCATGGACCATTCTTAGGGCGGTAGGCGGAGGGGGTAGGGGACTATACTTCCTTAAACAAGCCCGTATTGTAGAAATTAAGGCTCCCTACCGCCCTCCCCCTTACCCACCTAAGGGTCCATATGATGTATGGGTTGTCTTTGAGACTTCGGCTCGACTCTCTTTAACTCTGAGACAAAAGCCGCGTGACAATTCAGCAAGGCATCGTTGGCCTGCGTCGCCTCAGATTCCAGGCAGCATCGGTCAAAAAAACCTGATCCACTACCTACCTCGCTCAGAATCTATTTGCCTGAGGAGCATACAGGTCATGGTACGTGGTGGTTTCTGAGTCGTTTGGAGCCCATTGGCTGGATGGTACCCTGTTCTGGAGGCTGCAGCAGAAGTACATCGCAACGGGTGGCAGAGGGATGCCCCACAGGGAAGGCTGCAACAGGCCACCCATCGACCCCTTACACTCAAACCCCTCTATAGGGGCCTTAATGATTAGAATAGGGTTTTGAGGCCTATTATATTATACCATAACTCTAAGAAGGAACCCCCACACTGATGTAAGTAATTGTTAAGGCTCCTGTATTAGACCCCTAAACCCTAAAAACCAAAAGACGTAGACTAGTCAGGCTTGTCTCCCATCTCAATCAGTAGGACACATCCTCAGGTCCCCAACCCAAAGGGTCCTATGTACTGTTATGGGGGTTGCTTCCCTAACTCATAATGGTGATTCCTAACATGGAAACCCTACATTCTACTATATCGGTCAATAGGACCCTTTGGGTAACCCATGAAGGGCAAGCCCCTGAGAGTTTATGGTGGAAGGTTTAGGCATTAAGTTTAGAGCGTGGCCCGTAACCCCCAAACTATTCACACTTCACCAAAGCCCTCCAATGCTTAACCCTGCAAAACCAATGCCCAAAACTCCCAAGCCCTGTACCCCAAACCCCCAAGCACTAAACCTTATAAACCAATACCCTTTTCAGCATGGGCTTGGATTGTGTGCCAGCGAACACTCCTCCAATACACTAAACCCTAAACCACCAAAGGCTCAACCCTAAGCCATCCTAAACCAAAACCCTAAGCCCTAAACCCCCAAACGCTTAACCCCAAACCCAAACCCTAAACTCTAAACCCCCAAACACTTCACCCTTAACCCATACCCTAACCCTAAACCCAAACACTGAACCCTATAAACCCAAGCCCCTATTCTTTGCCAAAGATACCTGGGCCTTAACCGAGCCCCAACCGATATTACAATATAGTATACTTGCAAACTAATATAGGAATATAGTAAAATTACAATACAGTATACTTGAAAACAATATAGGAATACAGTATAATACGGTATGGTACAATTTGTTTAGCATAGAGGTATATGCATAGTGCGGAGTACAAGGGAACACTGCTAAGTGGCAGGGTGCGGTGAGTTGCAGCGCATACCCCAAAGTGTCCTGGGTACTGTTATGGGGAATACAAAGCCCCCAAATCAAAATACTCAATTCCCAATATAAAGATCCTACATTCGAATTACTACTGTACAGGTACTTTACGACTGTTTGGGATATGGCACAGCTCCACGATCGAAACTGCTACGCCCTCCATCCTGAACAGTCTTCTCCAACCTGCAAGGAGCTCTTCTTAAAAGAAGAATTCTTCATACCGACATTCGCTAATTACTCTGTTCAAGACCAAGTCTCCTGCGCGTCGTCAAATCGATTTTCCGTTCGCCGGGCTCGGCCAACCCACCCCACGGATAGCCACGTCGTGAAGAGAAAGTACAAGCAGACCTTAAGAAGCATCTTAAGCTGAAGCCCCACACCCTCATCCATCAGGATTTATAAGACTCAGGGATTGGGGTGGGGGATGGAAACGCTGCTGCCAAGGGTGGTGATGCTGCGGTGGTGATAACGACAAAACTCGCACGCGGATGCCCATGCTGTTGTGCCGATGACGTCGTTCTCGCTGGCAGTGTTTTCAGCGCTCGCGCTTGACATAGTCAGACGAGGATAAAGGCGGTGTTACATGAGTGATGGTAACGATGAGGCTCATGATGCTGCTGCTGATGATTCTGTTGATTGTTTGGTTGATCGATTGACTGGTTTGATTGCATGACGTCACAGCAGCCGAGACTGAAACCGTAGCACTAGCCAGAGCGGCAAAAGTAGTGAAAGCAGTTGCAGCAGCAGTAGCTGTCGGGTCGCGGCAGGAGGAGGAGGACGACGACGACGACTACTACTACTACTACTACTACCACTACCACTACCACTACCACTACCACTACTACTACTACTACTACTACTACTACTACTACTACTACGACTACTGCTACTACTACTACTACTACTACTACTGCTACTACTACTACTACTACTACTACTACTACTACTACTACTACTACTACTACTACTACTACTACTACTACTACTACTACTACTACTACTACTACTACTACTACTACTACTACTACTACTACTACTACTACTACTACTACTACTACTACTACTACTACTACTACTACTACTACTACTACTACCTGCTCCTGCTGCTGCTGCTGCTGCTGCTGCTGCTGCTGCTGCTGCTGCTATTGCTACTCCTACGACTACTACTACTACTACTACTACTACTACTACTACTACTACTACTACTACTACTACTACTACTACTACTACTACTACTACTACTACTACTACTACTACTACTACTACTACTACTACTACTACTACTACTACTACTACTACTACTACTAACTACTACTACTACTACTACTACTACTACTACTACTACTACTACTACTACTACTACTACTACTACTACTACTACTACTACTACTACTAAACTACTACTACTACTACTACTACTACTACTACTACTACTACTACTACTACTACTACTACTACTACTACTACTACTATACCACTACTACTACTACTACTACCACTACGAGAGCTAGGCTTGTGCCAATACTTGTACTACTAATAGTACTGCAAGTGCTAGCACTGGAACCGGTAGCACCGGTACACATACTAGAGCTAGTGCTGTAGTATCTAAACCATGAGTACTACTAACATTAGTACTGGTGACTAGTCTATCCCGGTGAGGGTTTCGGAAACCCAATCAGGCTCAACGATTCAGTCCAACAGCGCGTGCCCGCACAGGATCGGCAGCTGTTTTGCGGCTCTTGCATTAAGTGCGGACGGTCCGTATCAGGTCTGAAAGCTTTTTGCTCAAAGCCTTTATGCCCTACGCTCTATGAGCGATGGAACAGGACCGGACCATACATCAGTGCTACACCCGTCGGGCTGCCGTAATGAACCCTGTTCGTGCAGTCACTGGCAATGATTCAGAGTCCAAGCGCGGCTATTTGCTCTGCTAAAGACTTGCCCAGCCTTCGCGAGCAAATTGAAAACGTTCCCGCAGTTGCAGCTGTGTGCAACCTGAACTGGTGTACGATTATTCAAGTTGAGCTTGTGTAGATCAGCCCGGGCGAAAACCAGCAGGCGCGCAACTGGCAGGACGCCCCTTGCAGACGCAATATGCAGAGCCGTACTGCCGGTGTTGTCCTCAGCTGCTTTTCCCAAAACGAATCTGATGCGGGCCCACCCTCCTTACAGACCGGACTTGTAGTTGAATTACAAGCATGCAAGTCCTGATCTCCTGGGGACTCCTAATCCCTAATCGTGAAGTCTGTGCATATACACTCAGATGCCAAGAATCGGAGAAGTTTATGTCAGCCTGCTTCTCAAGCAGCAAGCGGACGACGGCTACATGGCATGACCCGGATGCGTCAGAAGAAGAGCCTTTGTCATGAAGCACCTCTACGTGGCCTCCCCAACTTGCTTCATGCAAAGGAGTACTGCCACGGTCGCTGGCAAGGTTGACATCGGCACCAGCAGTTAGCAGCAAGCGCACGATCTCCACGAAGCCCCGACCAGCCGCTGTCTGCAGTGGGGTGATCTTGTCAATGTCGGCCTTGTTGACATTGACAGAAGCCTCTAGGAGCACTCTGACAACTTCGACCAGGCACCGCCCGCTAGCGATATGAAGCGGGGTCAAACCTGAGCTGTTCCTGGGCCCTTCAACAACTAAAAGTTGTCTTCCCCCTTAGGGAACATCTCTATCAAACTGTAAACTGCAAAAAAAGGCAAGAAGGGCTCAGCAACCACACTTGTCAGGCTTGTCTTTGTTAATCTTCGATGTCAATAAAAGTTGCACCACCTGCACAAAGCCGCTGCCACAGGCCTCAAAGTGCTCTCAGGTGGATTTCGTGGCTCTAATCCTGAACCCGTAACCGTTTGGCTGGGAACCCTAAACTATACTGAACTTAGAACCCAAGCAAAATTATAATTTTAGCTGTTTCTTAGGGATTATAGTAACCAAAACTTGAAAATATTTCTAACCCTAAACCCAGGCTGGAGGCCTCTACACCCCAAGCGCATCCGAGTCGCGATGTGCAAGGAGTTGGAGCCAGTCTTATCCGGTCTGTTGGCATCAGCCGAGGCCTTGCAATCCCTAAGGGTCCATGTACTCATATAGTATCTACGTTGGCCTTAATGTAGTCCCTATATAGGTACATGGACCCTTAGGGAATTTGGGTCAAGAAGCATCGGCCCGGACTCACAAACAAACTCCAAACCCTCAAGCCCTCGAGCCTCGAACCCTTAAATTGTAGACCCTTCGAGCATCCTTTGAAACCCTAAACCCGGACCCTTTTTGCACAGGCGTGTGTGAATCCCGCCTGGATGTGTCGCACCCGTTCTCGGAACAAGGCCAGACACAGAACGAAATCATAAACCCGGACCCCAAACCCTTACCCTAAGGCCCTAAACCCTAGAGCTCAAAGACCCGGGACAGGGGAAATCCGTCCAACCACGAACTTCCCGCAGCCTGTCCCAATTCCTTTCTATGAAGGTCTTTCGGTTTTTGTTTGCAGCAGAGTTTCAAAGTGGCACATAGACAAAACGATCCTAATTTAATTTCGGAGTAAAAGGGCGCCTGTAATGAGAGGGATTCCGGAAAACCCTAATTGTGAGATCCTTCTGTTGCGGTGGTCTTCTGGACCGATTTAGAGGGCCTTCAGGGATACCGAACCCTGAAACACCCCAAACCCTAAAACCCCAAAACCCCAAAGCCCTGAAGTTAAAACCCTAAACCCTAAAGTCCAACCCTTAAAACCTAAACCTTCAAACTCTCGAGCCCGACCTGCAAGAGCACCTGCACGACTTGCCCGAAATTGCCTCCGGTAGCCACCTGGTGGTAGTCACGGAGAGAATGCCTACGTCTTACCTCCCAAAAAAAAATTACCAATACTGTGTTCCGGGGTTCCTTTAAAGGCTACCTTAAAAGGGCTCTATAAGGGTCCACAGTAGGGTTCTGTAATATAGGGGCCTAAATAACTACCAATAGCATTTTGGGGGGCTCTTTGTTATGGTTATAGTATAGTGGGCCCCAAAACCCTGTTCTAATTATTAAGGCCCCAAATTGCCCACGAAAGGGCTTGTGCAAGGAAGTCACCACATGAAGCCCTAAATACAGCCATGTCTTCCAGGACCAGGCGGGTGTAGGAGTACTCGATCCCCAACCGAAGCTAGTCCGATTCTTGCTTTTGGCCGGCCCAAAAACCTTGCCTCCTATGGAAACGGCGTTGAGGCTTCAGGGCCTACTAGGGTTTTCCTAAACACTTAATGAAACCCTAAAGCCGTTTTACTAGCACCGCATCCCTGTTTTGGTCGCAGAAAAAGCTCCACCTGCAACGGTGTGGAGCCGATATAGTTCGCCTTGTTCATATCAGCTCTTGCCTCAAGGGCTAAGCGGCAACGGTTTAGACGGTTTCGGGTTTCAAGTCTAGGCTAGGGTCTGGGTGCATGGAGGCAGGGAGAGGGTGTGGGGGTTGGGGACCTATGGCGACTTGCAGATGGGAATCTGCTGAGTCTGGAAATGCCGCTCTGGCTCTCTCTACGCCCAATCTGGCTTAAAGGAGGCTTCAAGGCGGCTTTGAAGGGGCTTTAAAGATGGCTTGAAGGGGGCTTTAAGGGGGCATTAGGAATTGGAACAAGGTTTCTGCTCCGTTGAAGTTGACTGTAACAAGGAACCCTGAGGAAAATATTATTTAGGCTTCTAGATTATTTGATTGCGATATTCGGGTCTCATGTGTTCCTGAAATTGTCAGAAGCATTTGTGGCCTGGCTTCGTCAAGCTTTATCTCTAACGAGGCACGCCAACCGATACTGGGTTTAGAAGCCCTAGCAGAAGTACAGAACCTGCCAAAACATCCTGTGAATCCCAATAACGCCTTTTATAAACCCCTCAAACCTAGCCCACACCCCACACCCTGAACCCCGAGCTCGAGGGGAAGCAAGAGTGCTCACAGAAACTAATGGGTATGTAGATCCTGATGAGGAAGTCTCCTACCGCTAAGGCCCTTAAACGTTTCACCCGGGTTTAAGAAAGTAGGGCTTATCCCCATGTTGGGATTTACAAATGGGCCCCCCGTGCTTTGAGGGCCTCAATGCTAGCAACCCCGCCACATTCTGTTTTAAAGTAGAAAGTATATTAAACAGAGTCTGATTCTGTCTATCTACTCGGCACACAGCAGTGACGACGCAACAAACACACGAACAAAATCGATGTCGGTGGTTGCAAAAGAAGACATCCGTAACACCACCGCTTGAAGTTTCGCATTCCAGCCTTCATGAGATATCGCACGACATCCGTGTTCCCAGTGCTTGCCGCCTTGCAGATTGGAGTGCAGTCATCAGCATCGGCCTTATTGGCGTCAGCCTTTGCCATGAGGAGTAGGTGCAGAATCTCCAGGTTACCTTTGAATGTCGTGCCAGCACAAACAGAAGAAGGGAAATAATCACAAATACCGTTGACTTCACCAGCAATCACATCAAGAATAATCTTCAGTTGATGCTAACAATACAAACCAAAAGTACTACTGAACAATTATTACCATTACTACTAAAAATATTCATGTGTTTGAAACAATGATAATGCTGCTAGAAACAGCAATACTGAATTAACACAGTATTAACGGTCTTACTTCAATCTTAGTGCCTTTAGACCCAACAAATCACCTAAACCCTCATCTGAAGGCTGTCTCCAGGCGACCTTTGAAGGACGCCTCATACAAGGCGGTACCACCGTTCGAGCTTGCCTTGTTAAGTTCCGCCTTCGCCTGAACGACCTGAGTTCTTGATATGGAAGCCAATACCATAATAAGGATCTATAATAAATGCCGGGCACCCAGAGCAAAATGATGGGGATCGAAAGTAAATATTAACACGAACCTAGGATCCGTGGCAAATATAGGGTTTCCGCGTTTCCTTATTATGGTAACTTACGTTAAGTTCCTCAACAAGAACCCAGACACAGAGTGGACGACTGCAATGTCGCCGGACTTCACCGCAATATGCCTCGGTGAGGTGCGTTTAAAGAGTTTATGGCAATTGCGGGGTTTAGTAATACAGGGGGTTCAAGCTCTCAGGGTTTAGGAGGCCCAGTCCCCAAGTTTACTCACACTCCTACCTGTAAGTTGCACGCTTGAATTCTCGCAGGTCAAAAGGAAGATTTGCACGACCCCCGACTCGAAACTAAACCCGAGTGGCGAGCCTGTCCCCAGCCTCTCGCTCTCGCTCTCTCACACACACACACACACTATCTCTCTCTCTCTCTCTGTCTCTCACTCTCTCTCTCTCTCTCTCTCTCTCTCGCTCTCGGACTGGCGACGCAACCCCTTCAAATAAAGAAAAGTCGCTCCAATCCGAACTCAAGGTGCAACGCACTACACCCTAAAGTTCAAAACCCACCCAAAAAATTAAACCCTGAACACTAAACCAAAAAAACAGCCAAAACCCTAAACCCAAAACCCTAAATCCTAAACCCTAAACCCTAAATCCTAAACCCTAAACCCTAAACCCTAAACCCTAAACCCTAAATCCTAAACCCTAAACCCTAAACCCTAAACCCTGAACCCTAAACCCTAAATCCTAAACCCTAAACCCTAAACCCTAAACCCTTTTTTACCTAAACCCTAAACCGTCCCAAGGTGCAACAGGGTGTCACCAGCACAGGAGCCTTTGCACTCTCCTGGGCCAGGAGTCGCCTTCGCTTGCAAGAGCAAGCTCACAATGCCGATCTGCCCCTTCCTTGGCTTAGGGTTTAATTTAGAGTTTATAGATAGCTTCTCTTGTGAAACGATGTGGTACACCCCTCGATACTGAATAATCGGAAACTAAGTAGTGGAAAACTATTTAGGCCCGTATAGTAATCAGATTTGGACGGTGTAAGACCGGTCCAGAAATTTCGGAATCATCCAAACATGCTTCGTACCGCTACTATAGGGGCCTTAATAATTAGAATAGTGTTTGGGGGGGTATAGTATACCATAACTATAATGAGGAACCCCCAAAATCATTTTAAGAAATTATTTTGGCCCCAATATTGGGTTCAGGGTTGAGGGTCTGAGATTTGGGATGTCGGGTTCCTTGGAAAAAGATTCAGAATTCCTCGTTTCGGACTTCGGGTGTGGGGTGTCAAGAGGTGGGATTTGATGAAGACCAGCTTTCGTAAAAGTCTTGGTCCTATCTGTCTGTCTTCAACCGCTCACCCCTGCAAATGAGAGTTGATTTTACGGGCCATCCTAGTCTCACTTTTTCGTCTCAATGGCAGTTGCTAAAGAAATCTTGCAAACGCAGACCAGTACGAGAACAGGGGTTCCGGCTATTCGGATCCAAGCAGACTAGACACTAGAAGGAATTCCCTATTTTTGTGACGAACATTCGCCGCAATGGCTTACGGTGAGAGTCTCGTACATGTCGTTTTGTGTTTCCACACTGGAGCTTTGCAGACACACTCTGCGCATTTTTGAAGGCTCCGGTGCATGTGGAAGGACATCTCGTGTTAGAGAGTTCGCAGCGTCTCCCAATGGGATTGGTCGGTTGCCGGCGCAAATAACTCAGCAGTCGACTTCATTGCACACAGGTTTGGCACCTGATGACAACATGTGGAAATAACCCGCAAACCCTGTGTTTCTTGACCATCATCGCATTCGGAACACAAACGTCGCATTTTCAAAAAGCACTCGAGTCAAAGACATCGCAGGCCAAACAAACTGAAAGCCACAGATGAGTCCAGAGATCAGGATCCCTCCAACCAGCTTTCGAAGAAAGCAAAACCCTCAACCCCAAAACCCCCGAAGCACTCTATCACACTAAACCCTAAACCCTGTGAGCTGGGACAGCCTCCCCCCCTAAACCCTTAACGAACCGAACACCACAGAACTCGAAAGCAGGACATATTTTTGGACATATGGGGCCTTTAATCCTACCCTTCTCATAGACTGCTACTGTATTAATTGGGGTTTAGGGCTTCTTTGTCATAGTTGGGTAACATTTTACATTTTTATGGGTACTTAAACCCAATAAGGAATAAGAAGTGTTTTTTTTTTGAACGGCCCTGTTCCTCCTCTTTAGGGTTTAGGGGTTGGTTTCTATGGAGCCGCCGGGCTGCTCGAAGGCCAGCCTCAAGGGTGAGTAGCTGTTTCCATTGCTCACGAGGTTCGCGTCGGCCAAGGCTTCCAACCTGGGCCCCCGTAGAAACCCTAAACTTCAATTATCCCAGACTTAAAGCCTAAGGTCTCGTTTCCCAGCTGTGGGCGCCGTTACAGTTCTTGGGCTTCTGTATACAGCCCCCTGGGCACAATGAAGGGGCCTTAACAATCCCAAAGGGTCCTATGTACTGTTATGGGGATACTTCCCTAAGTCATCATAGTAGTTCCTGATATGGAAACCCTACATTCTACTATATCGGTACATAGGACGCTTTGGAAACCTAGTTCATGGTTGGGATAGGATTAACAATTTATGTTCGTATTCCTTATTGGTTTAAGGACCCATAAAAATATAAGTAACATGTTACCCAACTATGACAAAGAAGCCCTAGAGCCCAATTAATACAGTAGCAGTCTATGGGAGGGGTAGTATTAAAGGCCCCATATGTCGATGTTTTGAGTATTATCCAACTGTTACTGAGTGGGGGCAGTATCCAACCAATACCGCTCGGTCTCTGTTTAGGGGAATGAATACTCTGAAACCTTATACATTGAAGTGTACCCTTTAATGAAGGCATATTCTTTCCATCAGACAAGGTACAATCAGAGCTGAAAGACTGCAACACCTCTTAATGACGCCACAGCATGTGCCTAGAAGGACCCTTGTGGGGGTAAGGGGGAGGGCGGCAGGGGGCCTTAATGGTCGGGGACCCTTAATGGTCGTAATAAGGTCTTGACCAGGGTCAGTGAAAGCCGATTTTTTGGAAGTGTAGTACCGGGTCCCAATGACTTACTTGCAGGTCGGATCCTCGACTTGAAAGGTTCAGGGACCCCGGGGCAGATCTTCACACCTAGGGGTTCCAATGATTAAGCAGTCACAGCCCCTGCTGCTATGGTCTACACACCCAGACTTGCCCTCCATCAGCCCTCTACTTGCTGGATGTCTGTTGTCTTGGTTTCGGGTTTACGGTGGCTTATTGAGGTTTTGGGGCTTAGAATCAAAGAAGTCCAAATCACGATGGTAGTTGGTCTCACTACACGTGGTGATGTGTTGCTGCTTTTCTCGCTTCGCGTGCAAGTTCGCGCCGGCTCGCCCCAAAGGGCCACAGGGGAGGTAATCTAGATGCCTTTGGGGCCCATTGTACTATAATCATAATCAGGAACCACCAAACTAGTATTGGGAATTAGTGCTGCCGCTATATCCGTATTCGTGTCCCTGTGGCTTAGTGTTTAGCAGAGGAGCCTGGCCTCCAGGGCTCCAAGATCCCGATCTACTGGGAGTTTCCAAAAATAGGGGACCCTAATATAGTACCCTAAATAGTAGGATCCTTATTATAAGGACCCCAAAATAAGGTACCCCCAATTTTCGGAAACTCCCACTTCGTTGTCCAGTATCCTAGGGGAACAAAGATTACTCAAGTGGGGTATATACAGGGATCATAGTACCCGAAAGAGGTTCAAGGCTAGCTACTCAACTACTAAGCATATATAACCTAATCGCAACCATCAAACCTGACAAAAACAAGCTGAAGCATGCTTTAGCATGTCAAAGGCTTTGCGCTGCCTGCTAAGGTGAGGTGACTCCGTAGGGCCTATGGGCGCAAGCACCCGAAGCCTTCGGCCTCTTTGAAGATCAGGGTTTCAGGTGGATGTTCCTTAATTAAACGGTTTTGGAGGGTGGTGAAGGCCCGGTGATGCTTCGGCGTCGGTGGCCTTAGGCGGAAACTGAAAGAGACGATCTTCAGGCGTTTCTTTGCTATCTATGGAGCCAGTCCGTGTATGAAAACACCCTACACTTGGAGCGCATCATATTAAAGGCCGCATAGCAATCCCATTTAAGGAACCCGGGACGAAACCCCTATAGTAACTCTTAGAGGAACCCTTCAACAAATCTTTATGATATAGCAACCCTTGGAGGAAACCTTAAAATTCTAGAAATCCTTATAGGAACCCTTCTCATAATTACCCTAAGCCCTAAAGGAACCCTTGAAGGGTACCACCCGCCATGCGCCGCCCCGGTGTGAACCCTCAGGACGTCGCCTCGAGTTCCGTTGCTGTGAGACAAGGAGCCGGGATCTGTACGACGCCCGCACCAGGACCCTCCTTGTACCCTCAAATAGGGGTATATGATCCCAAATAAGGGGCATTTAGGGTCTAATAGAGGGTAGATGGAGGGTCTAGGCATGTGTCCCTTTTTTGGGGGCATTACTGCAATCGGCCTCACGAGCCTCCTGCGAGTCAAATTCGGGTCCCTGTTTGGGCCCACAAATCGCACAGCACCCTCATAAGAAAAGACCCTAAAAGGGGCACAGTAATTTTCGAGCACTACCCATGTAGAAACAGGGTGCGGGTAATCTGCGAGGAAAGCTATCGCAGAAAGTGTTGCCGTCGAGCTACACTCGTGGCAGCTGGCTGTTGGCCTGTGTCGAAGTGAAAAAAGAACCATGGTGGCAAGGAGCTTTGTTGCAAAGGATGCTGTGACTTACATACATGTTGACAGAGCGTTGAAGACTGCGTGGCCCTTCATTTGGTAGAAACTTGAAGGCAAGCGGCGGAATCAGAGACCTACGGCCCAATCTAAATATTGGGGAAACAGAGTGACAGGACCACCGCAGATGCTCGCAGGGACCGCTTTACGCTTCTGTATGTCCCACCTATAGTCTCCATTCTAGTTCCTTTTTTTGGTTTAACCAATTATATGTTAAGGACCCTAAAAGGTAACCCCAAAAAGGAACTACAATGGAGACTATAGGCAATTTAAAAACGACTTCGGAGCCCCGGGGCCGAAGCCTCGAAACGAGCCCAATGTCGCAAAGTCGCCGAGCATGACACGAAAAGCCTATTCCCTAGGGCTCCAAGTATACAAATAGTACCTACTTTGGGGCCTAAAGTCTAGACTCTAGACATATTGCCTACTTTGGGCTATTTGGAGCCCCAGGGATTTGGGTGGTTGTCAAAATTAGGGTCCTTAAATATGATACGGCACCTATTATTTAGGGTACCCCGAAAGGGACCCTAATTTTGACAACTACCCATTTAGGAAGCCGCTCATGGGCACATCGGCGGCTCAACACTGAGGCGGGATGTCTCCGATGTCCTGCCTACCCCTGCAGAGTGGTGGAACCGTAAAGCACTGCCTCAGCCCAATACATTACCCGGCTGCATTCGGAATTTGGCCTCGTCGTTCACGAAATCTCGGACGTAGACCCATATCAATGGGGACTTCTTCGATGGTTCCGGGCCCCGACACGGGGCGAGGTTGACCGTATTGGCCGCCAGGAACTTGTTCTTGTCGTCCAACCTCCGGAGCATCACTGACGGTAGCTCATGTGCGTCTGGCGAACCAACCTGGCACTGTTCGTGCGCAAACTTCGCCACGTGCAGACGGATGCTCAGCCAATCCGATGGTTTGAGCATGGTCTGCAAGCATGGCATGCACGAGTGGATGTCATTGGGCAGGTTCTTGTCTCGCTTGAACTTGGCATGCACTTGCAGCACGTCCTGTTGGTCCGTACTGGCATCCACGAGCAGCGTAAGTTCACGCAGCTCGGGAACCGGATGCACCTTGCACAGCATCGAACTGCTCAGACTTTGTTTGGAGTAGCCACCCTCCGATTCTGCAACCGTGGACATGCCATCGTTGTCGTCTTCGGAGTGCATGGAGAGCGCTTCTGGAATCGCTCCCAGAGTTGCATCTGGCTGCAGCCTCGTATCTGGATCTTCCGTAATCGCCAGAAGGTGGAGGGGTCCTGCAGCATCCAAGAAGCGCGGCACAAGAACATGGAAAATGTCCACACCAACTCGCGAATACGCACTCGGCAGTGAGATGCGAAGGCAGGGCGGGATGCTGCAGCTTTGCTCCTGTTCCTCCCTCTGTTCCGGGTTGGCTTGCATTGCATGGCATCCGGACGAATTTCTCGAACTGCGTCCTGTCCTCCTCATCGAGTAGGTCGGTAAACTTCACGCCTTGATGAATATCAGTGGGCGTCGCTAGGACACGTCTCAAGCGAGTGTTGTCCCCGACGAAGTTGAAACTATCATCGAGCAGCACGTCTGCATCGCAGACGCCTCGCAAAACTCGCTGGAAGCCTTCCAAGGAGAGATTGGCGTCGGCCGACTGGAATGAAGCTTGGATGCAAGTTCGCACCCACTCCTGCACCATAATTGCAACACCACATACCAAGGCTAGAATGACAGACTGGCCACATAGGAAGTGCCACAGAGGAGCGCGGCGTGCCCCCTCCAGTCCGAAGTAGCATGCAACTTCCACCGCACAAATCCAGGTCTGACATGGGATGAGAACAGGCGGGTCGTGAATGACAGCCGCCCCAAACACACGGAAAGCCGCCGAGAAAACCGAGAGGAAGTTGTAGTCCGCTTCCTCTGAGCAGTGTGTGATGACGACGAAGAAAGTGTGAGCAGCATGTGCAAGCAGCATCAGCAGCCGAAGTGTGTTGAAGCTGAGATGTGATCTCGCCAACCAACAGCAGCCGAGATAATGCATCAAGACCGTCACGAACTGGACTGCAGTGACATAGTCCGGCCGCTGCTGCACGAGGAACAAGAGAAACACTACTACGATGACTTGGAGGTGTGCCAGGTATCGTAGGGCTCCCCGGAAGTGTTCCATCATCATCTTGCGGAGGGCATCTTCCATACGCTGCTCGTGCAATTCCGGCTTCTTGAACCCTTTCTCAATCCATCTCAACCAAGCCGTCGACAAGCCCTTCAAATCCCAATCCGCAACGACGGCATGGGTAGATAGGACAACTATGCCGCATGCCAGCACTGCGGGAACCGGAAGCATTGCCGTCACGGTGAACTCAGCAACTACTTTGGGCCCCTAAACAATTAACTACATATGCTGTTTTGCTGAGTTCCTTATTAATGGGCCCGCAAACACTATTCCAATTACTAAGGCTAGACGTTATAGAACCCTACTATAGATCCATTGAAGACCCCGTTAAGGCCTTTAAAGGGACCTTATTCCGCTTATTAAGACCCCTATGTTGTGCCTCAAGCTGGGTCGCCTCGGTATGCCCTCGAGCCTTCAGAAGCTCGAAGCCCTTGCCCTAGGGATCTAAGGACTCAGATCTTAAGGCTTTGGGCCCCAAAGACCATACTATATGAGGCTTTTGGGCTATTTTGATCCCTAGGGTTCTTGGGCGTACACTCTCGCAACTCGGACTCGCCAGACGAGGTCTCTGTGTTAGGGTGCACAACTAAGCTGACTACTCTACTTCGCCTTCAGTAGAAGGTGGGCTTAGGGCCTTTAGGGTCTAATGTAGACCCCTTATAATAATTAGAATAGGGCTTTGGGGGGGGGGGGGGGGGTATTATGATATAGTTATCATTAGAATATAATCAGGAACCTACGTTACACTGGCAGGCTCCATACCTTGGGTGCTGGGCTTCATGGTTTCGCCATGGCCGTCGTAACGCGTGCAGGATTCCGAAAGCCAAACCCTAAAGCCCTAAACCCTACCTATAGTCTCCATTGTAGTTCCTTTTTGGGGTTACCTTTCGGGATCCTTGATATATAATTGATCAGACCCAAAAAAGGAACTACAATGGAGACTTAGGTAAACCCGGGTTCGGCCCTAAACCTCAAGTGCTGGTTAGTTAGGCGGCAGCGTTCATGTCGGGCACTCATGGTTCAGATCGACTAGTTCAAGAAAAATCCCAGAGAGCCCAACAAACTCCCAGTCATCGGGGAATATGTATACACCTAAATAATCATAGCATTAAAGCCCCTGCAGTGTACAGTAATTATACTCCTTCCACTAGCTTGATTATAAGCAGTATTGGCTCTCTGGGTCGTTGCGGACAACCCTCAACCCCCCAGGAGGTGTTCGGGTCAAGGTGCACAGGGCTGATAGGGGTCGAGGATTAGTTGGGTCACGCGAAAAGCATAGTTATCAAACGCATAAGAACATTTTACAGATGTTGTTTGCCATCACTATTCTGACTGTGAACACATATTATGGGTCTAACTATTGCGATGATTGTTGCGTTTATTGTTACGGTGGTCGTCGCTGAGCAATAAGGGCCTTAACAATCATAACAAGGCTTGTGCCATAACTAAAAGCAAGGAACCCGAAGAAATACGATTAGCTACTCGGAATTCGTTTTGGGACTTGGTGCGCGCAAATCGACAAGGAAAAAGATTGGGAGCATCCTAAGATTGAGATTCCATAGACGCGAAAGTTCCAAACCCAAAGGCCCTCCAAGAATCCGGGAAATTTCACGCATACGAGTAGTTCCTGAAACCCTAAACTGAGAAGCTATATCTTCTGGAGCTCAAGCACTCGACATCTACACACGTAAGCCCGGAAACCCCGGTCCTGCAAAATCCGAGGGTTTGGGGTTTAACTAAAGTAGCCAAAGGTAACTCTAACATGGTAATTGTACCGATTGTGCCGGTGCTATCCCTGTTTTCAGGGTACATTGGTTACTCTAGGAAGGATTTAAACCGCCATGACACCCTCTGGACAACTCCTATGCGTGTTCGGTGTGCCCCTAGGATTAAGAAGCAACGACATCCAGCCAAGCAGCAACAGGTGCACGACCTCCAAATGGCCACCGCCGCATGCCATGAGGAGCGGTGAAATACCGTCCTTTCAGAACAGGCGTTATGCTTGCGTCTCTGGAGTAGGTTTCGCGTTTAGAGCCAGTTACAAGTTTGCGGGTAGGTGGTTCGGCCCTTACCACCCAAACCCGAACCTCGAATATTGTTCGCAACGCCCTGCTCGCCAACCTGAGCAGCAGAACACAAGGCCCAACACGGGAGCCCTCGTTTAATTAAAGTCCAACACTAGCAAAGCCAGACCCTGTGAGCCTTAAACCCTCTCCCCCCTCCCCGTCGATAAGAGACTGTTTCAAGGACCGGTCCTGGGCCGTGATGTTCGGATCTAAAGGTCGAAGTAGCAGGCTCTCCTTCGATCTTCTCCGCTCAGAGAGCTGGCCGTATAGGCTTCCGGGTTCAGGGTTCCGGAGTTTAGGGAAGTTTAGGGTCGTTGAGTTTAGGGCTTATGGGCTTGAGGCTTCAGGCCTCAAAGGGGCCTCATAAACATCGGACTGTTTCGGAGTTAGGGGCTTTTTTCTTCTAATCTACGAACAGAGCTACTCTTTCATCAGGAATGAAACGTCATCCTGACACAGGTATGGCACTCTTCGTCTGGATCATTAGGGGGTCTTCGGCTTTCTGGGTCTAGGGGGCAGGCATCTTCGTCCCGATGTGTCAAAGGCTTTTCTTCCTTAATGCTTAGACTAGGGTTTTGGTGCCCATTGTACGATAAGCCCACAAAATGGTATAGGTAATTATTTAGGCCCCTAAAAGAAAGCGCTAAACCCTGGGGTTTGGGGCTGTTGGCTGAAGATTGTCGGTCGAAGGTGGAAGCCCACCCGTTTGTTTAGCCTTCAGAGGTGTTTAGAACAGAAGTTCTGTTTGAGTTCGAGGGCTTAGGGTGTTGCGGTTTGGGTTTTAAGGGTTTTGTATGGTTTGGGGTTTAAAGACAAAGGGTGTAACGTTTAGCGATAGATAGATAGATAGATATATATATATATATATATATATATGCATAGGGTCCAGGGTTTCATAGGCTTCATAGATGGAGGGTTTAGGGTTCTTCTAAACAGGGCTAAGGGCTGTGATTATCAGGTTCCGCGTTTCTAACGTTTAACAATATCGGGTGTCGGCACACGGCTTTCTGGGCTTCCGGCTTATAGGGTTTAGCCATTTCAGGGGTTGGGTAAGTTTATAGGGCTTCGAGTCTTCTAACAAGGTTCAGAGTTTCATACGTTTTATTAGCGCGTAAGGACTGATGGATGGGGCACCCCGCTTCTGGGATCAGGGTTTATTGGAAGGGTTGATGGTTTACAAGCTTACCCTTTTGTGTTTGGCGCGCCTCGGGTTAGGTTCAACGTTTCTACTGGTTCAAGCTTCTATACTTGGAGTCTGAGTGCCCCCAGTCACAAAAGGTTAAGCTTCTACATTTCGCGCATGTGTATATATCTGTATCCAGATATACATACCTGGATATACACCTGTATATATATATATATATATATGCACACATGCACACAAATACGTATATACATATACACATGCGTACACATACACATACATACATGTAGGTGTACATGACAAAAGTATATATACAATATAACATAGTGTATACACACAAAAAACAATCAAGGTCACCGGCCCGGCCCCTAAATCCTGAATACTTTTAACCGTCTTAACCCTGAACCCCAAAGCATCCAACAGCCCCTAAGCCTGCGGTTGATGATAAATCCTGCGTTACCCACAATAAGGCATATGCCACTATTCCCATTTTTAAGGGTCCTTAAGGTAAAGAAGATTTACATCATCAATAGTAGTAGTCCTTAACCCTTCTCTGGGTTCTTCGGCCGCCGGGGTGGCGAGACGAGACTCGAGTCTTGACTTCGGAGGCTTCTGAAATCCTCCTAAAAGTTGAACTTGCAGCCTCCTCGTTATAGTTGATATAGAAACTCAAAAAGTTAAAGTCCTACAGTAGAAGCCAGAAAATTGGCACACGGCTTCAGGAGGATTAGTGCTAGGATCCCTAATACTTTGCCATAGGGGCACGAGGATAATGATGTTCCAACTTTCTGGCTTCTACTATAAGAGCCAACCAGAAGAACGCCAGATGGAATTGGTGGGTATGGGCTGAGGGCATCGGAGTTAGATAGGATTTGGGACTTTGAATGTATGTAGAGTGAAAGGGGGTATCATGTAAGGTTTAGGCTTCCAGTTTACTTTTCCAGTCTGGCGTTCCGAGGATGTTGGCCGTGAGTTCGATAGACAGGAGTTAGGATTAGCGGACCCTTGCAAATATAGACCCTCTCAATAAAGCCCTACTCAAAAAAACCAGAAGTAGGGTGGAGAAGGGTCCCCTTTGAGGGGTCTCCCTAATACTACCGTGGATACTAGAGCCAACCGAGTCTCCACTTGACCAATATGGCCACCGCCGGCTGCCTTCTTCAAGCGGTCGTGGTCCTTGCTTTCCACTTGGGACTTGGGGCTATAGTTGCACGATGTTTTTGGGTCTGGATATCCCGCTCGTATGGCCAGGACCGATGCCAACAAGCGAGGTTGCTGCGGGAAGAAAGTGAAACGTTGAACTCAACATTTGTGTCTTCAGCAAGTTCACTCGAAACTCTTCATCAGCTTCATCGCTTGTTCAGCATGCCGGATTGGCATTTGCACCCACGCCGATACTTGTGTTCTTTTTGCTCCACAAAGACTACGAAATAGTCTTTCTCGAGTTACATGTTAGGAAACCGGGTTTCGTGCTCAATAAGCTCAGGCCCTCAAACCCTATATGCCCTACACCTCAAACTCCGAACCCTGCACAAAGAACCCATCTCTGGATGGATCCGAATTCTCAACCCTTCGCCCCAAACAACCCTAAACCCTAAACCAAAACCTAAACCCAGTCAGCTCCTGCTCCCGCGCGGCCACGAAACTCAGAATCACCTGCTGGATCTCACCTTAGCCGCCCATTGAAACTATGCTGAGCTTGCCCTAGGGATCCAAATAGCCCAAGAGCCTTATATAGTATGGTCTTTGGGCCCAAAAGCCTTGATATATGAGTCCTTAGATCCCGAGGGCTGCAGATCCGAACTCCATGCCGTACACCGCAACCCAATAAAACAGATGCCATACCCCTAGAAAAATACTAAACGATACTGGCATTAATAATCACACTAGTAAGAAGACTAGTGATTAGGAGTCAGACGAAAACAACAATAGTACGACTGTCAAAACTGGGAAAAGCAATACTAATACTAAAAACCAGCAACAGCCACAACAACAAACAAACAAAACCATAGCGAACACAATACTACTGCCACTATAAATAGTAACATGCGTTCTAACAATGACAAAAGCAATAAAATTAATTACTGTTCATGATAAACAATACCCCGATAATAGTACGAATACTGTTAGTATTCTTCATAACAAAAATAACAACAATAAGAAGGATTGTGTGCGGCCCCGCCTCACAAATAGCGGGCAGAAACAACAGCACAACATCACAACATGAAGCACCAAGAAAACTGCAGAAATAAAGATTCGGTGTGGTCATGCTGCATAAATAGAGACAGCACGTGAGTATGCTGTGACTTGCAAGCCCACTTGCACACCCCTTGCTTTGACAGATTCCGTCTGGAGATGTCTGGAGCACACATCCGGAGCTGAACATGCCTGTGCAGCCTCTGCGCGACCCCTGTCTGCTGAGAAGCAGTGTCACATCCACTAGCCTCGACTGGCATAATTCTAAAGAGGTTTACAGCTCAGACTGAGGATTTGCAAGTGGGCACCCGCGTGCACATGTGCGAAAAACAACAACAACAACGTAGCGAAATGTTGGAGCATTTTGTTCGTTTTGGGCTCGGGCTGGGGACCTGGGCTAGGAGTCAAGCTAATAAAAGTAATGCAATGAACATAAACAATGACAATAAGAGTACCAAGAATAAAAACAACAATAACATCGGCAATACCAAAAAAACCTAATAACAACTACGAATGCCAAGTTTAATGAGCTGAAAATTTTAATGATAAGAACACCAACACCAATCATACGAGTAGTAATAATATCCCTGAGCCCTAAACCTACTCTCAAAACCCCCCAAGTTATGACCCTTAACTATACAGGGTATGACCCCCCCAGGACAGTAGGTCTTTGTCTCCCCAGGTGCCCCAAATCCCAAACCTGATCTCTCCTAAATGGTAGGCTACTAAACCCTCATCTTTACTAAACGCACAACCCAAAATCTCAAACTCTCCAAAATAGCAGGATCTAACTTAGAAGGGGCCCCCACCCTGTAATAGTGACTATAAGGATGATATTAGGGCCTATTATACCACTACTACAGGGGGGCCCCTTCTGAGATATGACCCCTTAACTATTAACCCGCACCCTAAAACCAAAACTCTCCAAAATAGCACCCTGACCCCGTAAACCTAGACCCTAAACCCCAAACTCTCGGCAAGCCACCACCAGGTGACATCAAGACGTCACTGTCCTCGAGGACCTGTCCCGTGCTACCTCAGGAGGGGGGGCTGAAGGCTCAGGGTTTTAAGGCTTTGGGCTTGGGTAGCCTTTAACCTTTTTTTGGGTAGTGTAGTTCCTATATAATCCCTATACAGCCAAAAAGGTTAACCTTAGTTCCCGGTTTTTTCCCTGTCGCATTTGGAATCGATGCCCGCTCGCGAGGTCTGACTGTAGGGGAAAGTAGAAAACGGCAGCATGTGGTACTGGACAATGTGCTATCACCAATTACCAAACTCATTACCATACCTAGTTCCCGGTTTAGGGTTCAGTGTTTGGCGTCTGGGATTCATTTCTGGATGCAGGGCAGCAGGTGGATAAATGATCGAAGTATGCGAGGATGAGAATTTGTGGCGGGCTTCTGACGTAAGACTTCGCGGGTTTGCGGTTTTTTGGATTGACTGCTTAAGACTTGGGAGTTTCCGAAAATAGGGGACCCTAATATGGCACCCTAAATAGTAGGATCCTGAGTATAAGGACCCTAAAACAAGGTACCCCTAATTTTCGGAAGCTCCCACTTCTTGGGGCCAAAGAGTCCCCACAGTATGCCCTAGACTCAGACTGGCCGCTCGCACTAGGGAGACCAGTATTTTCAGATACTATAAGGGCATACGCAGCAAAATCGAGCTCTGGGAGAAAAGCGTCTTTGTTCGATGCTCAGCGTTTGCAGACCGTAAGTTAGGGTTTAGGATTTAGGGCTTTAGGGTTTAGGGGACATCGCCACCAGGTCCCGAAATCCTCCCACAGGAGAGGGGGCCGATAGGGCCTTGGGTGCATCTCACAATCTTACACACATAGGTGCTTCTGAAAATCAGGGGGTACCCTTATTTTGGGGTCCTTGCAATAAGAATCCTACTATTTAGGCGACTATATTAGGGTCCCCTATCTGGAAACTCCCACATAGGGTTTAGGGTATTTAGGGAGTATACGTGGACTAGAACGGGATTTACTGCTACTGAGCCTTCCGACCCCTAGGATTCTCCGGAGCCTGAGCACCTTATTATTCAGGCCCATATAAATAGAACCCTTATAGTAACCCTTTTAAAGTAACCGTATAGAGCCCTTTAAAGGAACCCTGAAACCTTATAGTAACCCTTTTAAAGTAACCGTATAGAGCCCTTTCAAGGAACCCTGAACCCTTATAGTAACCCTTTTAAAGAAACCGTATAGAGCCCTTTAAAGGACCCTGAACCCAGCCGGGCGGCGTTGAATGAGCTTCTGTCTGAACCGAGGTATCCCACATCGGTGATGTAGCAATCTCCTGAGGACTGGCGCAGTCTCTGTTTCTAGGGTCTTGGGCTTTGGGTCGAAGCCCAGCCCCAACACAAACACAACCCTACACCCCAACATAGGGGCCTTATATCGTAATTACCATTACTACTTTGGAGGTTTCTGATTATAGTAATAGTATAATGGACCCCCAAACCCTATTCTAGAGGCTCTTGGCATGAAGGTGAAGGAGAGAAGTGCCTCTCTGTCGCAGGTGAGCCGGTTCGCAAATTGAAACTTGATTTGGGGTCTCGGCTTCAGGGATAGGGCCCTTTTCTAAGCACGGACTTGGAGTGTATGCCGCTCTGAACACTAAACCTTCAGCAGTTTGAGTTGGGTCTATGGTTTATCCCACAAGCCTTAGCTTCAAACCCCCATTGGCACATAGCAAGTGCGCAAGTCCACCCAGACTGCTGAAAGACGTCCGAGGTAGAGGTCGGCATCAATAAGTCGTAATAATCTCCCCTGACAATCTCTCTAGACTTGTAGATTTGACCTTCTTCCATGACCCCGAAGCCCCCTATTCAAACTATTCAAATTATTCAGGCCGCCTACATTGGCTTGGGGGCTGGGACTCTTAACCTACAACCAACTAAACGTCGAGCCGTTTACGCCGAAACCTCAATCCCTGAAACCCCCCAAAGCCCGTCTGCATCCCGAGACACTGAACTCGCCTAACGAACCCCCCTCTCCCAATAGAACTGAACCCCAAACCCTAAACCCCCTAAACCCTAAACCTGAACCCTAGGACACAGGGCAAGCTTCTTGACGTCCCTCACTGACTTGCTCATGCGGCCTGAAGAGACATCCTTCTCCTTGGTTGCTAAACTCTGTCACTGAGGGTTTAGGGTTCAGGGTGTAGGTATCCAAAACCCTAAAGTCTTTGTGTAGCATTTCGTTATTCAGACTGCGTGAAATATCGGGTGTCATCCTTGCAGCAAGTACGCAAGGCCTCGCATGGCAGAATTTTCGTGCTTCAGGGTCCTTAGCGCAACTAATAACGGTTACTCCTCCTCCTCCTCTTCCTCCTCCTCCTCCTCCACGAACGAGGATAACATTAGTATCAGCATTGCTGCGGTTTTCCATAGCATTATCACTATCATTACCAGCAATATCATGATTAAGCTCATCACGGTAACAGTCTTTATGACTGTCTTTATGTACTTATCAACAACGAAGAAGACGACATGGTGTTTGAGTTTGTGGTCTCTGATGGAACCTGACACACTGACTATCCTTGAAGTGCTGGTGCTGCACTGCTGTCGGAAACCCAACCCATCTCTGTCAAACCACGTTCCCGTGCACGTATATGCAAACACACCAGCAGGAGAAGACCGACAAACATATACGTATATATATATATATATATATGTGTGTGTATATATATATATATATATACATTAATGCTTATATAGCATGTATGTCTGAATGTATGTATGTATGTGTATATATATATGTATATATATAGACACGCACACACACACACACACACACTTAAGACGGGTCGGTAGACAGTAGATGGACAGGGAGCTGGGTCGACAGATCCCGGAGAAAAACGGCCAAAGAAGCTAGAAACTCTTAGGGTTTAGAGTCTAACGCGCCAAAATCATGAGAAACAAATACTAAGTAGGTATGCCTAGAACGTTCTGTCAAGTCCGAGGTTCCCCCCCACAACTTGCAAACAACAAGAAGCATATGTTTCAAACATGTGCTAGCCACGTCCGAAACCATACACGCAAACTGCCACGCTGGCTTTTTATGCGTTACACCCTGCACATGCCAATTCTGAACAACACACCTCCTGCCCGAATGCCGAAATTCCAAATCCCAAGCCCATAACCTTCAACAGTACGTTCAAACCCTGGAAGCTGCAACTACACCAAAACCCCTAAAGAACAACAATTCCAGACTGCAAAATTCGGGCCTTGCCAGAACTCCTCAGTGAATCCCCTTTCTTCATACTCTGCATTTTCATGAAAGCATGCCGAAAATGAAGAAAGGGAACGGTGCTACTTTTGGGGAACCCCACCGAAACCCCAAAATCCATACACCCTCGACCCTCAATCCACAAAAATAAGTCCAGGGCTCTAAAGGAATTAGTTCAGTGTCCCCGTCGGGTGTCCAGACGCGCAACATTGGATTCTAGCGTCTTTCTGCGGAGGCGGCCATTGGGATTTATATAGCACTCTTGGTTGTCTTACTTATTCCAAGTGGAATTGACAGTATTACGTACCACATGGTCAAACAGTAGCATTCGCTTGATAGATCGAGTGTCTACAAAGCCAATGAACAGTGTACGACGACTGTACCGATCGGCTATCTGTACCTAAGATGCCCAAAATGGAACGATATCGGAGGCCAGAACACTATGAAACCCCGAAACCCTAAAGCCCCCAAAAAACAAAACCCTGCAATCCCTAAAACCTTAAGTGGTAGTTTCTGAAAATGGGGGGGCCCAATATAGTACCCTGAATAGTAGGATCCTTATCATAGGTCCCCAAACTAATGGTACCCCCCTAATTTTCGGAAACCCCCAAGTGGAGGACCTAGGCCTTAGAGAATCTGATAGCAGTCCTCGGGGTAGCTGGCTTGCTTAAAAAGCTGCGGCAGTTGAAGGAACTCTTGGGTTCAGGTTTCGACACGCACACTCGCTGACGCAGGCACGGCTTCGAGAGTCTGGCTGGTTCAGGTTTAGGGTTTATAGGGTTTATAGGGTTAGGGTTTCGGCAGCCAAAGAGGGCTTAGGGTTCAGGTTTAGGGTTTAAGATTTATGGTTTAAGGCTCAGGGAACGTTTAGGATTTAGGGCTCAGGGTCTAGGGTTTCAGGTTCAGGCCAAACCCCTGACAACCGTTGACAAGAAACGGTAGATTCAGTCCCTAAACTATACATGGCAAACCGTGAATTGCCAGGAGTGTCGACACGCACCGCACACGCGAAGAGCACTATACGCATGTTATACTTGCACACATGCACTAACTTCAGAATGGCCGGAACAAATCCGACACCACTTTTGTGTTTCCCACATCGACGTCTGCACAATGATGAAACCATGGTTCTCTGCACCAAACCACCAACTGCTCACCTGAAGAGCCCACATAATTGGACTTCGGCTTCAAAAATAGAAAGGCTCCTCCCCTGTATGCCAACTTCGGTTGAGGAGGCATGCGTGCTTGAAAGCCGTGGGCTGCAAGTATATGTAACATCGCTCGGATCCTCACCGTAGCCTCAACACCAAACCAGTTCTGCAAGGGAAAGGAAACGGGAACCCGGCTGTCAACAGCACTGTGGCCGCAACGTCGGTACCTTCGAGGTCTGCGGTCAGTTCAAGTCCCATAGGCGGTTAACAAAAAAGAACACGCCCGAATAGGCATACTGTCCGGTTCTTCTATATTCTATACGGGCTTTCAGGGATGGTATTTCTAGTTCTTCAAACCATGTTTTTGGGCTTTGAATGGGTTCAAGGTGTGTGAGCATGGGATTCTGCATTCGGTGCTACACGAAGGAGACTGGCATTCGGCGAAGAATGCAAACATGCACGCAAAAGCTGGGACAGTTAGCAATCACAACCCCGAACTTATCGGTGAGAGCGACGGAACCAGCCTGTCGGCAGTTTGGCTTGCACCCACACCGAGGAGTGCAGGTAGATTGAATCTAGTCACGAAATCAAACTCAGTCTTACGTCTGAAGCTTTTGCGGAAGGCTGTAAAAACATGAAAATTGGGTTTAGGGTTCAGACTTCAGAAATTATCGTACATCGGTCGGTATATGGGAGTTTCCGAAAATTGGGACCCTTATATAGTACCCTAAATAGTAGGATCCGTACTGTAAGGACCGCAAAATAAGGTACCCCTAATTTTCGGAAACTCCCATATGTTGCCATGCTCCAATATGACACAACGAAGCCATGACTTCCTGGATTCCAGCAGCCACAATGCTCCCATGCGTTTGCTGTCGCTTGTCGACTTGTACGTTCCTTTCGGAGCACAGATGTTTCAGTTCCTCGTTGTTCACAGTTCTCCTGATATTGCAATTGCAATGTTGACTTGATTGTTGGCTTTCTGTCGACTGTTGACAAATTGCAGACTTTCCAGCCTGAGTAGCATGAACCCTGGTACCACAACAACACCGATCCAATGAATAACCTTCTGCCAGTGTGAACACTGCTGCGCCGTGCTGGCGTCGCCACCGGAATCCCGACAAACCTTACACCCTATACACCATAACAGTGGCAGGATGCATGCCAAACACTTAGGGGCCTTAACAATCAGCATGGAGATTTGGGGATAGGTACTCAGGACCCTTTGGGGCTTTGCCCACTGCTATGAAAGGGTCCCAAGTACCGAGACAAAAGCCAGTGGCAGCCAGTACGGTTTAAAACAAGAGTGGGAAGCACCTTTCAAGATCATGCGGAACCAACCCATTAGGTGGGTACATGCGCAAATCCTGACACCGCAAAAACCCAACATCCTTGAAGCTCTAAAGCTTCATAACCCTGCCTATATCCTTATCTCGCTCATCGTACAACACCCTCACCCTGTCTAATGTGCGAACCACCAGGACCGAGTGTGCACCAAGGAAAGCTGACAAAACAAAAACGCGAGCTCATTCAGTCGCCTGAAAGCCAAGACCCTCCATGTTTCGGGCCAATACAGGGGCCTGAATATTCAGAACAAGACTTTGGGGGTATATCATATCCCAAAAAACATACGGAACCTACTGGAATACCATTGGTAATTACTGAGGCTTCTATATTTATTCACGGACATCTGTCGGTCAAAGAAGCGAGTCGAACGCGCCTGGTGGCGCTTTGGCCAATCTCAGAACTTACTTAGAATGGTTTCAAGACCAGCAATTATAGCTTCAGCTGAGGCTTCTATATTGCAACTAGAACACCTTCGTCATCATACAGCACAGCCCTAATATAGGGTCCTTGATATTTAGAATAGGGTTTTGGGGTATACTATACTAGAAAATGATAAGGAATCCCCAAAATCGTATAGTAGGTGCTTATTTAGGCCCGAACCCCTAAACCCTGTGAATCCCTTAAAGGAAGCCTTGTACTACCCTATGGTACCTCAAGCTCTGGGAGGCTCTTGAGCTCCCAACCCGCTCGGGAGAGTAGGAGGAAGAAGACGACGACAAGTTCCTCGGTTTAGGGTTTAGGGTTTGGGGCAATTTTGTTTACGCTCTCGCAACTCGGACTTGCCAGACGAGGTCTCGGGTTCGAAGTACTTTGGCAATTTTGTTCAGGGTTTAGGGTGTAGAGGTTTAGCGGTTTAAGGTTTATAATAGGGTTTGGGCAGATTTGTTTAGGGTTTAGGGTTTAGAGCTTTTAGGGGTTTAAGGTTTATCATAGGGTGTGGGGATTCACCTATTTCCGCCTGCCTCATCTGTCTTCATCTCATGGAACCCTAAAGCTCCATGTACCCATATAGTAGCTACTTAGGCCTTAAAGTACCCATATGGGGACCCCTTTAAGGCCAAAGTACCTACTATATGGGTACGTGGAGCCTTACCTATAGTCTCCATTGTAGTTCCTTTTGTTGGGTTACCTCTTAAGGTCCTTAATATATATTTGGTTAAACCAAAAAAAGGAACTACAAAGGAGACTATAGGTAGGGGAAGGCCACAGTGGTTTTGCGCTCCGCAGTTTGGGCTTCGACTCTCGCACCGCGCAAAAAGCAGGCCGGGGCTCCGCAACGGCGGGTCCCCAACCCTAGGGATCTAAGGACTCATATATATATATATATATATATATATATATATGCTTTTGGGCCCAAAGACCGTACTATATAAGGCCTTTGGGCTAAATTTGATCCCTATAGGGCAACGAAGACAGCTTGCAACCCTAAACCGTGCTTGGATTGGCTCAGGCTTAGGCTTAAAGCTTATAGGGCTTGGGTTTTGTGTGTTGGGTTGAAGCGGAAACCCCAATATCCGATGACGGAATCGAAGCCAAAAGAATCAACAGCGTACCTATATGGGAAACAAAGAAAGGGCAGCATTTAACATGAGGGGGAGGCCGCAGTTTCTGTAAGGCTTAGGGTTTAGTGGGTTCAGCACCAAAAGATCTAGCATTTGAGGGAGGTGGTCAAGCGTCGTAGAAGATTGGCACGAGCGTGAACAGCAAAGCGCGCAGCAGCGTATCGACCTTGGCTGGAGAGACCATGGGAAGCAACAAGGGCTCAAGAAGGGTTCTATGAGGATTTGCCTCCTCGTATCCTTTTGTGCCTGGGTTCGAGCCGCACTCTGAAGAAATTTAGCAGAGCTGCTGGGCCTACAGGTCCAAGAAGCCAATATCATATACACCACAAAGACCTGACCGACGGTCTACTATCCATGCCCCCAAATACCGAAGCTTTTTGGAGTGCTCACCTTTCCAGCCTTAAACCCCAAAGCCGAGTCCGGCTTGGTTCCGGTAGGGTTACCGGAAGAGCCCTAAATCACATGTCACAAACTGCATTTAGGTTTAGGGTTTAGGGTTTAAACTGCAAAAAATAAGCTTGCTCATACAGTTGGATTGACTTCCTGCATAAGCAGATAATTACGCGGGGCGCAAAGAGAAGGTCCATGAATGATGGTCTCGCGGGTGAGACCTGAACCCTCACCCTGGACTCACCCTAAAATCAACATGTCTACAACCTTAACCCACCAAAACCGACTTTTTGTAGGGTCCCTATAAATCCCATATTAGGGTTTATAATAAGAACCTACAAAAAAAAGTTATGGTAGTTTAAGGAATAGTCTATAAATCCTAAACCCACAAGCCCGGATCTAGTCAGGCGCAGCGCTGCGCGGGGCGGTCGCTCCAGCTTTCGGAGGATCTCGCCCGTTCGTCGCATGGCATGGAACCTTTCTGAGACGGCTTAGGGTTGGGGTATAGACTCCTTAATCCCTATAAACTCCTCAGCTGAAAACCCCTTTACCTTGCGATTTCGAACGGCCCCGCATTTCCCCACCACCCTCCTCGAACGGACAGACTGCAAGACGCAAGCTGCATGCAATTGCAAACACCTGATGCTTGCTGTGACAATGGTCTAGATCTCCGATTGTGCGCCGGCAATGGGCAATGCTTTCGCTCTGATGTCCAGCGAATCTGCAGTCTACTACAGCTGCAAAGGGGCCATGTAGAAATGCAACAGGTATGTTGTTGTACTTATTTCTGCTATTCATCGTGTTGGAATTTTTTTTATCGTTCATAAAGATTAGTATAAGTGTTGGTACTACGAATTAATTGTTAGTCTTATTACTACCATTACAACTACTATTACTAGATTACTAGTACCAGTAACAGCACTAGCTGCTAGTGCTAATACTTAATACTAGCGTCAATACCAGCCACCCCCCCCCCCCCCCCCCCGCACCTAGCAACTGCGCTTGTCAAACCAGGGTTCTGGAAGCTCGAGCTTGCAAAGTCGACAGGTTTTTTGATTGAGGCAACAAGCAGTGGTAGGACTGTGCGGAACATGTACACAACCGAATAAAATGGACTTGCACGCGCAAGCGTGCCGTCATTAATTACCCCCACCCCCCGCCCCCGACCACCCCGAACCCTTCCAAAATCCGAGGCTCGACTCGAGTTTGCAAAGCCGACGAGCGAATTCTAACACAACAAGCTGGCTTTAAGACAACAAGTGGTGGAAGGAGGTTACGACAAGATGGTTAAGCGCAAGAGTGGTAGGCAGGGTTTTTCGGCCCTTGCATTTAAATCCCGATGCCGTGCAACAACTACGCCCTAGCAACCATTTCAAGCCGTAAACCAGTAGGCTCCAGAACACTCCTGCAAGAAAACTGGCCGTCTCGTCGCATATGACCCAACCGTTGAATCCTGCAGCCACAACCCCCGACGCTAAACCCCGCTTTAGCTTCACATAGGTATGGGCTTGCTCTCTCAATCCTGAGCCCGCAACCTTGAGCACTAAACCCTAAACCCTAAGCCTTAAACCCTAAACCTTGAAACTTGCACTGAGCTGGGGCACTGCAGATCCAAACAGAGAAGCTTGGCAAAGAGTCTCCCGGCGAGGCGCCTGTCATCTAGCGGCCGTAATAATTAGAGTAGGGCTCCTTTAAAGGATTCTTATAGAGGGGTCAATAAGGGTTCCTTGAAGAGTTCCTATAAAGGGGTCTATGAAGGTTCTTACACGGTGTACAAGGGCTACTATGAGGGTTCAATGTAGGGGTCTGAATTGGGTTTGGGGGCCCATTATACTATAATTACAGTGCATAGGCCCGTATATTATGCTCGCGCTCACAAGGAATTAGAGACAACATATGAAGGGTTCAAGAATGAGCAAGAAACCTATCAAGGGTATGAGGGTTACTTGGCATTTAGACTTGTTTCGTGCTGAAGAGTTTAGGATTGATGTTCCCACTGCATTTGAGGCGGCGGCTGGGCTCTACCTTCACATGCATCCAACTCGTGCCCGAAACCCCACATCAGCGTCGATAAGGACATCTTCCGCCAACCATCCCGGCCTCCCCATGGGGCGTGCGATGAAGCACAACACGGCCGTCTTGCTGTTGTTCAAGGCCTGGGTCATGCCTCCGCCAAAAAAGTCCGGTTCAGGGCACCATGCAGCCTTACCCCTTACGGTTGAGGTTGGGGTTAAGACGGCTAGTTGAGGGGCGACCTGCGTTGACATGGTGATGTGATAGCGGCACCTTTCCGCCAGCTATGGCGAAAAAGTTGAGCCTAAACCGCGATCGACGATGAATTGCTACCACAAGGCTACTGTGAAGAAGAAGTGGAGCTTGGAGGTTCCAGGGTTCGGGCAACTGATGTGCATTGAGGTGAGTAGATCTGTTTCAAATCTGCATGCGCGCGCCCGTGCCACATCTGTGAGGTCAGGGGGTAAGGCATGTGACTGGTTACCACCCTTAGCTCAATCAGTATTGACATGGGGCTTGATGGTCTCTCCTACACAGGAAGCACAGACCTTATTAAAGACAACACCCATTTGGCCTTCAAGGCTTGATTTGTGTATCGTGAACCTTTTCGAAACCGGGCATGCTGGCTACGAAACCTGAAACACTGCTCTGGACCTGCAAGACAGCTCGCCTTTCAGTGCAGCGAAGATGGCCAACCATGACAGGCCCAAGTAATCCTGCCAAGACGTGTACACTAAGTGTCCTTTTGAGGGCAGTTCATGCCACAAGAGTCTTCTAGCTCTTCCGGTTGGCGTTCTTACGGGCCCCATACGAGAGAGCAGTGCAGTCTCGAGTAGATTGGCAAACCGACATCTTTCTGCGGACTCAAGTACTACAAGTTCCTAACCGTCACAAAACGAGGCCCTGACCCCAAACTCCAAAGCCCTGAACACCCAAGTCCTCCTTTCTTACGGCTCAAAACTGCAGACTCCCACCTACCTTCATCCCAGCGTTTAGAGGCTTCGATGTCCTGGCATTATGGAAGATACCTTTTTTGACAAATGCCGCCTCGAAGCTCCGATCTATTCCTTTACTAAGAGGCACAATAGGCGGCTTAAGATCATGATTTAAGCTCAATACTACTCCTTCTCTCTTCATTGAAGGGCACCCTCGCCTCGTTTTGAAACCCAACACCCTAAAGCCCTGAGCCCTAAACCCACTAGCCCAGAAAAGCCCTACAACCCTTTGCTGCAGGCTCGCTTGCAAGGACGCCTGGTAGTTCGCCGCTCTTTCGTCAGTTAGGACTGTGCTCGTGACAGCGCCCCTACCTATGGTCTCCATTGTAGTTCCTTTTTCAAGCTTAACCTATTATATATCAAGGGTCCTATAAGGTAACCCCAAAAAAGGGAACTGCAATGGAGACTATAGGTAGAAGCCCTAGCACCCTAAACCCCAGGATCCGGTCCCTACAACCCCAGAAAAGCCCCTTTATCCCTAAATCAACCCCAGGATCCTGGCCCTACGGTTGATGACATAAATCCTGCAGTACCCATAATGAGGAATAGACCGTAATTCCCATAGTGTAGGGGCCTTAAGGTAATGCAGGATTTAGACCATCAACAGTAGTACCCTAAACCCCAAGATATCCTGGTGGCTTAAGAGATCCACGGCCCGCTTCAGCGCGAAAGGAGCCAGGAAGCCCAGAGTTTTGCTGGAGCCGACCTGGAGCAAAAAGACTGATGGGCGCCCTTTAAAGGAACCCTTATAGTAGCCCTTATAGACCCCTTTAAAGGAACCCTTATAGCAGCCCTTATGGACCCCTTTAACGGATTCCGCAAGTCCCCCTTTTTCCCCAAATTAAGTATTCCACAACAGTCCCGAAAACCATTGTCTAATGACTGAGGTCGCGAAAGGGGGCCTTAGGGTATGTCAGCATTGGGCATGGTCCTAACCTGCGGGCGTTTTGACTGCGATTGGCAATCAAGCCATTCATGCCCCCTTCCTTCGAGTTCATGCGGTTTAGTATGTCAAGGGCCCTGGAACCCATGACAGGAAAGGCAGAAGCGTCATATTTGTGGAAACCGCCGAGAACGACAAAAACTCTCCCGCGAGGAAACTTTTGCCTACATCCCAATCCATTTGTTCCGAGAAAAAAAGGGGGTACCTTATTTGGGGTCCTCATAATAAGGACCCTACTATTTAGGGTACGATACCACAGCATCATGCTGAACGGTGGATCTTCGAAGGCCCCAAGCCTCCTGTGCCACCCCCAATAAACCAGAATAGAAATCGATGACCCTTTTTCCACAGGCTTGATTAGTGAAACCCAACCTAAACCCTAAACCCTAAACCCTAAACCCCAAACCCTCTACGCACTTGCGGAAGCGCAACCACCAGCAGGCCCACGATGAGCAAGGCCCAGCACCGGAGGTCTGCCTCGCTCGTGAAGGAGAGTGTGGAGTTTAGGGTTTAGGGTTTAGAGTTTAAAGGGTTTAGGGTTTAGAGTTTATAGGGTTTAGGGTTTAGAGTTTATAGGGTTTAGGGTTTAGAGTTTATAGGGTTTAGGGTTTAGAGTTTATAGTGTTTGGGGCTTCGGGTTTAGAGTTTATAGGGTTTAGGGTTTAGAGTTTATAGGGTTTAGGGCTTAGGGTTTAGGGTTTAGAGTTTATAGGGTTCAGGGCTTAGGGTTTAGAGTTTATAGGGTTTAGGGTTTAGAGTTTATAGGGTTTAGGGCTTAGGATTTAGAGTTTATAGGGTTTAGGGCTTAGAGTTTATAGGGTTTAGAGTTTAGGGCTTTGGGCTAGGAGTTTAGAATTTAGAGTTTAGGGTTGTGGGTTTAGAGTCGGGTTCAGGGGTGTCGGGTGGTCAATGCATTTGGGTTGAGTGTTTGTTCAACTACAGTAGGGTTAACAGGTTGTTTGTAGGTTGTCTAAAGCTACGGTTACACGCCATAGGGCTTGCAGGCTTCTTTGGCGAAGGGATTATAGGGCTTGTAGGGCTTACAAGGTTTAGGACCTGATTCAACCGACTGAAAGGCCCACTGTCGACATGCCTGGTGCAGTGAACTCACAGGAGGTTCAAAGGTCCTTGTTACTAAAGGCCCGGCACAGACACCTTCAGATGTTCAGCTGCTGCTTGAGAACGTGTCCGATGTCTCTGATAGCGGGGAGTCTTCCGACGATTTATCAGAGTCGCAGTCTGCAGACATGAGCAGGCGAATTGAAGCGCAGCATCCGCGAGGTCTGGTTAAAGGTCTGTTTCCGCTGCTCTCTGCCCGTATTGCACATCGCTTTACGATTCTTCCGACTTGCTGGGAACGCTCGCTCCCACCTACCCACGTTGCAAACAAGCCCATCTCTTCGCTGAAAACGAGCTGCTGGATTTTCCTGTTGAAAACTTCCACATCCGAAATCTTCGCCATGATCATCTCTTTGTCAGCTTCGGAAGAAGCTGCGCATTGTCTGACATCTAATACTGACAGCCTGTCGTAGTTCCGATCTACAGCATCCTGCGACGAAACCTGTATTCGAGATTCCATGCCCAGAACATTGGCCTCGAATATCTCGGCAACACACCAGGCCCGGTAAAGCACATCGAAAACATCATCGACGACAATGAGCTGTGTGAAATCCGCCACCTCCAATGCAAGGTGTGTCATCATGTCGTCGAACTTGTTGAGTTCAGACCTTGCGTCAGTGTGGCTGAAAACTTTCTCCACTTGGCAATTGCAGAATGCAAAGGCTTCACCTGTAACTGAGTCATACCGCCTTCTGTCCCAAGCAGCCCATTCGGGCGTCCCCTGGGGCGGCTCGGGCGCAAAGCCACCACAAATACTAGCATGCTGGTTGATGCAGAAAGCACACACCCAGTAGGTCGTCTCCAGCTTGCTAGCGAGCTTTGCCTGGATCCGCTGAAGGCCAGATGCTGTGGCAATCTGAGCTGAAACGTCCTGATAGCCAGCCCGTCCCAAAGCATCCGCGAGGATTGCGGAGACAAGACTTCCAAAGCCGTTGGTCCAGTTGTGCGTGACCATGACTTGCGGCTTGATGCCGGCGCCGGACCATAGCGTTGCCAAGGCACAACCGCCATCTCCAACTCGCGATTCGGGGATGATTGCCCGTCGAACCACGTCGTTGGTCAAGGAACGTACGGGGTCAAAGCCTGGCATCGCCTCACCATCGAGAAGTCCCTCCCAGAAGCCCAGAAGCGCACCGAGGCGAAAGCCTCGGTTTGCTAGCTGCTGGACCACCAGGTCGTAGGCTTCCTTTTCCTCGGGGCTCAGCAAGCTGGCCATCGAGACCAAGCCTCTGGTTAGCTCACGACCAGACTGTGAGTCATCTTTGGGAGGCCGTACTTGCCAGAGAATCCCGGACAGAAGGCCCAGCCCCAGTGAGTTCACTACCCACATGGTGTTGTCGGCGACGAACACAAGCTCCATCCACTTAAACGCGAGCCGATAGTGTGCATCCGACGGGGCACCCCAAAACTGCAACTTGGCATACATGGATATGCAAGAGACGACGCCCTGGCAACACATGGTCAAGCCCAACACTGTGCATATCAGCATCTCCATACCCAGAACTTGCGCAGCCCAAATAGCCTGTCTCCTTGGAAACCCTCGTACTCGCCCCGTTTCGTGCAGCAAGATACTCAACTTCATTGACAAGCTCGAGCATATCAGCGCCATGTAAGATACCCAAATAGTACACAGCACCGACTGGCTGACAAAGAAAGGCCAAAGATTCACATTCACAGAATGTGGGTTTGAAACATACGTATTGCGAAAGAGCCAGCTGCCGCACATGACGAGTATCCATATGTGCGAACAAGGGGGCTGCACCAAGCTAGACCCGATTCCCACAATCCGAATCTGCAACAAATGCAAAGTCCAGCCGAGAGCAACACACTGCACTCCACAACCGAATCTTTGTAAATAGATGAAAGCTTGACGATTGTTGTCCAGCAATATGACTGAAAACTGCCACACTGCCGATGCTAGCCAAAAAGAAAACATGCACCACTTGGCATCATGTGTGCCGGTAGAAGCTGGGTGCTGCCTCAGCATGCAGCAAACCCATATCAGTGACAACAGGACGAGAGCAAGTGTCTGCTGGCCCGGGCCAAACTTCCCACGGCTTTCGGTACTCACCTGCAAGACTGGAGAAGCCCAGAAGATGCAGGGATAGCCTGCGAGACACGTGGAGAGAAGGGTGATCAAACCGCAAAGCACAAGGGTGCATCTAGCGGAGCAGTGCCTGCCAGCTGAAGAGCCAGGGACATGCACGACTCCGAGGCATAGCCCAAACCAAGTGCTCACAACATCTCCGAAACAGTCGTATATGCGACGCTCACAGAGGCAAAGCGGAGCACAGAGTGCCAGCAGCCCCACAAGAAGGCTACAATACAGTAGGCGCCACTTGACTTCAAAGGCAGGGAGCCATTGGCTCGCAACGTCCATGCCACAGAATACCCGAAGTACCCTCATCTACCCAGACATCCAGACTCTTCGAAGATGGCTCGATGCTGGAAACATTAAACCCCACTCTGTCAATACCCTGCCCCGAAACTCTATCCCGATTACTGATGACTATACGATATACATCGTAAATCAGACATTCCACGAAACTGCTCGGCCTATATAAATCTACATACACTCCACACTAAACTCCGAACTCGAGCTCCTCTTCTAATTGGGACGGCCCTTATATGATTGGGGCCACAAGATTCATCACAGGGTCTTGGGGTGCTTTGTATCGTCAATGAGTACTGTGGTTTCCAGGGCAAGAAACATAGTGTTCGTCGTCCAGGCTCCTCTTGGAGGGCATTCAAGGAGCGGGATGGCTTCATGCGTTCTCCTTCGGTTGTAGACCCTTGTTTTCAAAAACCCCTAAAACCCGAAAGCCTTAGGGTTGAGGATGGTTTAGTTTAGGCATTGCAGAGCGGGATTGGGATCACAGCTGTGATCCACCCCAGGATTGAGCCTCGAAGGCTCAGACAACCAAAACTGCAATATGACCGTCGTCTGGGGATTTGGGGGCGCATGCAAGGGCTTTGGGCTGTGCCCGCTTCTGTTTTTTGTTTGTGCTCCATTTCATTTCTTCATGAGGCACGGAGTAAAGTTTACATTTCAAGGATTCTGGGTGTAAAATGCTCACGACTTCCACGGCGGTGAAGTTCAGAGCCTTGCAAGTGGTAGGTTAAGGATGCCAACATGTTTCATCGTCGACAGCGTTCTGAGTGGTGGAGATTCAAGATTCAAGATCCAGGCTTAAGGCCTGAGGGCTTATTGACCATACAGGGGATTATGTAACGGTTTCGGCTAAACCCTAAAGCCCCTTTTTTGAACCCAGGCTCTGTGTTATCAGCTGGGCAGCAGGCATAATTCCTGCCTGTGGAAACTTGGGCAAGTAAACAAATTCTCACGGACGTCCTAGAGCTAGTCAAACTCCATCACATCGTGCTGTGATTCGTCTGCTCCGGGTATGTGCAACTCCTGAGCTGACCGTGCACGTAGGCGGTGGCGGTCTTCACGTCTTTACCCTAAAGCCCCTAAACACCAAACCCTTTAGGCGGCTGGGGCCGCCGTAACTGTTGGTTGTGTCAAGAAACCAAATCCAGGAGAAGCGCCCACACGCTGCCTCAGCTTGCTACTACAGGGGCCTGAATAATTAGAAAAGGGTTTTGGGGCCAACTACCCTATAACTATAGTAAGGAACCCCCCAAACAGGCAATTATTAAGGCCCCTGTGTAAGTGCCGGCTGCTAAAAGTTGGGGGGCTTCCTCGAATCGGGATGGTTCCGCTTCAGGCATTGAAGGGTCGATGAAAGAATCGTCGGTTTCGGATCTATGTCAAATTCCGCCATTGTTTCCCCAAACTCACACGTCAGTAGAGTTGTCTTGGGTGCGGAAGACGAACCCGCGAAGGAGCCATGACTTCAGAACCTTATCAGCGGAGTTTTGAGGCAACGTGGAAGATTACAACTTGATGCCTTCAAAGGGTGACGTTCAAGGGTTACGGTTTCAGAGGTGTCCCATGAGCCGCAACGGAACGAACCGAGAACCGGTTTGGAAAGAAGAACAGGTCCCAAGGGACTCATGCAACGCTCTGACAGTTCGAAGCTCTGCATGCAGGGAGACACTACACTGAGCACGCGCGAAAATAATTATGTTCCGAAAGCCAACCACCACCCCGGGCGCTGCCAAGCCGCCCAGTGATGTTGGAGACAAGACTGAAGGCCCCTCTGCCTCCTTGCATGGAGAGGTTACTTAGAGGCCCAGGGGACTTAGTAAATAGGTTATAAGTAGGGCTAAGTAGGGTTATAACCCTAAATGGAGTTACCCCAACTATATATACAACCCTATTTATAACCTACTTGTTAAGTCCCCTGTGCCTCCAAGTAGTCTACGAGTCTCGGACCCACGAGTCCGTGCTGATGCTGCTCCTACTGCAGTACGCTACCTCCAAACTCGGCGACGACGCCTACTACCCCCGCTCCCACCCCTACCCCGCTGCTGCCGCTACTCCAACCTAGTCAGAACTACACTGCACCTACTCCGCCGCTCTACTACTCCGGCTGAGGCTGCTGCTTGCTGCTGCTGCTGCTCTTGCTGCTGCTCCTGCGACTACTGCATACTACTACTACTACTACTACTACTACTACTACTACTACTACTACTACTACTACTACTACGACCACGACCACGACCACGACCACGGCGGCCATCACCACCACTACTACGTGGCTTCAAACTGGGGTCGAACATGCCCTCTCCCCGGCCTTTGGCGCAGCAACCGCTTTTCGGTGTGCAGCCTCTTGGATGCTCTGGCTCGTTCATTCAGATCAGGGTAGCCTTTCTTCTTGAAAGGAGAGTAGCTAGAGTTTTCATGTGCCGGAAAGCAAGCTTTCGGTCTTGCGATGTCATGCACGGGCATAGTTCTTAAGGTTACAGAAGCCTCAAAGTAGCGCCTGAAAGTCTAGAAGCTGCACGATGGGATATGGCGTTGGGCTTGGCGGCAGGGCTGTAGCTCAAGCAAAAAGAGCTTTGAAGCTTCGGCTTCACCCTGAACCTATACACTTATAAATACAATTGGTTCATCACCTGGTCTCCTTCCTAAGGATGCGACGGATCTCCTGCCTAAAAGGTACTATAGTTAACATCCACGAAATCGGTCCGGGTATGAGAGCCAGGCATCCTACCATTCCCGTCCCGGCTTGCAGAGCAACAGAAAACCCCAAGCCAACTAAAAAAGGGGCCTCCAACACATCGTGTGTGAGGTTCAGGGTTATCAGGCCGTGATTAGATGGTACCTCTTTCGAGATGTGTATGATAACGAAGACACCACAGGAGGGAGCATGATCCCTCCTTGCGTGCGTACATGGCCGGTGCTGCAAATTTCACTTCTTTTGCGAACCAAAGCAGAAAAGCTATACACATATATATATATATATATATATAATGTATGACTCCTGTGATAGGGACCCCGAGAAAGACGTCTGGAGAACTACCCACAAGACACTTCCCAGGGCCCGCTGCCTTGGTTGGCTTCTGCGGAATCCTCTTTGGCAGTGACACAGCACGAGGAGGCGGCGAGCGGAAGAAGCTGCAAGTTGTAAACCTGACTCCCCAGGGCTTAGGGGTTTTTTCCTGCACGACCCTTTTTCCAGCTCGAGGCTTAGGGTTTAGGGTTTAACCTGACTCTGGATTTTGACTCAGGAGAGTTTGTAGACGGGGTCCCTCGTCATCGGGAGTGACGTTCACGTTAGAAGGCAAACACAAACAAAGGCCCACAGTTAGACCCCACGTGTCGTCAGGGCCTTCCGGTCGTGGCGCAAAAGCAAGCCAAGCACATCATCTAAAGGGAGTATGTGATACGAGCTGCTGTATGCTGTTGTGAGCTTATATCTAATCGAACTTCCCAAACTTCGGCAATGTCAGAAACCTATTTCAGGTAAATGCTGCTCACAGTTTCACTTCTAACCCGAAGCAATGACTCAGATCATCCTTACCTGAATCTGAGTCTCTGTCCATCTCATGCATGCATGCATGCATGCATGGATGGATTTGTGTATTCTCTGAGTGCGCATGCGCACAGCGGTATGTACATGTTTCTGCACATTTGTATATGTGTACACATGCAGGCACACGTGCACGCATGTAAACGTACACCAGTGGAAAGACAGAAGCATGTGCACATGCGTGCTCGTCCATTTCATGCATGTGTGTGTGTGTGTGTGTGCGCTGGTGCGCGTAGGCAAGACTTGCAACGACTGCCTGAAGGGTGAATGAAGTAGACCCTCGTATGGGCGGTCGTAGATTCAGCATTCGGTGCTTCAGGCTACAGGTATTTGGTTAAGTTTCCAGGGTGAGGGGCTGAGGGGGTTGAGGGTCTATAGGGGCTCTTGAGAGTTCGGATGTGCGGCGGAGTCGCTCACGTCCACCAGTCGTGGCCAGCATGTTCGCAAGTTCTGCAACTAGAAATCCTTACTATCATGAGTGTTGCTTGCCTCGATCCGACACATCCGATACATGTACGTTCCATGATCGATCCTACTCCTTATGACACGGTTTGGCAGCCAAACTCCTGAACCACAGAACCTACTCCATAATCCATGGACTCGTCGTAAGACTACAACTTGCTGCGTCTCTTTGGACTGCAGCTTGACTTCAGCAAAGGCAGTACGGGATAAATCTCTCGTTGATTTGGCGCTACCAGCTGTGTGGACCAGGGCTGTAAAGGCTGGGCTAAGGGATTCGGGTCTATGCGTTTCAAATCCTAAGCCACAACGACGCGGGTCCTTTCAAGAAGCATCTCTCGTTGAGAAAACTACAATCTGAGGGCATTAAAGGATCACGGAGCTGCGTAAGCGGGCTAGTGGCAAGCTTGTAACCCAATCCCCCTTTTTCGGTGCACTATGGGAAGTTCAGCTACACCGACCCAAACGATTCTCATGATGTCCTAGATTCTAGATCCCGCACTGCTGAGGCGTGATCTCTTCTAAAGTTTGCATGGCCGATCCTGCAAAGGGCAATGATAAAGTTATATGGCATAACATAGGTATAACTATGTATATGTGTGTATATTATATTATATTATATTATATTATATTATATTATATTATATTATATTATATTATATTATATTATATTATATTACATTATATTATATTATATTATATTATATTATATTATATTATATTATATTATATTATATATATATATATATATATATATATATATATATATATATATATATTATACATATATATACACACATATATATATATATATATATATATATATATATATATGCTCACATATGTGTATATACAAATGCACATACATGCATACACACATTGGGAAAGCCTAGCCGAAGGATAAAGGCTCATTTCTCATCGTTTGGAGTTTCCGTAACAATATCTCAACAACAACAGGAGTGTTCATGACAAAAATCCGAATAACAAGCGTAACGCCATGATTTTGCGTTAAAGTTACTCTATCGGTATCGAAAATCCCTTGGCAGCGACAGCAAACAATGCAGTGACGACAGTGTTTGAACAGGGCCAAGACGGGCGTATGTTCTGAAATGCTTTGAAGATCGGCAAAGGCATCATCGGAAGCTCTATCTGATTTGAGCGAAGCTCCGCACATCAGAAAGAGCCTGGTACCCAAAAATATTTGCAAGATTCCTTACACCACGTTCAAACAAGTTAAGTGTTTGAACAACACTATACTTCCAAGAGGTATGGAAACTCTAACCTACCCTAAACCCCGATTCCCTTGAAATCCAAAGCCCTAGCTCTCCGAGAACACTTGCCCTGGCACCCTGGGCCCATCGCCGCTGCGCGCTTTGCGAGGTAGCGGCTACGAAGCTGATGAGCTGCCAGGGTGGGGTTTGGGGGTTTAGGATTTTGGGTTCAGGGTTTAAGGGTTTGTCCCAAGAGCTCCAGTTACCTAAATAGTAGGTTACTCGGGAGTCTTTAGGATGCAAGAAGGCTTAAGGCTTAGATCCCTGAAGCCGAGTGCAGGTGGCATCTATGATGCCCTGTGATGGGCACTGTAAGCTGCCATCAGGACGCGATGTAGTTGCTTGGACTTTTGAAACCTGCCTATAGTCTCCATTGTAGTTCCTTTTCTGGTTTAACCAATGATATATTAAGGGTCCTACAAGGTAACCCAAAAAAGGAACTACAATGGAGACAAAAGGTGATCCTGTGACATGCAACCCATGTCCTTGCAATCAGCAAAGGCAGCGTTTGACATGTGCAAACTACCTGAACACTTTCAGACAGGCATCTGCATACTGTCGAGTCAATCCAGCGACACCACTGCCCGCACTACCCAGCCAAGTAACCGGCCTGCTCTGCATATTGGGGGCCAGTGTTTGGTCACAAACACCTGACGGAGGCCACTAAAAATAGAAAGCCAGTTTGGCAAGCTTCGGAGCAGCCCCATCCTAAGATCTTGCAAGCTGTCTGTGCGAATTATTCTCATTCTGTGAGGATCACATAATGATGCTTGGTTCTCTCCGCAACAACCCTATCACTAAATTTGTGAAAGGCTTGTGGAGATCTGCAAGAATACCCTGAATCCCTCGGTTCCTGAGCATCCCCATGATGATAAGGGTAGCCCTTTTCCTACGAGCCGGCATTTTTTAGGGAAACCAAAACGGAAAAGGGGCAAAAGGGTACTACTCAGGAACCTAGATCCGGTACCCTCACTGAGCACCACGAGCCAAAGAGACGAAACGCAAAGGTCTTTCTCTTTTCGAGGCGAGGGGGGGTCTACTATAATTAAGAGCCTTAATCGGTAGAATAGGGTTTAGGGGTATAGATACAATACAGTACTTATTATAAGGAACACCCAAAACAGTACAGGTAATCCTTATGGCCCCTATAGTACAGGCTTTCCGTCGTTTTTCGGGAGGCCGATAGGGTTTCGAGCCCGTGGGGCTTCGATCTGAACCTTCTCCGTGTGACGCTCTTTCTTTGCTCCCGCTGCACAACCCTAAAAGCTAAACCCTAAAACCAAAACCCTAAACCGTGGATCTGTCTGGTGTTTGGGGATATCTTCAACCCTCAGAAGTGCGAAGGGGAGAGCGAAGAAGAAATGATAAAACCAAATCCCGAACCCCAAGCCCCAAGTCCTAAACCCACACCAACAAAACACAATCCCCAACCCGAAACCCACCGTTACAAAACCTTACCCTAAAAAAAAACAGACCCATAATTCGCGAAACTCTAAACCCTAAACCTCTAAACCCTAAACTCTGAGGCCGACCCGCCAGAAGAAGGCGGAGTAGGGAAAATGCCTGAACGAGCAGTGACGACCCTAGGCTTTCTTTCGGGCTTCTCGGGCTGGCTCTAGGGGTTGAGGGGTTTCGGGTTCTGGGGTTTCGGGTTCTGGGGTTTAGGGTTTTAGGGTTTTGAGTTCTGCGGTTTAGGGTTTTAAGGTTTTGAGTTCGGGGGTTTAGGGTCTCTGACCGCGAGCGCCAAAGGTTGTCGTCCGAGCTGCGCCACCAGCAAGTCCGCAAGCCCCTAAACCCTACCTACCCATAGGCCCCATAGGGCCATAGGGATCACCTTGTAGGATGCTACTTATGAGCCCCAAGAAGGAACTTCTTTGGGGCTTATGGGTAGAGCAACCGGGGCTCCGTGAAAAGAAGGTTAACTTGAGCAAGTATATAAGCATCACGGAGCCGCTCGAAAGACGTAGGAAACTCACAAAACTCGTTAGGCACAAGCGCAGGCCCAGGATCGACCCTTCTGTTGAAACAAGGGGTATGTAAGCCCTAAAGATGAATAGCCCCAACGATGGGACTTGCTCAGAACAAAAGTCAAAGGTCACCGTGCTCCCACCCCAGAAGCAAACCGCATCCCCGAGTTCACTTCATCAGGAGCCCCGTGACAAGAGCCAAAGATGTAGTTTCGGGCTCAGTGTTTTGAGGGGCTGGGGTCTTAAGAACTCATGAATCATCTCGTCGAACACCGAAATCTCGACTGAATGTTGAATCGAAGGCTGAAGATGTGTATCAGGGTGTATCGTCGGTTCCGCCCCTGGTTAGACTACGTACTCAGATTCAGATTCAGAACCTCACCCATAGGCTCCATAGTAGTTCCTTTTTAGAATCCTATAAGGTAATCCCAAAAAGGAACTACTATGCAGCCTATGGGTATCCTAACACAACAAACGCGTGCAGGCCACGAAAGTGACTCAGGGGCGAACCTTCCCGCGAAGCAGAGAATGAGCCCTGCGATCGCCGACAGAGCACCTTATGATGGGGCTCAGGTTTCAGGGTTTAGGGTTCAGGGTTTACCCATGGGCCCCATAGTGGTTCCTTTTTGGAGTTCGCATGTAGGATCCTCGAAGGTAATCCCAAAATGGAACTACTATGGGGCCTATGGGGAGTGTTAGGGTAGGGTTTAATGCTTTGGGTGGCGGCTTCGTTGGGATTAAATCTGTCCGTTTTCTTTGGCACTGGGGTGTCCTTGCAGTAAGTATCCTAGTAACCTAGTAGTCAGAATCCTAGTTAGTATGTAGGGTCTAGAAATACGGCTCCGTTTTTCTCAAATTAGGGTTTTGGTGTAACAAACTGACGCCACAGCACACACGAGCATTTCAGATTTCACCGATGGGTGCGCAAGGTGCTTAGGATAGTAGCTGCTTGTGCTCAGTGGCCGCGTCCAGAGAAGGCCCTGCCTTTTGAGCGGTGCCCTTACACTCTGTCAGGGGAAACAAACGACGAACAGAAAGAACAGAGCCAACGAGTGGAGGCAGTGGCTTAGCCGGGTGATTAACCTGTGGAAGTCCAAAGCCTCTCGCCCCAGGCCCCAAAGCCGCCACTTCCCACTTCATGGATGACTCTGCACACAGCAGCACATCTTGGCATGGAGTTTGCAGCACTCTGCCATTTTCCATCTGCGGGTCTGTGGAATGCAAGCCGAGAATCAATCGACTGGCAAAGCTGCGACGTGGAGGCCTAAACCATGGACACAATGGTATGTCAAGAACTATGCCGCCCTAGGCTAGTTCGGACAGTCGCAGGGTGGGCTTCGCCAGCCTCGACGCTTGTGGTCCGAAGTCAAGGATCTCGGGCTGGCTGGGCGAGGATGCAGACTGGAGTGTTCTGCCACGGTACGCGAAGATCACAGACAGGGAATCTGTCACTTCGCACAAATTCTACTCAGGGAGCACCACAAATCTAGAATTTAAAAACCGAAAACCCTGTAAGTTCTAAAGCCCTTTTTGCTGCAGGCTTGCTTGCAAGGACGCCTGGTAGTTTGCCGATCTTCCGCCAGTTAGGACTGTGCTCGTAAGTTCTAAAGCCCTAAACCCTATACACTCTATAAACCCCAAAGCCTCTAAACCCTATGACCCCTACCTTAACCCTGAAGGACCTACCTTTTTAAAGACTTATATATGGAGATCATAATAAGAAACCCTAAAAGGGTAGGTTATTCAGGGTGAAGGTAAAGCCCATGCTCCAAGTATCTTGTCCGCCCCTCAGACCAGCTCATGAGCTGCGCTGGTAGTAGTAGCGCCGCATGGAGGAGATGTAATCCTGAGCCGCGGTTTAAAGGGTTTAGGGTTTAGGGTTTACCCTAAACCCTAAACCCTAAGCCCTAAATCCTAAACTCTAAGGTTTAAACTGCCCATGCTTTCAGGCATCTTATCGGGCCCTTGCGTTAGGGTTGGGGCTTTCAGGATTAGAAGTAGAGTTGAAGGTCAGGTCTTGTGCGCACGAGGTACCTCGCGTGGAAAATACCACACGCCAGATTGTAACACTTTGGGCCTATTATGCAGATGTCGGGCTGAGGGCAGAAGCCCAACAACAAAGAGGAAGAATCAAAACTACAGCGACTTGCAGCCATAATCGTGACAGTAGCCGCAGCCGTGTTTGTTAATTACAGAGAACCCTGCAACTTACTTAATCTAATTATACTTCTTTTGCTATGCCCTATACTTATACCAGATCCCCCAAGACCCAAAGCTCCATGACCTGTCTGCTACAGCTCACAGAGCTTCCGAGGAGAAGCTCTGAAACGGACTCCCTGAAGCCACGGGTCGAGGGCTTCCAGGCTAACTGGCTCACGCCCGTATTCTCTTATGCAATGCATTTCTCATGCCAGTCAGCTTCATGCTTGGAGAATGCAAAAACGTTTGCGACCAGAAGAAGTGAGCTGCGTTGGAGGGGAGTATGGGTAGGATTTGGGGCCGGCGGGGGGGGGGGGGGGGGGGGGTGCTTTACGGTTTAGAACGTCAAATGTAGGGGTTTGGAGTACACCACACGATATGTACACTGTGAACTCCGAGGAATAACACCGTAAGTTGCCTTCATCCGGTCTCTAAAGAGTCAGGAAGTTACAATAAACCCTAAGCCCTACGTACAGTACCCGAGACCTTTAAATCGTAAACCACAACAAACCAGTTTGTATGCCCCGAACCCGAAAGGCCCAACAACCCCTTCAGATATATGTATTGATGTACATCTTGTAAGTGTGAGTGTGTATATATATATACACACATTTATTTAGGTGTATGCATGTGAATGTAAACATGCATGTGTATATATGCATACATGCATGTGTGTAAATGTATGTGCACATAGATACACTTTGGGCACTCGCGCTCGACCATGTCAGCTATATACAAATACATGTATGTACTCCTACAAATATGAAAGTGTGCACCTGTTTATATATACACTCATATGTAACTACATACGTACACATACTTGTAAACATAAAAATGTGTACATAGAGGTATAGTGCATATATGCCATGCTTTGATGCATGTTGATGCCCACATGTATACACACACACAGAAATACATGTCCATATACATGCCAGCAAGTATTTAACAACGACCCAATCAGCACAGGTCCAAGAGTCTTGGCCTAACCATGGCCCGACTTCCTCGAGCCAAGTGAACCTTGACTTCTTGGAGCTTTGGACGTCAGATTGAGGCTGCCGTATGTCTACGGTGTAGGCTTAGGATTTCGGATGTGCACTAAGCCCCAAAACCCTAAACCGTAGTTTCCTCGACTTTGAAAATTGCCTCCGTCAAAGGATGCAAAAGCTTCTGCCAGGGCGCAAACTCCTGCGCCTCGCAATGCCCGGATCTTCTGGATTTTCTGCCACCGTCAATCCGGAGCCTCTGATCTTACCTATAGTCTCCATTGTAGTTCCTTTTTTGGGGTTTAACCAATTTTATGTTAAGGATCCTAAAAAGTAACCCCCATAAAGGAACTACAATGGAGACTATAGGTACGACCCCAATAAGTCACAGAAACTAAAGGTTATGATTCCTACTAAACTAAAAGAACCCAAAAATTGTAAGGTTAGGTATTGGGGATCTTAGTGACCGGATGTAAGGAGAGTGAGCACAAGTGTTTGGGCCATTAAGTTACGTGTTTTAGAGGTTGGGATGCTGTAGGTAAGGGTTTTAGCTAGTTTACAGCAAAAAACAAAAAGTTGGAAACCGGACTAAGGGCCAACTGGTGCAGGGATTCCCTATACATTACTCTTAAGGTTTGAGGCTATTGGGTTTCCAAGTTTTGGGGCTTCGACTGTAAGGAGAGTGAGAACAAGTCATTATACACGAATGTGCACATGTACACATACTGTTGGTAATTATATGTGCGCAGACATGTACCCTATACCGATGTACCTACATAGACATCGGTTTTTCTCTCTCTCTCTCTCTCTCTGCCGTGCCATCATCAAGAGACATCGGTTTATGATGCACTATTTCGGATGCTCATACATAACACCACGCAATATGCTTTCGGCATGTTCATGAGGAATATTGAATACTGGGGGGGGCTCTATCCTCTTTCTCCACGGGAGTTCTGCAGCGGGGCCCATGGGCCTCGAAGATAAAATGTACGGGTTCAGCGTTTTTCGTACCGGACAGCAAGTGCAGGGTCCAAGATTCACGGCTTAGGAGCTAGAGCTCCGGGATTTTGGGCAAGTGTCCTGGACGAAAATTATAGGCCACCGGAAATCTAGTTTCGGGCGGTTGAGGTTTCAGCCAGCGTATCTATAGCCGAGGATGGGTGTAGAAGCCAACAACATACAACAACAAATGGCAGTTCCACTGCATGGGACCCTTATATGGGTGGTTGTCAGAATTAGGGTCCCTTTTTGGGTCCCTAATATAGTACGGCACATACTATTCAGGGTACCCGATTTTCACGAGATTTGACAACCACCCACATGGAGTCCATAATGATAGGATCCTGAAAGCCGCCGCCCCTCAAAAAAGTCGCAGACAATAAGAAACACCGGCTCTCCCTTGGCCCAAGGGCATAGAAGATCCAAGTCGTCCTTAGACGAGAGGGGCGCAGCACTGACAGAGTTGGGGTTTCGATTCGCACACTCGCACGAGGTAGGCATGGCTTGAGACACTAAGTCCGCTGAGCTCTCTGGGGTTTAAGGATTTAGGGATTTAGGCTTGCGGGATTGATTAGGGATTTTTGACACTCACTCCCGGACAAGCCTGGCATTGATTAGGGATTTAGGGTTCAGCGTTGGGGTACCCCAAACCCTAAACCCTAAACCGATCCATGGCTACGACCTTGGTTCTTTGGGACTTGTGGTTTAGGGTTTCTTCGCAATGGGAACCAAGTTCAGTCAACGAAGGTTTACATTCACATGTACTTACTTGGAGGGTCAGGGGACTTAGTAAGTAGGTTATAAGTAGGGTTCTGGTTGGGGTAACTCCATGTAGGGTACTTATAACCCTACTTATAACCTACTTACTAAGTCCTCTGGGCCTCTAGTTAGGCGATCCAGGGCCGCCATGAAGGAGCTGCACATGCCAAGCTCGACTAAATAGTCCAGAATGCACACCCGAAAGGAAACCCAGGGAATATGCTCATAACGAAGAACGTAGGCCAGCGGAGCGTGTGCATGCATGCCCAGATACGCACAGTCGGGTTGATGTATGTTCGATTTTATGACAGGTTTATAGGGATTTGTGAGATGTTTTAGGCTATACAGGCTTGCAATGGCGGTCATAGTGTCTCTTTATGAGGTCTCACAAGACTTTCAGAAGTTTCTTCACCTGCATAGGTTGCTAAACAGCGTTATTCGTGCTTCACGAAGATTCTATGAGGGATTGTCTTGCTTTTGTTATGCGGGCTTATGAAGATTCTATGAGGGATTGTCTTGCTTTTTGCCTACTGGCTTCTGTTCAGGCTTGTCGGCCGAGAATCTGCATCCAACAACACATCTCCAGTGTACCAGTTGATGGGCTTCGTCAGTTGCGTGACCAGCCTCGTAGCATCAGGCGGGCTGCTGCAGCTAGCTGGGAAACACAATGCTAGGGCGCCCCGAGAGGGTAGAAAAGGACACTACTGAGCATCATGTGGTGTGGCTTTCAGCGATTGAAGGTCAACCGGTGGCCCTTCTGTGATCAGCATTCGCATGTCCAGGTAGAGTATGTTGCTGTTCGGTTTCGGTTTCTTGGGTTCCAGCTTTGGGAAGTTTGGATGCTAAGCACAGGTTGTCGGTTCAGGCCGAAAGTATGTAGTATATACGAGTACACGGTCTATAACCTACGGTATATGGTACAATGTAACTAATATGAAGTATACAATATAAAGCCAACAGGCTTCAGTATAGGTATACTGTATGTATAGTATAGAGTATGAAATACAGTACAGAGTAAACATACTAAATAGTATGAAAACTGTCATACACAGTATATGGTCTATAATATATCACAGCATATAACAACAGATATATAGTCTAGGAAATGCCGTACTACATGTTCTGCATAGAGCCTGGTAGTGGGTTTCATGATAATCTACAGTCTAGAGTAACGTAGAAAGGTTTTATGAATCATCGCTGGCCACTTCTGCTCCCAGACACATGAAGCCTGCAGCCCAAACCCCTCGACCCCTGATAACATCTAACCTAATCATGCACAAGGGCTCCAATGTAGCCTGCGAGCTCCAAACTCAACACCGAAACCCAAAAGGCTATAAAGATACAAACCTCAAGCCACAACAGTTGAAGACATGTCTAATCGTACTGCCTTGAGCCCTCCGACGTCTCCCAGGGACCCCGTTGCAGTTTCCGTGTTCCTTCAGGAAGTGCAGAAGCTACGTATCCCCGAACCTTAAGCCCGGAAGCTCCAACAATTGGAACCCAAAGGCCCGATGGCAAACAGGATGCTCCTCTACGCCAATCATCTAAATTCGCTGAACTTCGGAAACCTAAACTGCGACGACAAAAACCTGCATAAAGCATCTGGGGGGGGGGAACAATATACGAATACAACCAATGGAAACTATAATCACCATAACACTAGCGACGGTCTATAAATAAATACATACATATAGGTCGATAAAAACTGCAGCAAGAATAATGTAACTATAAGAACTCATAAGCCGAAATTCTCTCCGCAGGTGGTGCTCGGAGAGCCCAAAGCACCCCAAACTGTTGCTTTTGCCAAGGGCTGCTGATGTCCGATGGTCTGCTGGGCAGAAGGCCCTACATTTATCATTTAGAGGCGAAAGCAACGGTTGTTCAGATAATTGTTCTGATTATGGCTATGATGATTACTACTATTGGCATTTTTGTTACTTGTTATTGTTATTACTACTGCTGTTATGTCATGTCATTGTTCTAGTATTATTAAAGCTTAAGACTTACCAACCAATACAATACCTGTGCCTCGTTGAGAGCACTCCGGGTGCCGCCACCGTCGCCCGCGACTGGACGCAAGAAGCTATGTGTTGAAACCTGGCGTCTAAGGATTCTGGGGCTGCGGATTGCGGGGTCTGAACAGTCAATCAACCCGCAAGAATTGAATCTGAATGGCAGAGGCCCCAAAGGCTAAATCTGGCCAATGTTTACAAACTCACCAAGCCTGGGATCCCTAGTCTGCCCTACTTAGGGTTTCGGATTCAGGATGTTCTAAACATTCTGCCACCGCTCCATTCTCAGTATCCCATGCTCCGACGAGCAGGGCCATCAAAGGCAACAACACTTGAAACATCAGAGCACGGAGCCTTGAGGGTTCATCTAAACCCTAGATAACCTAGGTTACTTCTTCTGTCTTCCTTATCCTTAAACAGGTAGGATCTGGGTCTAGGTAGGGTTTCGGAACAGAAACCAGGACTTCGTTGAGGGTAGATGGGGTGCAGGCATGTCCAAGAGATTGGGCCCGACAGAGCCATTCATCAAGGACTCCATGAGGGATTGGTGCTTGAAAACTTCCTGGTGTTTAGGGATGTATATGGGTGGTTGTCAAAATTAGGGTCCCTTTTTGGGTCCCCATTATAATACGGCACCTAATATTTAGGGTACCCAAAAAGGGACCGTCGTTTTGACAACCACCCATGTATAGGGTTTAAAAGTGCGAACTCTTCCGGCTCCTACAGCTCAGTTTGTGCTTAGCATCCGGGCTTCGAGACGCTACGTGATCCGGGGGGGCTGCCCCACTACCACCCTTGGCCGCAGAAGCCCGAAAACACTAAACCCTGGACCGTAACCTAGGGTTTTTTAGGGTTTTTTAGGGTTTTATGAGGTTTCATAGGGTTTTATAGGGTCTTGTAGGGTTGAGGGTTCCTCTCATAACCGAACACGCTCCCCAGGCTGCCCCTGGCGAGGGACAGGTCCAAAGATGTCGGTCGGTCGGGACCACCTCGCAGAGCGCTGATGGGAGGCCAAAAGGGGGCTTTAAGATTCTTGGGTAGGGATTCCTTAATACGAACCCTATTATGGCAACCCCAATCCCTACTAAACCCCCATAGGCTAAAACCCCTTTTGGCCTCCTATGAATAGCTGCTGCCGCACCGAAGCGCTAAGACATAGTGGGACGGTTGATGATATAAATCCTGCATGACCCATAATAAGAATAAGGAATATACCATAATTCCCATAGTTTAGGGTCCTTAAAGGTAATGCAGGATTTATATCATCAACCGGAGAAGTGCTTCCTAGAGTATGCGATCCCACCCTTTTGCAGCTGGGCTCTTTGTCTGATCCCACCCTACCTATAGTCGCCATTGTAGTTCCTCTTTTTTGGTTAACCAAAATCTCTATTATAGGATCCTAACCATGAAACTGGTTAACCAAAAAAGGAACTACAGTGGAGACTATAGGTAAACCCTAAACCCTTGAAGACTTCATCATCATACAACTAGGAAAGCAAGCCTGGGCTCGTCTAGCTTTACCCGGATGGGTCCGGTGTGTAAACCCCTCTGGCATAGAACTTTTGTACTCTGGGAGCATGTCGGTAGTTGAAATGTTCTGAACCCTGGTTGAACCAGAGCTTGAGTGACAGGCCTGGAACGTCCAACCTCTCTCCGATCAAATCAGCACATGGTATCACTAGCATCATGACTGCCAAGGTGTTCATGACAGAAACATTGATCCAAACCCTGAACTCTCTTCTCCAATAACCAGGCCCAAACCAAGTTCAAACTTTTTAAGCTAGACCAAATATATGAAGCCAACAAGTTTAAAGTTCTCCAATCGGCTAAGTAAGTGAATCCCGAACCCTTGGGTCCTCAACCTGATGGTGACTGCATTTGTGGATTCTGCTGGACGACTAGTCCGCTCAAGTGTAGACCCCAGTGCGGGCGGGCTGCATGCTCCGCCTGACTGTCTCTACTGACCCTGTACAGACGCTGCACATGTGTGTTTGTGTGGGCGTCTGCACACACATCCCTACGCAAACACAACACGCATCTATACCTGCGTGTCTGTGCACTTAAGGTGTCTAGCCACAAGCACACGAAGCAGCACGTATGCTCGTTAATTACCGGTCAGGCACACATCTTCATGCTGATGCATGAACGTTGTGTACCTGTATATGCGTGCATGTCTGGCGGTCTACGCATCTGTATTTATTCTGGTTCTAAAGATGCCTTGTTTCGCGCCCTTCCTGAACATTCATGTTGCTCCGTCGGTCTTGCCTAAGCCAAGGCACACGCATCTCGTTCTTCGCTTGGGGCGGCCTCGTTGTCCAAGGCCCCGAGCGACAGAAGGAGCTCAGCCATGTCCTGGATCATGTTAAAGTAAAAGCCAGAAAGTTGGAATATGATCATCCTAAGCACTTTATGGTAAATTAAACGGTATCCTACCCTGAAACCATATTCCAACTTTCTGGAGTTCCCTGTATGAGTCTTCAATGGCTCAGGTACGGGCTCTTGCTTGTGCGAAGACTTGGGCTGTCCGATTGGATGCCGCCAATCACATGAAAGTGCCCTGCTTCCTGCATACCAAGCTGTGGCTCAAGCCCATGGACCGTCTGATGTGCAATTCTGCAAAGGCACGCGCACATGGATGGGCTGGAATCGCTGTTGGCCATCCCCGGCCAGGAGAAATAGCGGAGTTCGCCTGCAAATGAGTATTGAAAATCAAACCCTCCTCTTCAAACCCTGAAAGCTCTGGACACCACACATCTTGGTCACAAGAACCCTCCTCCTAAACAAACTGTGAACCCTATAAGACCTTGGCCCAAGCCCCTTAAGGACCTCAGCTGAACTCATCCGACATGCACCTTCTGCCACTTTCGAAGCAGTCCTACCTCAGCACCCAGGCCGCATTGTTCATCAGAATCGACTCCCCGGCAGTATCGCCAAAAATGCCGCACGGGCGGGCAATCGCCTGAGAAGGTCAGCTTAGGGCTGAACATGAAAACCCTGTCTGCACTATAAATCTGTTGCTGCCGGGCTTCAAAATGACAAGGCATGCCAGGTTTACCTACCATCTCATGTAGATATGCTCGCTTAGCTTTCAGGGGATAATTTTTATTACCATTCCAGCCCCTCCCGAAACCCTAAATGCTACGCCCTGCACCTTTATGGGCCGTCTGTCGTAGCTTCGTTTCGGACGATGACGGAATTTACATGAGCCTCAACCACACATCCGAAGAAGATTCCAGACTTTGGCTTCTATGTAAGACTAAGCCAGTTCTTCTTTGATTCAGGGAACACTTCTAGCTAGGGCTCAGAGTTCAGGGCTCTTTGTTTAGGGATCAGGGTTTAAGGTGATAGATGGCGTTCTGCAAAACCAAGTTTGGTTATTTAAACCCTAAACCCTTTATTTGGCGGGCGCCACAGCGAAAATACTTTCTTTCGCGTACTGTCTGAAGTTTTTGTTGCGACTGACCATCAGTATATAATAATGTCATGAAACCATTTTTGCCACTGGGCTTGGGGCTAGCCAGATCCTTGCATCGCGGAATGAAAACCCTACACCCTAAATCACTAAATTCAAATCCCTACATGCATCTCAAAATTCACCGGGGAGTCTCCAGAAAGACGCCTCAACGCCTTCGACGAACCTTGCAAGCCCATGAACCCTTACCCGTAGGCTCCATAGTAGTTCCTTTTGGGGTTTGAACCCCAAAAAGGAACTACTACGGAGCCTATTCGTATAGCAAACCATTGCAGAATTTCGGCAAAAGCCGTGCTGTGAGGAATGACCCCAAACCTCAAAAGCCATCAACACTCTCAGGGGTTTAGGGTTAAGGTTTTACAGGGTTTTGGTTTTAGGTTTTAGGGTTTGGAAGGGTCTCATGCAGCCGAAGCGACGTAGGAGCCAATCCCGGAGGCTCTGAGGGCAGCTGCAGCACGAGCCTTTCCAGCGATGTACACGAAGGGCGAGGCCTGGAGGGCAGACCAAAGGGTCATGTAGGGGCCTTAAATAGCTGGCATAGGGTACCCCCCCACAAAGAAAGCGACACATTCTGTTGAGTTTAGGGCTCAGGCGAAGTCTTGCAGCCCACAAGGTCTCAATTCTGAACTTAGATCTAGAGGTTGAAGGAATACATTATTGTTTTCAGAGCAGGAGGGAGGCACTTCGCTTCTGAATCGCGCGCTGAACGCTCTAAGGTCGGCCCGACCGACCAGAGGCCAGGTCACTTCTCTGGCGATGTCTTCAGGGTCTGACTTCTGCAGTTTCAGGCCAGCCTCAGATATAATACTTACTTGCCCTGCAACCCAGGGAAACAAAGGGTTCCTTTTTCCAGGTTAGTAGTAGTGGACAACCAAGCATGGCACATTGTAATACCGTCACGACAAACTAAACAGTACACAATGTGTGTGTGTGTGTGAGTGAGTGTGTGTGTGTGTGTGTGTTTGTGTGTGTGTGTGTGTGCTTGTGTGTGTGTGTGTGTGTTTGTGTGTGGTGTGTGTGTGTAACCCTGAACACAACGGCCTCCGTCGCGTGGGTGTGAGAGGTGTAGACTATGCGCCGCACGCCGGCCTGTCGCGCTATCCTGACAGAGGGTTCATGGGGGTCTGTACGGGAAATACAGATTTTACGATGATTGAATAATAAACTGCGCCGAGCATCTCAAAAAGACGTGCACATCGGTCCGCAGCAGCTGCGAAGGTGTCGCCGTCTTTCTCAAATCGGATCCAGTATGTACACCACCTGTTGCTACGGTTAGCTTTCTGGACACCACCGATCCGTCTGAGGACTATGCGAGCTCGCAGGTCAAAACCAAAGCAGGTTAAGACGAGAATGAACAGGAACCTGCGGTGCAATCGTGGCCCCCGGTGTGCTTTAGATGCATGACGGACCATATGCTTGACAGCGCACAACTCGGCAGAATGTAACGCAAGAGCAGGTCCTTCCCAGGAACGAAGTAGGACGTGAAGTCCTTCGGACCTACAACCTTGTCGCATCAGCTCGATTCTTCAGCCCACCTCCCAGAATCAGCAGACCGAGCGCCTATCAAGACCCGCCACAGCCACAAGCAGTGAAGCATCTAGGGTTGAGGGATTAGGGGTTTGGGATTTATATGCACAAGGCCTTGCGTCAACGCCAAGCTGCAGCACGGAGCATCCCTCCAAAGCTGTGCCCAAGCGCTTCTCATCGGAGAAGTCCAGCGGATGCTTCCTGGCTTCCCCAAGACCAAAGGAAACAATGACGTTCACCTTCGAGAGCCGCCCAGAAGAAGGCATCATACTACCTTGCAACAACACACCTCAATACATCAAACCACACCTAGTAGAAGAAACCTAAGAACACTCTGAAAAGTTTCAGAAAACCCAAGCCAATACAAGAAACAGAGGCCAGAACAACTGTAAACAGGAAACAAACACAATCCTACACCCTAAACCTAAACCCTAAGCCAAAAACAGCTTTGATTGTTGGAAAACCGAGCTTCTCCACTGAGCCGACATCCTTCAGCGACATTTTGGGGCAGGGAAATACAGGAGCTTTTGCAGGGACCCCAAGGGACCCTCATTTAGGTTTAGGGACCCTTGGCCCTATTACAGTAATGTAGGCGCCTGAATCATTGAGATGGGGTTCGGGGGTACCTAGTAGCAGTAGATTGGTGCTAGTCAGACATGTGCATTAAGGGTTCTAGTTGTGGTTCAGGATTTCAGCAAAACCATAAACATATATGCATTCAGGTCAGACGGAAAATCACCGGGAAGCACGTAAGGCCGAATACTTTGCATCGTTGTAATACTTATTAATTAGAATTTCTAGGTGTCTCCGAGGCGCCCGACTGGTCAGTGGAGCCGCAGCAATCGGCGCAAAGCGGCTGGATAGCGAAACAACCTCGACTGCAATGTTGGAGACTTTGGTTTGAGCGCTACTCAGAACTTGGGATGTAAGGTATGGGCTTCAACCATTACCAATAGGTTCATCATTGCAACTATAGTACAACGGCCCCAAAACCCAATTCTAATTGTTAAGGCCCCTATATAAAGGCTTGTAACATGAATTTTGCTTGCAGTCGGGCTGTGTTAACTGGGGTTTGGGGTTCGGGAAATTCGGACGGGTTTCACAGACTTCCCTTTGAGGAACTTGTAAGCTGAAACTAGCGACAAAAGTTTGGGGCTACCATGAATACCAAAATCTGTTTTGGTATAACTGATGACTTACATGCATGTTTGTTTAATGGCATGTGACTGATACCCCGCCCCCTGTGTGACCCACATAGAATTGCACTTTCAAGCTGTGAAGACGAGATAAGGATACTCTAAAAAATCGATTTCAGCACATGCACTTATATGTAAGAAGAGATGTATCAAGGAAGAAATCAACGCAAGAAGGGGCCGCTGTGGTCGAAGGACCTCGAGGAAACACGAAACTGGGCACCGACAAAGTATTACAACAATTCAGCACGCAGGGTGCCAGTAAGCCTGGCAAGGTGGTCAGGGGCCAATGGGAAGAGCAAAGCAGCCTGATGCCCACCGTCCAGCAGGAGCTTGGCTAAGTAGCGGCCAGAATAGCTGAACGCGCCTGCACAAGGCTTTGGCTTCAGAAGGCCTGCAGGTTCTTCTGGAATTGATCTTGCATCATTTGCAGGTTTTTGTTGTCACATCTCACTCCGAGCCGCCAGCCTCCAACCCCAGGCACTGATTTTTCTGACTAGGTCTTGGTCTGCTGCGCCGCATTATAGACATCGGTATATGAGTCGTTATCAAAATTATGGTCCATGATTGTAATACGGCACCCAAATCTAGGGTACCCAAAAGGGGGACCCTATTTTTGACAACTACCCATGTAGAGCACAGTAGAGCTTGTTGCAGGGACATGGGCACAGAACATGGCTCGGCTTGCTTGGTTTCGGAGCTCACACTTCTACTGATCTCCCGTATTCATACATAAACCTGACACATACTAAAGAAAGTGTTATGTTACTTTCCCCCGTGGCTTCTCTGGGATTCATACATAAACCTGACACTTTTAGAAAAGAAAGCGTTATGTCCCTCTCCCCACAACTCTCGGGTTCAAGGTCGAGAGATACCAAGTTCCATCTCTGGTTCTTTTTTACACCTGGTCTACACATATATGCCAAGAACCGAGGCGCCGACTGTGCTGTCAGAGATGGTCCTAAACCCTAAACCTTCTGGTCTGTACTTCAGATGAGGGGATGACCTCGCTCTGCAAGCCCCTTGGATTCGACTCGTAATATAGGGTTTAGGGTTTCGAGGTTTTGGGTTTAGGGGTTTAGGGCTTGGGGACTGAACATTTACTCAGTTAGTACTACCTAGAGGCTCCATCATAGTTCCATATTTATGGGCTACCTTTATAGTATCCTGACGACAAAGTTTGTTAATCCAGAAAAGGAACTGCAGTGGAGACTGTAAGTAAGATGGATCCCGGTAGAGCCTTTTCGGAACTATACTGAGAGAAGCTAGCATGGAGGTTTGTGATAACACCCCTTACTAGAGTCCCTGACATAACTATAACTATTCTACGATACACTTCAAAAACCCCTTCTGAATACTATTAATGCCCATGCACTAGCTAGCCCAGATTTTTCAGTGCTTCAGACTTCCTGATTTTTCAGGGCTTGGTAGGGTTACGGAAATTCTTGCTTAATGGACTTGGGTCGCAAGGGCTTACCCAAGAATTTGTCAATCGTATATAAACCGTTCTGTATGAAGGGACATACATATGAATGTTACAGGGACCCCTTCAAACCGAAAGGGGCTCCGCGGACTTTCCGAAACCGCACCTGTAATCGCCACCTTCATCGGGCTGCGCACGATTCGGGGCTGCCACAGCGCAGCAGACTATGTACAAGAGGCCCGTGTGGTGCAGCAAGGCGTGAAAGGGCAACAAGCTGAAAGTAGATCACTGGGCTCGTTTGCACCCTGTATGCATGTGTATGAATGCATGAAAATGATATATACTTATATACATATATAAGTATAACCTACGGTAGAATTCCGACATACAAGCCCTCGCAGCCCCGTAGATAAATCCAATAAGTGCTGCTAACAAACCAGCCTCTACAGCGGAAATCACGAAGCCTTGAGATCACAGCTGAAAACTCAGGGCAGGATGATTGAAGCTACAGTTTGGGGATAAGGGTGCTAAAGAGCACAACGGCGGTATTCGCCACAAACACACGGACAAAAACGCTGGCGTTGCTGGACTAATGCCCGTTATAGATAGCAGCAGGAAGAGGACCCACAGTGCTGCAAATTCCGGAGCTTGAATATGTGAAGTTCTCCAAATTAAGGTCCCTCTTTAAAGTCCCCAAGAATAGTATGGCACCCTGATAAAAGGCACCCGAAAAGAACTCTACTTTAGAGAACTAGACATATGCACCCCCACGGTCCACGTTCCTCCATCTTAAAGCTCTAAAGGCTCTTCCACTCTGGACCCTGAGGGTTAAGGTTTAGGGAGTGGCAGAATCCGCGGCTCATGGTTGAGAGTACAGGATGTTTCTGCTATTGCTTCAAATATTATGTGTTCGAGATTATATACTGATGTATTACATATGCTGCTTCTTATGGTTCAAAACCATCTACCGAGCTGCTGAGCTTGTGGAAAACCTCGAACATCCATGTCGCACGCAACTGCTATGTTGACCAAACCTACCGAAGAAAAGTCCCCACCTGGACCCAAAAAAGTATGCATGTAGAATAATTGCCTTGTTATGTGTTGGGATCTCGTTTAGCTACTTTTTGCGTTTTACATCACTGAACCCCTAAAAATCTATGCATTCGTCGTCAATGTCTGGTGTCTTTGCGAAAATCTCTCGAGATACCAAGGTGAAAAAACTCGTCAACCCTTAAACATGAAAGTTCTAGACTCTCAACGAAACGAAGAATCGTGATATTCCACATGCACCCATAGCTCCGTATGCTGACCGACCCAAGCCCAGACCTCAATCGCTACACGCAGGCCGAAGCCCAATTCACTCAAAAGCACCGGCTTGAACATAAACATCGAACCCTAAGCCCCGTAGGCATCCCCTGATCCCTAGACCTGACAGCAAACCCAAATCCTGCGGCATAAACCCTGAACCCTGCAAGTTCTCGGTGGTGGCTCTCTGGGTACCCTGCCCTCGGCAGGCAGCAAGGCGTGCTGCACGCGCAAGGCAGAGGCCTTCGGCAATGAAGGGTCTAGAGCTGTGCCACGTCTTGTTCAGCTGTGCTTGCTGCTGCTACTAAGGTTACCACGACTACCGGCATGGGGGGGTAGTCAATTAGTCGAAGACTCAAACCTCCTGCGAGCTCGACCATCTCAACGCAGCCCTGAAACTGCAAAATGATCTCTTTGGTGGCTTTGTTTGTCCAGCCGACCCACATCGAACCTCCGGGTCTGGTGCTGAAAGCCCTTTCAAAGCACGGAATACGAAGCCCTAAACCACAAACCCCTTTTCAGCACGGACTGAGGTGCCCCCTGAACTCTAAACCCCTAAACCCTCAACCCCCAAAGCCCTAAATCCCCAATCCCTGAACCCTAAACCCTCAAAGCCCTAAACCCTCAAGTGGCGGAGGGCCTCCACCGATGCCAAGAAATCCTCAAGCTCACCATCCGCCTGAAGAGTTCTGGCGGCAGGTTTGTCGCTTAGCCTAATTTGGGAGTTTCCGAAGACAGGGGACCCTTATATAGTAAGCGAAATAGTAGGATCCCTATTATAAGGACCCCAAGTAAGGTACCCCCCCCCCGTTTTTGGAAACTCCCATATAGGGAAAATTCGAATAAGGTTCCGTTGGTTTAGGGTTTAAGGGTAGGCTTGAGGGTTTAGGGCATTTAAGGGTTCTTTTGATGGGTCCTTAATAAAAGGGATCTATTTTAATAGGGGTGGTCTATAGTATAAGGGGCCTCAATACTTACCTATACTACTTTGGGGAGTTCCTCAGATTGAGTATAGTATAATGGGCCCCAGAACCCTGTTAAAATTATTAAGGCCCCTATGTTACTTGTCGAGTACCCTGCGGAACCAAAGGGGAAGTTTTGGGTGATAGCACCCTAACAAGGCTGAAAAGTTTACTAGGCTTAGGAACCGGAAGGGGTGAGGGTGTTAAGGGGCCCCGATATGAACAGGATGGACTTTCTAGGATCCTTAGACGCCCCATGAGGCACGATCCCATTGGGCATGCTTTTTCGGCGCAGCGGAACTCTTTTCGCGCAGAGCGGTCGGACACGGTATGGCAGTCCCAGAATCAATGTCAACCCAGTCAAATCGCTAAACTCAGGCGGTCGCTCCAGGAAGATACCCTGAGGTCTCTGGGTTCAAAGTTAGCATCGGCTTTTCTAGGAATGCGCCACCGTGCTTTAAAGCTTCTAGGGACGCACATATATCCTAAACGCCTAAACCCTGGCGAATTCCTAGGGCAGGTTTGCGGCGCATGGCTCACAGAAGATCCTCGATGTCCAGGGTCTGCTTGCAGTCCTTGACAAAGACCTTGTCGTCGGGTTTAAGGCTAAAGATTAGAAGGAGCCCCCACCCTGTAATAGTGGCATAACAGGAATCTAATAGTCACTATTACAGGGTGGGGGCAGCTTCTAAGCTAAAGATTACAAGTAGCTTCAAGAGGTGTTCAGTCATGGTGGCGTAAGACTGCGGCTTTATCAAGACTTGACCTACATTCAAGGAAGTTCGCACAGTTAGGAACCTTCTTCAAGTGTTTATACCCTCAAACCCCAAACCCCTAAACCCTTTAAAAGCTCTTGCCAAAGTGAGGAGATGTTGGAGCCTCCGGGCTAAACCAACCCATGCCTGTGCCGCCCCACCCACCCCCCCCACCCCCCTCGCCGAAGGTCTGAGGTTCAGGGGTCTTAACTGCTACCCGGTACCTCCATAGTAGTTCCTTTTTGGGAGTACCTTATAGGAGTCTAAATATGAACCCCAAAAGGAACTACTATGGAGCCTCTAGGCATATCCTACAAGCAAAGGGGTCATAACCTACTAACCTGTAAGGTGGCCCTACAGCTGGGGGTACGGCTTGGGGTTTGGGGTTTAGGGCCCTTTGAAACCCAGGGTCCCAAACCGTTGGTGTAGAGGTTAGAAGCTGCCCCCACCCTGTAATAGTGACTATAAGGATTATAAAGGCCCTATTATGTTCCTATTATACCGCCATTACAGGGTGGGGGGCCCCTTCTAATGTATAGGGTGCCCTAGAATCCTGCATCCTCTCGGGGTACCGAAGGCAGCAAGGCCGAAACATCGGCAGCCGAGATGCATTTGGCCAGGGTATCGTTGAGCCGCCGGCCTTCTCAAGGTTGATAGATCGCGGAGTCTTACGAACCTCACCAACACAAGCAGCTACTGGGGAAAAGATTAAGCCACAGGTTCCTTTGCCAAGAAGTCTCCTGAACCTCAGGCCCTAAACGCCCACCCGGTCAGGGGAAATGTGGCAACACATGATCCCGGTCAATTGCGGCCCCTGTGCCCGACTTGCTGTTGCATGCGCTTTTGCCACACGAAGCTGCGACCATGCAGAAGCCAACACACGGCTGAAGTTTCATTCACGAACCTCCTCCTTGATTAGGGCATGTTCTGAAACATGCTCCCTGCCTCTGTCCTGCTCCTGATTTAAAACTCTCTAAAACAAGGGGTCACCAATATAGGACCACCCCCAAGAAAGAGATCGTAAGTAGAACAATGTTTCAAGGAGGGACCCGCCTTCAGAATTATGCCGCCTCCCAAATGCAACTCCACACATGCGCAACGCCAAACCCGGAACCACTAAACCAAAAGTCTCAAGCCCAATGGAGGCTCGAACCTTCTGAAGAATGACGACCAGCCGCGTTCCTCGAATCTCCCAGTGGGACTCCTGCAGAAGCTTTGTGATTCGTGAGTTTTGAGAAAGTTATACCAAAACTATAACAAGGAAACCTACAAACAATGTTGGTCATCAGTTGGGCGCCTTCCTACAGAGCGGTTGGATTTACATTCTCCCTTATAGCCCAGCCGACTGACGCGCATGGAAGGGAACACGAGAGACCAAACTTCGAATCCCTACCCTGGAAATCTGCAGCTCTACCAATCAAGAAAGATCTGCTGCAATTATCTACCGTACCGGAGACCCTCCGTTCAGGGTTTCGGGGAAGAGAGCTTCCTCAGTGTCCCCTTAAGATTAATAAGGGTACCTTTGTTCCTGCAAAGGGAAGCCTAAAATAGCAAGGAACGAGGGAAGTATTGGGGAACTGCGGATGCTGGGTGCCGGTTGCAGGGGGGCATCGGGAGCCGGAAAACCCTGAGCTGATGGTTTAGGGCTTAGGGTTTAGAGGGGCGCAGGGGTTCTCAGGTTTCGTACATCTCAATCCACACGCCAATCATCAACTCAATGCATCCTTTTGTCAGCCCTGTTAAACTACGTTCCCAGGTGTCCGCTTGAAACGGTACCCATGTTCCTGCTGTTCAATGTTTAGCAAGAGAATGCCGAAGTAATTGGGAACCATATGAACCCTAATGCAAAGGCCTTGATAATTAGAGTAGGGTTTTGGGGTGTAGTATACCATAACTCTTTTTAACGCCCCCCAAGATAGTATAGGCAATTAAACGGCCATTACTAAGGCCCCTGTACTAAAGCTGGTAAACAGCCAAGAAAGCCTCCGGATCGCAGCGATTCAGCAGATCCCCGTGCACGATGGTACGCTCACAGATCTTTACCGACCTCACAGCTCCGGAGCGGACCGAAACTTTTAGGGCCGCCAAAACAAGGTTTAGGGTTTAGGGCCCCGAAAACCCATAAGCAAAAGTTCAAGACAGGGATATCCCTGTACAATGCTTATGAAGCTGATGTCCTTTTGGCGTCAGTGATCGTTGTCCACTATCCTGGGGAACTGCAGGTTAACCTTGCGGCCTACTCTACTACTAAGCAAATACTCCCAAAGCCGTTCAATGGAGCGGGATCTGGGGCCAAGCTACACATTGTCAGATTTGATCTTGACATCCACATCGCGGGCTTTGCACCCGTCGGGAAGGTCGATCTCAACCTGTCACGAGCCCCGTAACCCAAAGCATGAAGACTGGCTTACATTTGCATGATCTCCTGGGTACTGATCTTATACAATTATGAAAGCGTTGCCAGGCATCTTTGCGGTGTCTGTAGGAGCCCGAGCTAGTGCAATAGCGAAGGGTGAAATGACAATTGGGATTAGCGGCGTGGAATAGAAGGAGAGCTTGTCAGAAAGCCAGCTAAACCTACAACCTAGGTCCTGAACGTCAAAACCCCTAGCTCCAAGTGTGGAGTGCAGGGCTTTGGCTTCAAGTTTGTTGTCCATGCCGGCTTGTGCTTCCGCGTCCAGGGGAATATGGGAATTGTTTAGGATTCAAGCGATGCGTGCAACTTCGCACTGTCCGCTTCCACATGATGGACAAGGCAGGGTCTTCAAGTGACGGCTCAGGGTTATTCGGGCATTGCAGGGCCGAGTATAAGGGCCGTAGATAACTGGAACACAGGGCTTTAGCGATACATTCTGGTATAATTGCTTTGGGCACACCTCGGGGAGAATCTTGCTGATTGTTCAAGCCCCTATGTTTGACTTCTCCCAAGCCTCCACTTCGTAGCCTGGCGAGATGTTCGCCTGGTCGTCTGCGGGTTTAAGTTAAGGATTAACCGTGCCGCCCAACCCTCTCATACCTCTGCGCATCTCGCGTCATCAACACCATACAGTAGCGGCGGCGCTGATCGTGTGAATGGCCATGAGGTCCCACCATGCTCGTTGTTTTGTGCACTGTCGATCGTGCTTTTGTTCAGGAGGCCGCAACAAGTCACGAAAACAAATAACAGCTCGAGTGTCATCATTGGTAAATCATCGCCATCACCACTCACTCATTGACAACATCACTGTCGTTGCTCTAGGCAGAACGAAAACAATTAACGAACAGACATGGAGAACATGGTAAGTCATCACGACGAACGGCAGCGGTATGCCACAGCTGCATACAGTCCGAGGGAAACCGAGTCTAGACCCGCACAGCAGCCGCGAGCAGAACAGCACAAGTTAAGGAGAAGATCTGCACAAAGGTTGGCGTCTTGCTTGTCGAGACTGGGGAAATCGGAAGTTCTATCCGTTCTGGCTTTGGTATGGGTAGGCCCCCAAACCCGTAAAGGCTTTTGCAACTGTGACACCCATCGGTACTCAGCTGTCTCTCCGGCCGGCGCGAAGTAGCCAGGCATGTGGCGGCTTCTCGAAACCCTAAACTCTAATCTCTGATGATGTATGATCTCTTTGATGATCAGTCGTTCGGGTCGGCTGAGACCTGGTGATGTAAGGACACTTCGAAGTCGACCTCACGGGCTTTAAAATTCAGGGTTGAGGGTGCTGGTTGGGCATTTTTGTCGTCAGCTTTCGACCAAAAGCAACAGCAAGCTTGAGGGTAAGGGCTCAGGTGTTTTTCGCTTCAGGGGGCTTAGATTCCAGCTCTTAGGATTAAGGGTTTTATGCAACATCCTTTAATCTTCTCGCGTTTATCCTATGTCAAGCATGACTTTTGGGCTGTTATGGTGTCCACTGCTCTTCACCGGAATGCAGCATTCGAGCCGCTGAGGAGCTAGCCGGGCCGTGGGCTGAGCAAGCATCTCCATGTTCTAAGGGCCATAGTAAGAAGACTAGGACACGCAGAAAACAGGAATCTAAGGGAAGTGTATGGAATTCTACTAGCAAGTCTCCAGGCCCCTTTCCTATACGATGCCACAACCAGTGAAGGAGACTGTACACTCGTCCTCCAGACCAGGAGAGTGTTTCAAGCCTGCCAAAGTATGATGCTCAAGGTTGCAGTAGCAGAAGCAACAGCAGCAGGAGCAGGAGTGGCAGCTCGAGGGTGAGTGCTGCCAGTGGTCACGCGAGCACCTTCATCCAGACTCGGACCTCGATTCAAGCTGACTACGAAGCCACAGATTCTGCATCTACGATTCGCAAGGCAACTTTGTTTGACCCGGAGGTCTAACTGTTCGCGGCAACGGGGTCATAAGCCCGCGGAGCTGCAAGTGGGCGGATTTGGTGCAGGCTTCTTGTAAGTCCTGCAGGAAGTTCAAAATGGACACCCGTGAGATGTACGGCACAGAGCCTCAGGCATGTCCACTTCGACATGTTGGGCTGGGGCTTGGGCTTAAAGGCTACAGGCTCATTGTGAACATTTTTGGGAAGCTGGTTACAGGACCGGGCTGGCACCGAATTGCCTTCGATGGCCTGGGTCTGCAAGGCCATGGCAACCCGGAGAGAGCTGAATGATTAGTCCTGGCTCTATCGCAACTGCACTAAGCCCGAACCTCCGAACCCAATAGGGCAGATCTTAAATGCCATGAAAAGCAGTATAAACATATCTTGCATCAACAAATCGTTTTGGCCCGAGGATATTTATGCAAGACTGACATGTGCTCATGTCGTCGGCCGAGGCAGGCCGAGCCGTTTCAGTCACGGGAGCTTCGGTCACTGTCAGTTTCTGACGTACTGACAGCACACGACTCGTCATTCACAGAGCGCGTGCGGACGTCACGACTCTAGGATTTAGGGTTTGTTTAGGTTCAGTGGGTTTAGGGGTTGGAGGGACTTGGGGCCTTAAAGTTTGTATGTGTGTACCAAACTAACCACTAAAGCACCCCACTAAGGGATCTATGCTAAGCACCCTAAACCCTAACTAAGCAAATCTGGGTTCTGATGAGAAAGTATCTGATTCAACTCGTCGAGCTGTTGACATGAAGGCCCCGCGTCAGGACACCACAGTCACTATTTGTGCGGTTATAGAGTAAGGATGAGGGCAGGGGGCAGGGCAGACTAGCTAGGGTGGGTAACTGTAAGTTTGTAATTTTGTCCCCAGATCCACAACAAGTTCACAAGGGTTGGAGACGGGGGTGTCGACCATGACTGGGTGACCGGTACAAGCAAGTGCTACGACGAGTTGCCAGCACGTACTCGTGCTACGAGAGCCATGATCCAGATGACACGCATTTTCCTGCTGCTACTATCTACTACTACTACTACTACTACCACCACGACCACTACTGCCACTACCACTAACTGCGACTACGACGAAAGAAGTCTGCGGCAGGCACAACGGCGAATGGAAGAGGAGGAACAGCACAAACCAAAAAGAACTGGCTGTAGCAATAGCAAGCACTATACGGATGGTCATCACCAGAACTGAATAGCAGCTCAGCTGACATCTGACAAGCCTTACACGGAGTAGAGAATCCGAACGACAGAATCACGAGAAACGAAACCGCCAGTCTCCTGCTCTGTAAAAGTAGCCGTGCAGTACGGAAAGACCTGCTGGTGTCCGCCATCACAAGCGCTATCTAGTTGGGGCAGAGAGGCTTACTTGGAATACGTGACATATAAGTAAATACAAAAGTAAACGGAAATATAAACATACACACATGAATAAATGTGTAAATCAAATGAATCAAATTTATGTGTGTATATATATGTACATACTTATAGCCATACATACAGTAGGTGCGAGTATACACGAGCTCCAGCCTTCTTAAGCTTCACTTGCGGTGACACTTTCTGATGTTTTTGCACAGGCTTGTTCTGTCTTCCTGTCGTCAGCGGTCAATGGACCTGCTACGGTTGAGGTAAGGGTATGTCAGGCACCAGAAGCTCAAGAACAACACATGACTGCATTTGATGTGCTGCCTGCATGAAAAACCCATGCTTCCGTCGTGGTTGTTGATAACTATGCATTGATCCAGTCCCGGACTTTTGCCGGCTATTCACATGCCACACTTCGCATGGAAAGCTGCAAACACCGCGTTCACATATCAAAATATGCCCTATTGAAGATGACACCAACGCAGTTGTCACCGCATTCGTGGTTTGATTGTGTGCACAAAAATGCGATGCATCTCCCCCCGAAAACGGTATGTAGGATTCTGGATGCGCAGAATACGGCCCTCTGAGCTGAGTGTTATATTTAAAGTACAGAGGGATGTCCCACGCCCTTTATGCAAGTTTATGCTGGATCTTCAGCAACAATCCTCCCTGCGTCACTAATGTAGCGGCCTTCATAATTAGAACAGGGTTTTGGGGCCCAGTATACTAAAAGCAGTTACAATCAGGAACCCCCCAAAATAGTATTTGTAATTAGCTAAGCCCCTTTATAAATTCGCTCCGACAGAGTCTGCAGCTCGTGGCACGCATTAAGAGCTCGAGCTGCCCCAAGACTTTCCTCCACTATCACTACCAGCCTGTACGGGAGTTTCCGACAATTAGGGGTACCTCATTTTGGGGTCCTTACAATAATAAGGATCCTACTATTTAGGGTGGGTCCCCTAGGAAACCCCCATACATTTCTTCAAAATGCATGAAGGGTTTTAAAACCCCAAACCCTCAGCCTTAAGCATGGCATCGGGCTAAGAGACAAACGCCTCGGTGTTCTCTCTTACTGATATCTCCTACGCTAATTGGAGTGGAAAAGCAAGCCTTAGCTTGCTACCCCCGATGCAGCGTGAGCGGCCTATAACACACACCATGGCCCCATCCAGCCTTTCAGAATCTCCCGTCAAAGCCTAAATAAAAAAAAAATATATATATATATATATATATATGAATACAAACGTAAAACTCTCTCTCTCTCTCTCTCTCTCTCTCTGTATATACATATATGTAAGCTTAAAACCAGGGCAGCACGAGGAACAGAAAAAGGGAATGCCTTCCGAATTACAAACTGCGGGCCGCCAGCTTGGCGAAGCTTCCATCCTGCTTTGGGCTTCGTTGCTAAAGGGTCTTTGGGCTTAGGAGTTTTGGGGGTTTAGGGTTTAGGGTTTATAGGGACCTAGGCTTAGGGGGTTTAGGGCTTCGGGCTTACAGGGTTTAGGGTTTAGGACTTAGGGTGTTTGGCCTCCTACTTTCGCTAGGACGAAGGACTTTGGGCTTAGGACCTAGGAGTTTGGATTGTAGGGCGCTCATAAAACTTTGAGGATGTAACCCTTGGGGTGGTAGCTTTGGGTTTACGGTTAAGGCCATGGCGATGGCTGTAAGCATAAGGTGAGAAACCGCATGGAGTGTTCATGTGCTGCATCAACAATGACAGTTCCCCTACACCCTAAACCCTAAAAGGGTCTGCCCGGTGATCATCTATTGAAGAACCCTTGCGTGCTTTTGGTGTTGGGGTCTCAGCTTGCAAATTCGCTTTGTCTTGAGGAGTCGAGGCTTCGGCTTTAGTCATGTGTTCAGAGCAACACATGCTCTGGGTTCCAGCAGTGCGTAAAGTCCGTAAACTGTGAACCTCCTGTAATTTGAGAAACCCAAAGGTGTCCATGTTGATCAGCTCGGAATAGGTGCCAGATTCCACGACCCGGCCGTTGGCCATAACGAAGATCTTGTCCTTGTCATGGCAGGGGTTTGGTTGTGTAAGTAAGGTTTCAGAGGGTGATATATAGTGTGTTTGGCGTTTATAAGGGCTTGGACGCTATTTGGCGAAGTAGGCAGCGTTAGTAAGGTGGGTGGTGAGGACCAGGGCCCCAACAATTAGAATAAGGCTCTGGGGGCATAGTACAATATTCTGATAAGACGGAATTCTATGGAATGTTGTTGGAGAGTATTCGAGCTTCCTGCGTATCTTTCAGGAGCCCTTTCTCGCCCCTTGAAGTGGGAACTCAAACGCCCAAAGCCCTAAACTCCTCGACCTCTGACGCGCCCTTAGGACCGTAATGACATAAGTGCTTTAATACCCCAATGAAAACTTAGTATAGTCAAGTTCTCAAACAATTCCTGAGGACCCGAAAACCTAAACCCTAACAACCCTTCTGCAGCAGGCTTCTCTCGCCGGGAACAACCAACAACCCTAACCCCAAAACACCAAGCACTAATGCAGGTAGAAGATCTGAGTTCTGAATCGTGGAAAGGCGGTGGGCCACGGTGATTGTGGTCTTGCCGACCCTGGCCTCCTGCTTCGGGGTGCAGGGTTTAAGGGCTTAGGGTTTCTGGGGTTAGGTGTGGGTATGAGGCTTAGGGGGTTTAGGGTTGTATTATAGGGGCCTTAATAATTAGAATAGGGTTCTGGGACCCCATATACTATACTCTTCATAAGGACCCCCCCCAAAATAATGTAGGTAACTATTTAGGCCCCTATAGTAGGGTTTAGGGGTTTGGGGCTTTGGGCTTTTTGATGTTCCTCAAAGGATTCTTTTTAAGACCCCCTGCCAGGATGCCTTTAAGGGCTCTTTTCTGCTGCATCCAGGCCACCGAGGGTTGTGTTTATGGGTGTTTTATAGATTTGATGGGTTCAAGTTCCTCTCCTTCGTACCGGAGTTAATAGTAGGAGCTTGGAGTCGTGAAGAGTTCGGCATCTAGGGTATAAGGCTAAGGCTTGTAGACGAGGCTAGGGTTTGGGGTTCAGGGTCCCATGTAGAATTGTTTGTCTAACGGTTAGGGTTCAAGGTGTTACCCCATATGGGGTCTGAATCCCTATAAGTTTGAAACTGCACAACAGATCTGAAGGATAAAAGGGGCAAGTCGGCCAAACCTTGTACCCGAAATCCAACCGTCTCGATCAGAAAATCCGTAACCTCTAAAGACTTAGGGCCTAAGCCTTAAACTCGAAGCTTTTTTTGAAACCAGACTCGGATCAGCTGGGAAGCAGCACTGCCAAACTAAATCAGGGCAAAGCCGCCAGATTTAACCGGAAGCCCTCAGCACGGAAGGCCTGCAACGACTCAGACCCGAAGCCGCAACAGGTTTAGGGTTTACCTGGACCCCAAAAGTATGCAGAATGATGGCCTTTTTTAGGTTTTGGGCTCTTATTTTACCTACTTTTGAGGGTTTCGGGTTTAGGGTACAAGAGAGGCCCGCAAAGTCGACCACGCAGTGATGATCTGCTTCACTGAGCACCGAGAAAGTTGCAACACATCCATACTCCCTCCAGATGGATCGAACCCACGACTCCAGGTGATGCAAGTGCACGTCGAGAGAAGAAGAAGGGTGGCCACAAAATCGAGTCCCCATACATTCCGTGGAGTCATGTCAATGAAACGCTGAAGCGCACACCTCTCATCAAACCGTCATCATAAGCAATCATGCTGGGCCCCTCCATCTCATGAAGCCACACTGATCGCCACTGGCAGCCAGTCAAGCATATCGCAATCGTCTGCTTCCAACTGACATTTGCCTGCAATGCCGCGTGCAAGCTGGGCCAGAGGAACGCACGAAATCCATCTCATGCTGGACCTCCAAGCGACCCAAACGGTGCGCCCTCATGGTGCTGGTTAGCATTCCCTTAAAAGGCACGACCTCTTCCGTTTCCAGGGGCGTTTCGTTGCCGCCGGGCCATTGCCAGTGCACTTTCTGCACAGGCAGGCCCTTCACGTCTTTCACAGAGACTGCTTGCGGCCATATGGGTCACCAGGAGTCCAGCTTCCTCTCAAACTCGAAGCCCCAAACTTTAAACTTTAAGCCCTAAACCCCAAACTCTAGACCCTAAGCTCTGTAACTCTAAACCCTAAACTCTACACCCCAAACTCTATAAGCTCTAAACCCTCTAAACTCTATAGACTCTAAACCCTAAACCCCACAAGCCCTGAATCCTGCATCGCCAGCTGCACCAAGCGCTCGGAGGTCGAGTCAAGCGCCGACGTCGCCTCGCAGGCGCTGGTCTACTGAACCCTATGGGTCGGGTGCATGTACCCGGTTTAGGTTTTTTTTTGAGAACCGGTTTAGGGTTTAGGGTTCAGGGGTTTAGGGTTTTGTTTTGAGAACTGGTTTAGGGTTTAGGGTTCAGCGGTTTAAGTTTATTTTTTGAGAACCGGTTTAGGGTTTAGGGTTCAGGGGTTTAGGGTTTAGGGTCCATGTACCCAAATAGGATATATTTTGGCCTTACAGTAGTCCTCATATTGGGAGGAATGTAGATACTATTTGTGCACATTGACCGGCATGCGAACTATGACTATGGTTTATAGTAATGACGAAGTAGGAATTCGTGCAATAAGAATATAACTGCTTAGTATTGTTATGATGATGAGGTTCTTTGTTGCTGATAGTGTGCTACAAAGATATGTGCTGGTTTGGCCTTTGTCCTTGTTGCTTTGACGGTCGGATATTGCTGTTGTTTCTGTCGCCGCTGACGCGTGTTTTCATATTGATCAATACTTCATTATCAGGGAGGGGGGCAGGGCATTGAAGGACCACTGCCTGTAAGAAAATTAGGCTTAGGGAGTTTTAGGTCTTATAGCGTTTACAGCCCACATAAACCTCAAATTGAAGACTTTAGAGAAAATTCTGTGTTTTCGGTGTCCTTGCAACAAGTACTCGACTAATTTCGGGTTCTGTTCTAGGGTTCCTAATTTAATTTCCTGAAACCCGCATGCGAACCCAAGCCCACAAATGGTCAAAGCCCCAAAACCTCAAACACATGCAACACCCTCTCTATCGACAAACATGAAGCCGGTAGATCACCTAAACCTGGAACCCTATCCCAAAGTCCGAGACCTTTCAATAATACCATAAACCACCCTAACCCCCAAACCCTCAACATCCATGCACCCTGAAATCGACCTACCTACTAGTATAATATACTTAAGCCTTAACGGTGTTCCTATATAGGTACCCTAGACCCTAAACCCTCAAACTCTGAAAACCGACAGCCTGAACCCTAAACCCCACCAGCCGGCCTCATCGAGAAGCATGAACTGGGGTCGCCGGAGCAATGCGCGGGCAATGGCGACGCGCTGCTTCTGTCCGCCCGACAGCTTCTCCTAGGCTTTGGAGCTACAGGATTTAGGTCTTTACATCGAAGAGTGGTGGGAAATCCTAGGGTTTGGAGCTACAGGGTTTAGGTCTTTGCATCGAAGCGTGGAGGGAAATACAAGCTGTATAAGGATAAACTGATAAACTGCACACCTGAAGATGTTGGTTTCTTCTCGAGTCCTCAGCTCTACATCACCGACACCCAATGCTTATCCGAAGGAGCAAGGACTCGCGCGTGAAAACACTTGGCTTTGTCCGTGGACTCCATGGGTGGCGAACTCTGGGTCTTCCTCCCTGAACCCTTGACTCCACCCTTAACCCCTTAACCCCTAAACTCTTAAACCATAGACCCCTAAAGCCGCAAACCCCGAAAGCCTAAACCTCTGAACTCAACCGCTCAACCCTAAACCCCAACACTCCTAGATCCTTAAGCCGCAGCTGAGGGACTCCCCGAAGCCCGACCCGATCCGTCCACTTCCTTGGCCGCCGGGAGTGGTTCAGGATATGGGGATATGGGGTTTTTGACACTCAAAGCCTGGCAAGGTCTGTAGCGATACGGGTCTCTCGATATGGGGTTTAGGGGGTTTGGGGGTTTAGGGTTTATATAGTCGCTGTGCAGTATCAGAGGGGCACTAAAGGTCAACCTTTGGGACTATGTAAGGGTCTAAATGCACCAAAGATCAAAGGTTACCTTCTCTGCTACTACGGCTCTGATTGCCGTATATAAAACCTTGAAAAGGTAGGATATTTGGGAAAACCCTAAACAGGGGTTAGGGTTTCGGGGTTTAGGGCTTAAGGGTTTCCCCCTCATACTCTGGAACAGGGCTTGGGGGCTCTTCTAGTAAAACTATATAACTATATAAGTATATCTATATATATATATATATATATATACATATATGTATATATATATATATATGTAGGGACCATAAGGGGAATACGAAACAAATGCAGACCATTGAGACCCGAAAGAAGTTTAAGCAGCCTAGGCCACCAAAGGTTGTGCACGATATCATAAAAAAGAGTCACTGGATAAACTTTTTACAAGCCTTGGGAGCCAAGAGCCCAAACACCTAGTGTGTTGGGGTTGAGTGAGTTTCGCCCAAGCCCCAAAATCCCAAATCGAGCTCAGTCTCAGGCTATGACTTGATTTCCTGATTCCCACAGCCCGTGAAAGGAGCTCCTCATTCTGGACATGAGAGGGCCCGAGCTCTTTTTTTGCTGAAACGAGGTAATGCCATTGAAGGTGTAGGGAGTAGGATGGGTTTTGGGCTTAGGTCTTAGAATGGAGGTTCAGGGTATGGGGCTGATTCTGCACTTTTTCGGTCCGGCCAAGTAGCACATTTCCGGCGATGACAAAATCCATGTTTGCCGCCCTAGCTGCATCTGTTACCTGCTCTTCTGTGGCCTGAGGCAGAGACAAAGGACGGGATTCAGTCCCAGCGACGCGTCATTCCTAAAACCTCCATCCCAAAAACCCCAAACCCACAACCCCAAGACCTGGAAACCTAACCGATCATTCCCAGGGTTATTCGAGATTTGGCCAATCTTACCCGATTCAAGGTTCCACCTTTCGTAAACATATCCTACTATCTGATATTATTAGCGACACTCCGGCCATCGTTTTCATTTACCTTCCTGATTCTGAAAGAGAATCGGAACCAATACGCGTATGAGTAGCAACAGCAATCGAAAACCTGCACAGTGCTAGCAATGTGATGTCAGTATGCGTAAAATCGAACGGTGTGTGACATGATCGGAAACAGGCAAACAAAAGGCACTGCAAGTAGTAACACTAGCTTCGCCGACCGGGGGAAACTTTCATGCTGTCGCATTGTATGATGTCGCCGTGAGAACCAAGTCCTAAACCTACATGTCTGGAAATGACCTAAACCCTAAAGGGTCAGAGTTTCGGATTCCTTGTCGAGGAGTCCCTCAAATTCCTTTCGAGACCAGCGGGGCCTGTACTGAGATGTCTTGAATAGCACAGAGTGCCATGTTCTGACTTTCAGAAAACGGCCAAGCTTAGGGCTCAGGTTTTAGTTGGGGTCTTGTCTTGAAGCCCAAACCCAAATGCGACTGCAAAAAAAGCCACACTCAAGCTCTCTGCCAGAGACGTTCACCCCACGCTGCCTCCGGATTGCCATATCTCACGTTCCTTAATGCATTTCGCTGTCAGACTGACAAATGCGGGGTCATTGTTCAGTACTCTAGGGGCCGTAACGATTAGAATAGAGTTTTGGAATCTCTCATCGTGAATCCCAGAATGATTACTGCTGGGATTCCCTATACCTTACCGCAAGGTCAGGAGGAGAATGATGTTCCATCGGCTTCCCCTATACACTATAATTACAATAAGGAACCCTGAAAAATGCTATGGGTCATTATTGAGGCTTATATATTAGCACCACTTGACATCTTGCCTACGCAGGAACCGTGGATTCTGAAGGTTTGCCCTTGGGCTGCTAGACCGGTAATTGAACCCGTAAAGAAAAGTTACCCTCTGGACACATAAGCATGGTTTGGGGTTTATAGTGTCTTTTTGTTTTTGCGGGCCCTTTTCCTTCTGCGACAGTCGGTATAGGGTTGAGGGTTTACGGGGTATAGGTTATGGTGGTTCAGGAGAAGGATGCGGTCAGCAGGTCGGCAGCTTGAATGTACACTTCCGGTGTGACCTGTGATTTGCATAGATCCCTTGGTGTCTATAGAGATCCCACAAAAGCCGTGGTGGCCTGGAGGAACAACCCACCCTTAACCCTGTTTTGCTCCTGGACTCAAGTCTAGCCAGTCTACGAGTCTACGACCTGCAACCATCTTGACCGAGCCGACACGCAGCGCCGATACCCAAGCCGCTCTGCTCACCCTGAAACCCTAAACCCCAAGATTTTCGACTCTCAGAATCCCAAAACTGGCACTTTTGAACAGCTGCCGGATTTCAATCCCGAAAGCCCAAAACCCTGTGAAACCGGACAGCTCTGGGCCCAAACCTAGAAACAACCTGGGTGGTTGTCAAAACTAGGGCCCTTTTTTTGGGTACAATAAATAATAGGTGCCGTATTGTAACAGGGACCCAAGAAGGGACCCTAATATTGACAACCACCCACCTGCCTTTGGCCCAAGGCTCTCTTCCAGGGTCACATCGAAGAGCACGGGCTCTTGTCCCACCATGCCAACCTCCCGACTGCAAATCTCTCCACTCTGAAGCCCACAACCCCCCAAAACCCTGAACCCGCAGGCTCGAAGTCCTCCCAAGAATTACACCTACTAGATGGGGGTTTCCGAAAATAGAGGGTCCCTAATGTAGTACGCTAAATAGTAGGATCCCTATTACAAGGACCCCAAGAGAAGGTTCCCCTAACTTTCGGAAACTCTACACACTCAAAGATCCGTTTAAAGGAACCCTTATAGTATCCTTATAGTAACCCTTCAAAGGAACCCTATAAGGTACCCAAGTGTTAAAAAAAGAGCCCGGACTGGCGCCCCCGGACGCCAGTCGCAGGCATTGTGAGTAATATAGGGGCCTCAATAATTAGAATAGGGTTTCGGGCCCATTATCCTATAACTCCTATGAGGAACCCCCTAAAATAGTATAGGTAATTATCAAGGCCGCCAGAGTATTCAGGTTTGGGGCTTCTTTGGCCAACTATGACTCCTATGAGGAACCCCATAAAATAGCATAGGCAACTATTAAGACCCCTACATTATTCAGGTTTGGGGTTATCTTTGGTCAACAATAACTCCTATGAGGAACCCCCTAAAATAGGTAACTAATTCAGGCCCCTACATTATTCAGGTTTGGGGTTTTCTTTGGCCAACCTTCGTAACTGGAAGCCTTTTGTGGGCTGGAGTTGAGTTTCTTCAGAGTTTTTGTGGCTTCGGGGTCTTGGGAACTCACAAACTGGATAATGTGCTTGAAAGGTCAAGACTGTACAACTTGCATAGGCTGACGAATTTTCTCACGAAGAGATCAAAATCCGGAAATCCTTGAAACCCTAGAGGCTTAACTCCCTCAGCCATAAACCTCTCAAACCCTTCCGGCAGTTGAGTCAGACTGGCCTGCTTACGCCACCACGCCACATTCAAATCGCGCAAGTTCTGGCCACCCACTTGGATGGAACCGGCCTCACCCGGTTCAGGATTTATGGGTGTGGGTGTGCATGTATATGTCTGTCTGTCTGTCTGTCTGTCTGTCTGTCTGTCTGTCTGTCTGGTTGTCTGTCATGTATGTACATACATAAGGTATGCATGTACCTATGTATGTATATGTGTATATGAGCTGTATATGTATGTATATGTATGTGTGTATGTATGTCTATATGCGGAAGCCAATGAGTTGTTGAATAAACGTGGGGAGCAGATTCTGACTGTTCTTTGGGTGCTGTTGCCTCAAGGTTTCGCCGCTCACACTCGCACACAGCAGGCAAGGCTCCACCCTCAAGGTTTAGGATTCGAGGCTTCAACTCCCAGAACTCTTGTAACTCTTGAACCTATGGAGATCCATCCCAACCAGGGTCCATCCAAGAAAGCCCAAACCTTGAACTTTCAAGCCCTATAAGCAGACTGGAGAACGATGTAATGCAAACCCTGCACCCAGAGCCCAAACCTAGAATTCAACAATCCTTCCGTTCCCCTCTCTCAAGAACCATAAAATTGCCTGTGGGTCGTAGAACCGCTGCAGAAGCTGGATCACGGTGGACTTGCCACTTCCAGAGAAGCCCACCAAGGCGACCTGAGTCCGTAAGCCTTACCTTACACCCCCGCTTTACGGGAGTTTCCGAAAATAGGAGACCCTAATATTACCGTAAATAGTAGGATCCTTATTTTAAGGGCCACAAAATGAGGTACCCCTAATATTAGGAAACTCCGTGATATCTTGAGTTTCAGGATTTAGGGACCTCTAGCCGGCTACCAAGCCCTGTCCAGGTTTAACCAGAGCCAGCCGATGCACGAACTACGGCGCTGTGGAGCTACGAGATATAAGCCCTCCATGTTTCCTAGATGCCGGGGTTCCCGCACAGAGGGTTGACCTGTCAAGCATGGCTCGAGCACAAAAACAACAAACAACACAAAGTCTAAAATTGATACTTATCGGGCACGAAGGTTCAACCTTCCATTGCCAGCCGTTCAATTACATAATTACATCTGAAACGTGACGCTCAAAGGGGCATAGCTGCCTGACTACCTAGCTACAGGCTCCCACACGGGGTCAAACGCCGAATCTATCGAAGGCCTGCAACAGGTCCTTCCAGCCTGATGCTGTAGAGCTAGGCCCTACTGTAGTAGAAGCTCCAAATTGGAAACCAATAGCCTCAGTCCTTACGAGATGTATAGGGAATCCCAGCACTTTTTGTCGTTAATCCGATTTCCAACTTTTCGGGGTTTACTATAAACCCCAGTCTGATGAGTCTGATGGCTGCTACGTCTTGTTTTCGACGCTCACACTCTGCAATACAAGGCGAGGTCTGTAGACGATACTTGGGTACAGGAGAAGTGCACTACCGACTCCTGCCACTGTCATGTCACGATCATCCGTAACCCCAAGGATCCAAGTATCTAATACTCATATACTCTCCAAAATCCTAACCTACATAGCTACTAACTACTAGCCTAAAACCAAGTACCTAATTATTGGGTCCTTTGGACCCTTGGGGTAAGCCCCTCTATTAGTCCATCTTGATCGTTTTTGGTCAGCTGGACCGAACATGTCTCAAACCACACATGCCAAAAAGCTGAAGCCCCAATACAAAGTGACTTAGACCGCAAAACAATGGAATCCGAACCATGACATAGATGTTCCAAAAGCTCTCTTCTTCAACAGCCGAGCGCAAAAAAATCCAGACTGCTTAAGAAAGACTAAATATATAAGGGCCAGAAGTTGAGAGTTGTCCCATTGGTTATCCAACAGCAAGGTATCACATTCAGGCGTTTAGCCAGCAGAGGAGACAAGTAGCTGCCTGACCCTTCTCAATCTTGAAGTTGAGCTTCTTGAGCACTCTCACCTGTGGAGTTTTCGACAGTGGGGTACCGGATTCTTACTATAAGGACTCCGAAATAAGAGCCAGGTACCACTCTTAGTACCCTGTAGGATCCGTGCCCTCATATTCGGAAACTCCCACATGAAGAATTTGAGCCCTGATTCAGGGCAGCTCGAGCTTTGCCAGAGGGTCCTAGGTACGATTACGAGGGATACTTTCCCAAATCATCACAATTTTTCCTACATATAGAAAGTTTACTTTCTCCTAAACAGGACCTTTATAAAGCGGCTTTATGAGGGACTTAGGTTTCTGGTGGATTCGGATCGTCGGCTTTAGGGTTTATAGCCTACATGATGGAGTTCCCAGACCCTCCACGTACCCTTTGTTATACCAGAAATAACCACAAGTAAGTGCCATATACCCGCATGTAAGGGCGAAAGGCAGGGGATTGGGTCCCATCGTCTTGATCGGCCTTGTCATGTGTTCGCCGCTTCGGGTCTCGGGCTACATTTTAGAATTTAGCGCTTACTGCTCCGGGTCTTGAAGTCCCCGGTCGTTGCGAGCCCCTTTCTCCATAATGGCACCTCACGCGCGAGTAGATACTAAGGGCCTGCAGCAAAGGGTTTTTTCCGCCAAGAGCACCATCCAGAACTTCCTCAGATCAACTGACAGTAACTGACACGTGCCTCGGGGCGATGAGGGTACCAGAAGTAGACGTCCTTGCGCTCATTCCAGACATGTTAAACATAAGCGGCTCCATTTTCAAACGTCCACGCAGAAGTACGAAATAACCACTGACAGCCCAAAGTCGTTCAACTGCAGAACAGGTATTCTGCAGAAGTACTATATACATGGAAGGTAAATGCCTTACTATGGCGAAGGGAAACTTATCTGCTGCCGGTTGCATAACCCAACGTCGATTCCATCTGCTTTCTGATATGCGCCGGCAGTATTGTCTAGCGACACGAATGGAATCGAAAGCATGCCAGGTTTCATTCGCCACCAAGCCTAGCAACTCCACGACTTTTGGGACAAAACTTAACCCTACGAGCACCCTTGCAGAACCAGTGCAGCAACTCCCTAAAATCTCGTCGGAGATCCGAGACATTGAGGCGCCTCAAACCCACAGATGCAGCCGCGGAAACACCAAAGCGAAAGAAGCTGAAGAAGCCTGTTCCACTCTAGGACCGTCCTTATTGCATTTAGCACGGGATCTAATAAACTCGTGTTTTGGGATGCGGAAGCACGGAGCTCTGCGTCAGGACACGAATCTCTGAGAACTTACATTCTAAACTCGAAGTGGGTTGGTATCTCCTGCTACTTGTCCGATACCCTGGGGGAACTAGAGGTTAACCTTCGGGATTATGGGGATTATAGTACCCCGAAAAAAGCTACCCACTCTACTACCAGGTCCTTGAACTCTGAACCCCAAACCCTCAACCTTAAATCGGTCCTTGAACTCAATGTTGCCATCACCGATGCTCTCGATGCGCCCGGTGGGCTGCGTGGCATCGATCTTGGAAACCTGCCGACTGCCGGCTCGGCATAGGATGTTTTTTTTGCTTTTTTGAACCTTCGTGCCTTTTGACCAAAGGATGTAGGGGTTTATGGGGTTACGGTTTGGGGTTTAGGGTTTCCGCGGGGCTCGAGGGATGTCGGACTTCTACGATTCGAAAATGCGCCTTAAAGGCAAATGAACCCAGCGATCTACACTAAAATGATTCCTAGAACAGAATCCAAGCCCCGAGCCGATTTCAACTCAGGAGTCACATGATTATATGGTATAGCGGTTTCAGAACACAGGAGTATTCCAATGTCATACCAACAGAATATACGACTGTACAAATACAGTAATAAAGCAATGTGATATGTCGGCTCAAGGCCGTGAGGACTTCAGAGTTTCACGGCTTTGGGGTTTTTGCAGCTGAAAAGCAACGGCTTCCGGGATTTGCGGCCTCAGGCCCTTTAGACTTCTTTAGGACTCTAAGAGTGGGCACAGGGAGCCTCCTTCCAACCGTACAGCCTCATGCTGGAAGCTTAACATATTGTCAGGTTGTTGACTGGCGGGTTTCTTAACTTCGGGGGTCCTGGCTGAGGGGCTCTACATCAAGGACCCTACTGCTTTGTATCCATAGAATATACAGCGGGGCTCTCTTCGGAGTAGTTGGAGCCCCATCCGGCGAAAGTGGTGGGATCTCTTAGGATGCAACTGGGTGGTTGTCAAAATAATGGTCCCCTTGTGGGTCCCTACTATAATGCAGCACCTATGATTTAGGGTACCCAAAAAGGGACCCTAATTTTGACAACCACCCAACTCTCAAAGAAGTGCCTGGTCGATGAGGCGGAAGACCTCCACGGCGGCATGGTGGCCCGATGCGGAGTCTGGGATGTACTGCACGATGGAGCTCACAGACCTAAGCAAAAGGCTATTGTAATTTAGAATACACAATCGAAAATGCACAATACATAAAAATAAATAGACACATACATATGTCAATATATATATATATATATATGTATATATATATATATATACACATGTGTATATATATATATATATGTGTGTATATATATATATATATATGTATAAGATTTCCAAAGCCAAAGTATGTATTGTATAGTGTGTGTGTGTGTGTGTGTTTGTGTGTATATACATATACATATCCCGCTTCGGTATGTGTGTGTGTGTGTTGGCGTATTCTTCAGAACACATCCTGGAGATGAGGGAAACAAGGGGCTGTTGAATCGCCAGGTATCTACCTGAACCCCAATCTAAGCAAACTCTGTTTCGCCAACTATACCGATACACTTGGCGACATACAGGCTAGCGAGAGGGGTCGCGGGAGCCTGTTGTTCAGTAAAAACAGTCTGCAGCGATTATGTGTTCCACGTGTCACTGGACCTTGCTTTGTCTCCGATGCTTATGATCCCTTGAATCTTATTGATAATGGCTATTTGGCACGATGTGCGACCAGCCAGTAGGCGAAGGCACGAACCGAAGAAAACTATCCTTCCGGAGTTGAGTGCCTCTCAGTAGTAAGGGGCCCCTTTTTGCTTTACGCCCTGAACCCTTTTACACCTGGACTACGCATACGCCCTGAACCCTAACCCCTAAAGCCTTAACCAATCTCTCCCAGAGACAAAGCCCGAGACCCTGATTTCCAGGGCGTCGCAAACCCTCACCAATGAGACCCATTCGGCAAGGTGCAGACCCTTCTCCTAGTGACGGATCGTCCTTTCGGAGGGACGTGGGGGTTCATTAATTATGGGCCTGCATTCATCCCTAAACCCATCCGAAGCTTGACATCTAAAAGCAGCAAGGGGGCATCACACCGAACACGACGCAGAAGAGCGTGAGGAGCACCTGGTGTGCATCGAAGTTCCAATACCTCAGCCAGATCTGACCCACACTTTCTAGGGTCAGGGCTCAGGGGGGCGTGTTCCAGGCTTAGTTGTCCAGAATCATACGGGAACCCAAGGTTTATAACAGGGATTATGCAGGGCTTATGATACAAAGAAAAATGTTTAGCGGGGGCTTTGCTACAACCTTACAGTAGAAGCCGGAAAAAGTTGGAATGTCATTATCATAATCCCTTTAAAGTAAGTTATAGGGGATCCTGCCATTATTCCATATTCCAACTTTCTGGAGTTCCCTGTGCAGTATGAACTTTAAACTCTGAGTTAGGGCCTAGGGGCTGAAATTCCTGACGTTCTGCAACCTTCAACTCCAAGTCCAAAGGCGCATTGGCCTTCTACGAACCCATAAAGCACAGAGTAGCCTCATACAGCTCCAGACCCGTTTTGCTCCACACAACCCCTGCAGTTTAAGCTTAGGGTCTTCCCTAAACATCCCCAAACCATTTGCCATCTCCATGCCATTTGTCGTGGTTGTGAGCACCCTTGCCCAATCTATGATTTTGGTATGATGATTCATGCAAACAAAGCTGGGGCTACCTACTCAACCACTCGCCAAGCCCAGCCTCCATAAACCCTGAACACCAACAAATCAAAAAAAACTGAAAAATCCGGACCTTCGAACTCAAAACCTCCCTAATCCCTACTCCTTGAACCTTCGCACATCTTTTAGAAGGCTCGAAGCCAACGACTTCTTGAAACTGCGGCAAGGGTGGCCCAAGCTTCCCCTGCTCACGAAAAACATACGAAGGAACTAGAACGTCCAAGCCAGAGTTCAGAGTTGTGAGTGCATAAGGCTTGGAGAAACTGTACACGATTTCGAGTTTGTCCAAGGTTTAGGCTATGGTGTCTAGAGTTACCATAGGAGTGTGGATCCTGTGTTTGGAGTGTAGGGCCCTTGTGACTTCTTGGTTTGACCCGTTGGACCCCAGACTGGACCTCTAAACCGTTTTCCAACACTGCAAGCATTCCTTGCACAGGCATCTTAGGTGGTATTATTAGGGAGACCCCTTAAAGGGTACCCCTTCTGAACCCTACTTCTGGCTCTCTTAAAAGAGACCTTATTGAGAGGGTCTATATCCCCAAGGGTCCCCCTAATCCTAACTCCCACATCTGGCCAGCTGGGCTAGAGGCTGAATGCACGCCGCGCTCATAGCAAATCCTTCCCAAGCTTGGGATTGCGGTTTAGGGTTTAGGGTTTAGGGTTTAGAAGAATTGTTTGTGCCTTTGTTTGCAGCCCTTTCTCCTACTGTTGGTTTGAACCTGGAAGGCTTAAGTTTCCTCGTGTTGTAGAGTCGTAGAGCTTGTGGTTTCGCACTCATTCACTCCCAGATCTGAGATCGGGAGGCTCATCGGTAGGGCTTAGGGCTTGCTGAAACTGCCTGTTAGCCGGGTTCCACCGCATGTAAATAATATGTTGACCCTGTTGAACGTGGGTTTTGGGTTGTCGGGCGCGTGTCGGTCTAGGGATTGAAGCTGCGGGTAGGTAATAGTAATAGTAATAGTAATAGTAATAGCAATAGCAAAGGTAATAGCAGTAGCAATAATAATAGTCATAGTCATAGTAATAGTAATAGTACTCAGGGTGTTCGAGGACTTCTCGGAGTGCCAACAGCCTGGTCCAAAGACCCTCCGGCCTCGAACTTGAGCCCCGAAATCCTACACCACTAACCCTGAAATACTAAGTCATGCGCCCATGTTCCTAATCCTCCGGGCTTTTTTCCACAGTGCTCTACACCCGAAATCTGGAACTCATTAAGCCTCATTAAGCCCCATAAAACCACGACTTGCAATCCGAAAAGCACAGCACACTTGAATATACTGAACAAAGGTCTGTGAATCTGTCTTATGCGCGCTGAAAATTAGCTCAAACCTCAACCCGAAATTCAGAGATCACAGGGTGCCTGCGAGATAGATAACCTGGATCAGGCACCTTTGCTGGTGTAGTGCTGAGGCGCTTTCCACAGAAGTCTCAAAGCCAATGCCCAGACGGTGTGCAGACGCCCAGTGTGACTGTGAAAGCTGGTAAAAGCGGCCACAACCAGGGGCCTGAATAACTAGGATGGGGTTTTGGGGTAACTTACACCACTTTTCATGAAACTGAAACGGCATTTTCGAAAGTACTGCCACTAATTTTCGAGACCCTACGCTAAAATCAAGGACACTGGTTTGAGGCCTTGCAGAAGCCCCATGTTGAAAGGGATCGGCTCGGCTCTTTTTTCTAGCGGGCGCTTCTTGCGAGATCGTTGGGACACTGTGTTTTTTGAGGGAACTGAGTGTTCCCTGTCGGACCTGTGCTGGATGAAACTACCCCTGCAAAAGGTTCAAGGCTAAGTATAGTCTACTAACTCTACTACTCAACAGACACTGGTCGGAGGAAGAGTTGCTAGTGCGGCTCGGGGAACCATTTCACTTTGAAAACGAAGTACACACCCAAGAACCCTCCAAAGCAGCACGCGGAAAGGGCCTGAGACACGGTAGGTAGAGTGTGATCTGTACTCCTTCATGAAAGACCCCAGTATAAGTTTTTGAAGAATGTGCATCAACCGTAATCGAATTCCCCGTATCTATGGCCCAAAACTAACCCTCCAAAACAGTTGCCGCACGGGCTTCCTATTCTTATAGCTACGACTACTTTCTTATATTGAGATCTTGCACTCGTAATTGCAATGTTTATTCTCGATCTTATCTGCAGTATTATGCCTATTAGTCGGCGTCTTATTGCTACTGTTTTGTTTATTTCTACTATTCTTCTAAGTAGTATTGAAATTATTCCTATTAAGATGTACATAAGGCCCCAAAACCAACGCTCCAAAACGGGCTCTAAACCCGAAGCCCACAACTATTCTCCAAAACCAGAACTTAGTTTGCAAAACCAACACTACTTAACCCTCCAAAACGGGCTGAAAAGCCCTTAAACTAAAACTAACCCTCCAAACCGGGCTCCACACCCCAAACCCAACCGTAACTCTCCAAAACCAGAACCAACTCTCCAGAACCAACAGCTAAAACGTTCCAAAACGAGCTCTACGCCCCAAGCCCAAATCTATAACCTTCCAAAACGAGCTCTGACACCCCAAACCCAAAACTTAACCTCCAAAACGAGCGGCATGTTCATGCCAAGTCTTATAACTAGACGTGGTATACTGGTGATGTAAGGCCGCCTTTAAAACGAACCTTCCCACACGGGCTCTAAACCCCAAACTCAAACAAGAACCCCCTAAACCCTAAACCCTTAAAACCGGGCGGCATGTTCATGCCAAGGGAGATCCCGAGCTTCCAGGACTTCGAGGTCTCAGCCGTGTTTGGAGAAGTACGGGCTTAGGGTTTGTTAGGGGTTTAGGAAATTTTTTGGCTTAGAAGTTGTATAAGGGGTTAGGGGTTTAGGGTTTGTTGGGGGCTAGGGGTTTCGGGAACTTGGGTATGAGGGTTTGGGGGTTAGGGAATTTGGGTTTGAGAGTTCCGGGTTGTAGGATTCAGGGTCTGGGGTTCAGGGGTTTAGGGATTTCAGGGTGTAGGGCTCAGGGTTCAAGGGCTTTTTTATGCCCCCGACATGGCCAGGACAAGCCAGATAGCAAGGTGGTCCACCGAGAAAGCTTCAAGTTTTAGGGATTCTGTGATTTATGGTTCAGGGCTTAGGTAGGAGCTAACATGGTTGCTTTTAGATCCGAGGGTCAATGCGAGGACAGCGGGCACCTTTTGGCGTCCGTTTCGCCACGACGAGGAGTATGAGCATAGAGCGTGCAGAGGTGTTCACACTTGTCGCTGTTAGCGGGGTGACATCCGTAGGAGCGTCCACTCCGGAGGCTCAAAAGCCACGACGTGCCTAGAAGAACAGCAGCCCTCTGCTTGGGAATCGTAAAGGCGTGTACCAAGTTTACTCCAGCATATATGGTCGCGATCATGTTGTGTCTAGCTGGAAGCAAGGTAAGAAGGTTTCTTAGAAGAACAAGTAAATGGCAAACCCAGCCTGGAGCACCCTACATGCGGGATCACTTTCCGAGTTCGTCGGTGGAAAACTGGTGCCTCCGAACCAACTTTCTGACGGATCTTTGGCTGGCCATTCACTGGAACGTCCATTACGGATGTTAGCCCCACGCGTCTAAGCAAAATTAAGGTAAACAAACACATGCTCATCGTCAACACTCCAAGTGCCACTAACTTGAACACATACATTGACATACATCATACATCCGTACCCAGTAGACATAAGCCAAGAGGTGGCAAATAGTGCAAGTGGTAGCTCTGCTGCTGGGGGTGACGCAACATCCATGGAACACCAAAAGCTTCATCCCAGCTATTAGACCAGGCCCTACTGGGCATTCTCGGAACAAAACAAGGAAACAGCAGCCCAGGCTGTCCCACAAACCCAGACAACTCTATCAGCCTCAAACCCCACTCTCATTCCGACAACTCACTTCTGAACTCTCTGAAACAGACCCGGAAACCCTAAAACCATCTAAAACCTCATCCACTCTAAAGCAGCCAAAGCATCGTTCACTTCGGTCAAGACATCCAACGACTCATCGATGATTTCCAGGGTGTACTCTTCCTTGGCTTGGGGGGTGCTGCAACGAGTCACTAGACGGGTTCTAGATGCGTCTCTCTCTACGGGTCGAAAAAGTAGTACGTACTGCAACAGGCGCAAAAAGGGGTCCTGCTGCAGTCCTGCTGGTATAGTAATCATAACAGCATGTGAAGTCCCATCCAAGAAACAGCTCCCAAAGCCCTCACGGTGCGGATGGCCGTCGCTGCCTCTGTTCGCGCACGTGCAAGGCACGAGGAAGGGTTGGGGCCTTTAGCTTCAATTTTCAGGGGCACTTTTGTTGCAGTGGTAATTTGGCGTTGGCGATCGTCTGCCTCTAGCGATCCGGGATCTGTAGTGTACCGGATTTTCAGCCGTCGTTTGCATGCTGGATCAGCTCATATCAAAACAGGAGCAGCTCTAACGTCTTGTTGACTCCCGAACTCAACTTCAAGCGCTTAGAACAAGACCCTTCGACAGACAAAAGACCGTATGCCCGGCCACACCTGTTGAGGGTTCTTTCAGACACCTTCGAAGCAGTCTAAATCAAACATTTGCATAACACAAACAGTATGGAGTACATTGAAGCCGTCCCAGTCGAGTCACTAATTAGCGCAGTATGTGATGCAGGATTTGGGGCAACAAACGCTGCACTTCTCGCATCGATCTGTTTCTGATCGGAATCCGGCCCGAAACTCGGCTACGACATGTATGGTTCAAAACATATACGTCACTAGGGCCGATAGAGTCAGAGACGACTACCCACATGTTGGGAAGTATGACATTGAGTCCAGCCACTTTGTCAACCAGACTCATATCACAGATACAGAGCTCGTAAAGTGTGAAAAAAATCAAAGAGCCCCTAAATGCCCAGAACGAGAAAAAACTCCAGACTCTTGCATCAGTACACCCTGGACGCCAATGCAGCCCCACAACCTCCGGCTTTCAACCAGCTGTCAACCCCCAAGAACATATACAGCCCTGGCAGAGTCCCAATGGAGCTTGAACAACCTTAAACACGGAGTCTTTGTAGTAAGGGTTAGAGTTATAGTGCCCTTGATAGGAACCTAGAGCCAAACCTTTCCCGCCGGAAGACCTCCGCCGTCTCCTTGCCCGCCTTACCATAAGCCGCCCTTAGTCAAGTGCTTTAGGGTTGAGGGTTTAAGGAGGGTTTTGGGTTGAGGCGGTTGAGGGGTTTAGGGTTTTGGGGTTCTTGTTGGAGTATGTATGGCTCTGGTATCTTCAGCAGATGAGCAAAGCCTGAGATCATAGTGCTCGAGCTCTTTGGGTTCAATTCAGCACATCCGAGAAAGATAGCCTAACCCTACACTCAAAACCTGTGAGGAGCTGCCCAGCTTCAGGGCGAGGGCCCAAGAGTTACACCTGTTTGTTTGGAGGCTTGAGGTTTTCAGACGCCCTATTCTCCATTAAGGCTCAGAACGCAACGACAAGGCCTTGGCCGTCGTTCCAGGCTTCGGTGTTACCAGTATCTAGGTCTAGGTTTCGAAACTCCACGCAAGGCAGGCAAGCAAGTTTACTAGGTTGCGGCCATCTCAACCCTTGTCCCAGAGGTCAGGGCTCATTGTTGCCAACAACTCAAGGACATCGACACCTTTTTGCCACTTGCTTAAATTTGCGCATTGGCTTGGGTATTTGCTCCAGACCTGGCCCACTGTTGCCGTAGGTCCACCAGGGTATTTCCTCGCATCCTCCATTCTTGAAATCTCCACCAACCCATACCCAAACATTCAAGAGGTCATAGGCTTTTTAAGTTGTGCTGGTACAACCCGAAAGCAGGATTCCGTAACCAGTGCCACACTCATCTCACTAGCATCACCCCCACACGACACCCTCCCACCCGAGTTTATCCGAAGCTCCCTCAGGTCGCAAGGGCTTAGGGATTTTTCCCTCCTACTTGGGCTTAGGGTCATAGAAACCATGGGTCTAACAAGCCTTTGGGAACATAAATGTAAGGAACAGGCAAGCTATTTCGATAAATAAATCCTTGGGGTTGTACTCTCTGGGAGTCTTGGGAACTTGAGGTCCTTAAAATAAGCATCCAGCTATTTGGGGTGCTATATTGGGGTCCCCTATTTCGGAAACCCCTATCTCTTCCAGTAAAATACTTCGAAGCAAATCCCAATCCATGCACTTCAAAACCTTTTGCACAGGCTTGCCTGAGTCCCGCCTGGCGCACCTGTTCTCTGAACCGGGTGAGACACAGAACGAAATCAGTGACTTTAAACCCTTTTTGAACCCGTACTGACTCTAAACCCTAACCCTGAAACCCTAAGCCAAGAAACTCTCCTCTCTGCTCCACACGGGTGGCACAGGCAGCGACCTCAAGAGACAGCGGTCGAATGCTGCGGCTCTTCGGGTATGTTCTGCTGCGGGGTTTGGGATCCGGGGATTCACACGGGTTGTAGGATTTAGTATTTTCGGTCTTATGGATAGTTCATGAATTAGAGTTCCCTTGAAGAGTCATACCTGTCATACCTTGCCAGTCTCTCATTGGAGTAGGCGAGATTTCGCACAACCTCACGAGCTCCAAGCTATCTTTAGTTGCAGTTGCAGGTGCTTTGTCCGCATTCGAAGCCTTCGCGTGAGCCCTGCTGGGTCTTGTGGCTCTACTGCTTTTCTTTTCCCACCCGCCCAGCTGCCAAAGTCGCACCGCAGGGGGCTCTAGTGCTTTAGGGCGTGGGGTTTATGGGCATTTCTACTCTAAACCCTAAACCGTATTTTCCTCTCGTTGCCAAAGGGACAAGGTTTGGAGGACCGAGGGCGTGGAGCTCAGGCTTTCATGTGGCTCAAAGTCCATGTTTCAATTCTTCAAAGTTCAAAGAGCCTTGTCCGCTGGAAAATGACCCCTTCATGAGATCCTAAAGCCGAACACCCAGCCCTGAAACCTCATCCCTTCCCATCACCTGCCGAGACCACTAATGCAGCTGTTACGACTAATGAAACTACTCCTCTGCACTCTTCTCACCATGGTTGTGATTACAAAGTTGCAACGTTTCCTATTCCCACCCTGCCTTGCTTTACACGTACCCGTACTGCTTTGTATTTATCCCCTAAACCCTAAACCCTCAACCCTAAACCCTCTGCTCTAGAGCAGGTTGAGACAGAGCTGCTGCAAGGCCCAGGAATCCGCAGATGGGCATCAGGGCCAGCAGGATCAATGCCTTCCGGAGACTCCATATCGCTCAATTAAGGACTATACCTTAAATCCTATTGTCGTTCCCACTATAATTTAAGGCATATTCCGTAATTAAGGAATATTGGAATGGAGTCTCTGGGTTGAAGTAAGGCCTTTCAGGGGGCAGGCTTTACTAGACCCGAACTACAGCCTTAAGGCAAGGCCATGCAGGGTTTGGGGTGCAAGCTGGGTTTGGCGGATTCAAAAATCAGGAACAAACACTCCGAAACTATGTTTAGGCTTTAGAGCAGTACTACGGTTTAGGATGTTACGGTTGAGTTTTAGGATGTTACGGTTGAGTTTTAGGATGTTACGGTTGAGTGATGTTTGGTACAGAATTTGATGGCTCTTGGACGGCGCAGAGGGAGGAAGAGTAATGGGAAGCGAAAGAGGATGCATGCGAGCGTACGGTGAGGACAGACAGGTACATATATTTGTGAATGGATGTGGCAACAGCACAAAATCACATACTGGTCTGTGAAGTATACTGTACAACTTAGGAAGGAAGGGGGCATCACTACTGACAGTAAGTATTCAAACCATTGTCGACACCTAAGCTTGTTCTTTATCAATGCTCTTGACTCTCTAGATGGGGCTTAGCCAGCACTGCTCGCAGCGAAAAACCTTGAGCCCCAAAACTCTGAACCAGCGGAGTCATAAACTGGAAACCGTGCCTTTCTAAAGCCTTCTTTGCATCAGGACTTATGCAGTCGCCTGAACGTCACCCTGAACCTTCCTTAAGCGGTCAAGCCCTTAAGCCTTTCAAGCTTTGCACCAGGCTGCCAGCACCCACGATCCGAAGAAGCTCATGCCGATACTGATGAGACCTGAGCGGCTAATATAGGGTCCGTAATACACAATTAGAACAGTTTTTGTGGGGATATTGCGGTACAGAGGGGTTTGGGGTTTGTACTCTCAAGGTGTCTAGGGGTTTAGGGTTGGATGCTTTGAAGTTCTGGGTTTACGCTCTTGGGGGTTGTAGGGCCCTCTTACCGCGGCTCTAATCTTTCTCTTACTCCTGCCGCTGCTGCTGCTGCATCTACTATGTTTTACTACTACGGCTACTACTGCCACTACTGCCACTACTGCCACTACTACGACTACTACAACAACTACTACCACCACCACGACGACGACTACTACTACTTCTACTACTTCTACTACTCCTACTGCTACTTGCTACGCCTACTACGACTACTACGACGACTACTACTACTACTACTACTACTACTACTACTACTACTACTACTGCGAATGCTACTGCTACTGCTACTACTACTACTACTACTACGACTACTACTGCTACTACTCCTACTACTACTACTACCACCACTACTTACTACTACGACTACGATTAACCACTACGACTACGGCTACGACCACGACTACGACTGCTACTACTACTACTACTACTTACTACAACTACTTAACTACTACCACCACTACTGCTACTACTACTACTGCTACTGCTAGTGCTGCCCCTACTGCTACTACATCCTACTACTGCTACTACTACGACGACGACTACCACTACTGCTGCTAATACTACTACTACTACTACTACTACTACTACTACTACTACTACTACTACTACTACTACTACTACTACTACGACTACTACGACTACTACGACTACTACTACTACTACTACTACTACTACTACTACTACTACGACTACGACTACGACTACGACTACGACGACGACTACTACGACTACGACAGCGACTACGTCTACCGGTCGTTCATATTGCTTTCGCCTCGATGTCCATCCCTACTTCCTCTTTTCTGCACTTCAAACTGCTTTGTGCAAACATTGCGGCTTTAGCATTGGCTTCTTTAAGCTTTCACCTACGTCAAACCGGAAGATACGTCCGTTCCGTATTGCTCTTATCGCTAAAGAAACGACAGCCTTCGAAACGGGATGGCTCCACGCTACATCCCAAACCCTTCCTCCCTTGCTTCCTGCTGCCAGGATGCAAGTGAAAATGGCCCCTGTTGAGTTTCCAAGCTGGATGCCCAACATCTGCCCAACACGGTTCATGTGCCTGGACACAACAACCAGTTGGATCATGGTTGTGGATGTTACCAGCAAACATCCAGCGTTAGCGGGGGCATGCTTCTGCAAGCAAGCCTTGTGTGCTAGTTCATCACACAGCAACGTCTTATAAACACAGAGGGGGCGCGGTTCGCCTCGACGGACCTGCCTGTGCAGACTGCCTGAAATATGTTTCCCTGCTCGCGCTTGTTTTCGCTCATGTGTTTTCCTGCACCTGCAGCACAGCTCCCCATTATCAGCTGCAGAACTTTGAGCAAAGCCCGGCGGAGGCCCAGCGGGTTGGAAGACAGCGAAGAGGCAGAAAGAACTTCAGGCAATATCTCAAGATGGGCAACAACAGTGCCAGAAACAGAAATGCTGTACATAGTCGTAGCATTCATAGCAGCCGCAAAACCGAAGTGGCAGTGGTGCTGCTGCTCGTAATACTGGTAGTACACTGGTGGTCATCGTCATCGTCGTAGTGGTGGCAGTGGAAGTGGTGGCGGTTGCGCTAGCGGTAGGGGGTAGCGGCAGTTTAATGGTAGTGCTAGCGTTGCCCCAGTGGTGGTGGTAGTGGTAGGGGTAGTGGATGGTCGTGGTAGAGGTACTGGCAATGGTAATGGTACTGTACATCGTGGTTATAAATGGTCGTGTCGTCATCGTCGTCGTCGTCGTCGTACAGTAGTAGGAGTACAGTCGTAGTAACAGCACTAGCAGTAGCAGTGGTAGTAGCGGTAGTAGCGGTAGTAGTAGTAGTAGTAGTAGTAGTAGTAGTAGTAGTAGTAGTAGTAGTAGTAGTACCACACACGCTCCTAGGAGGACTGGTGTTTTCATGCGTTTCGGAGCGAGTTTGCAAGACAGGAGTGGGGTTTTGGGAGGGTGGGGGGGTGGGGAGGGAATCATAACGCTCATGTCACAACCTGTGGCGATCTTGCCCGAAACACTTGTATTGACAGCAGTTTTGCTCTTTGTACAACATACTGCGCAAGGATGTGGAGCAAGACTCGTTGTCACAAGCATACATGTACAACATACTGCGCAAGGACGTGGAGCAAAACAAGTTGTCACAAGCATCTATGGTTTCTTGCGAGCGTGCTCAAAACACTGGTATTTGCAGCGTTGTTGCCTCTTTGTACGGCATACTGTGCACGTAGTGCTTTCCTTTTGCGTAAAACGCCCGCAGCAAAGGAAACATACCAAACCTTCAAAAACTACTTCGTGATTTCTGACACCCGCAGCTGCCTAATGCGGGTTTTTGTCGGCCCTGCCAGTATTTCCGGCACTTCATGAGCCTAGACGCACCGTTTTTGCACATTCAATAATGCGTGGCAGCCGTGCGAACGCCGTCAGGGCGCTCAAACCTGAAGATTGCCTTCTGTTTGAACTCGCATGACAAACACCAGTTCTCCTAACAGCATGTGTCCTAGTAGTAGTAGTAGTAGTCGTCGTCGTAGTGACAGTACTTAGCAGTAGCTAATGGTAGGTAATAGTAGGTATTAGTAGTAGTAATAGCAGTACTAGCAGTAGCAGTAGCAGTAGTAGTAGTTGTACTCGTAGCAGTAGCAGTAGCAGTAGCAGTAGCAGTAATAATAATAGTAGTAGTAGTAGTAGTAGTAGTAGTAGTAGTGGTAGTAGTGGCAGTAGTAGTAGTAGTAGTAGTAGTAGTAGTAGTAGTAGTAGTAGTAGTAGTAGTAGTAGTAGTAGTAGTAGTAGTAGTAGTAGTAGTAGTAGTAGTAGTAGTAGTAGTAGTAGTAGTAGTAGTAGTAGTAGTAGTAGTAGTAGTAGTAGTAGTAGTAGTAGTAGTAGTAGTAGTAGTAGTAGTAGTAGTAGTAGTAGTAGTAGTAGTAGTAGTAGTAGTAGTAGTAGTAGTAGGTAGTAGTAGTAGTAGTAGTAGTAGTAGTAGTAGTAGTAGTAGTAGTAGTAGTAGTAGTAGTAGTAGTAGTAGTAGTAGTAGTAGTAGTAGTAGTAGTAGTAGTAGTAGTAGTAGTAGTAGTAGTAGTAGTAGTAGTAGTAGTAGTAGTAGTAGTAGTAGTAGTAGTAGTAGTAGTAGTAGTAGTAGTAGTAGTAGTAGTAGTAGTAGTAGTAGTAGTAGTAGTAGTAGTAGTAGTAGTAGTAGTAGTAGTAGTAGTAGTAGTAGTACCTGTTGTTGTCGTAGTAGTAGCAATGGGTGAGCAGGAAAAGGAGGAGCTCTTCATAGCACCACCTATTCTCATACCCGCAGGGTTCCAGAGAGGCAAGCCACTGCTGTTGAGTGGAGCCTGGTGGCATCGCATGGGTGTCTTTCAGGGATGCCCTTTCAAAGTGCCTTTCAAAGGTCCTTTCCAAAGGCTGTCGGGAAAGGGTGCCTTTCAAGAGTGCTGCACAACGGCTCTTGCCCACAATCCGACTGTTGAGGCTCCTCAAGTCTCCGGCTTATCTAGCATCCCCTGAGTCTGAGCACTATGTCGATGGTGCTCCCATCACGTACTCCGCATTCGCTCAGTGACTTGTGGTCCTCAAGCTGGAATCCGCCAAAAATGAGGCGCTGCTGATCAACAGGAATACCTCGTTTCCTCTCAATGATTTTCTTCAACGTCTCCTCGTTCTCATCGATATAGTTTGTGAGGCAAAGCTCAGGGTCGTCGTGCCACGATGTTGGGATGTCCCAGAACTGAAAGGGCGGCGCTTTCCCGAAGAGTTTGAGGTACCTGTTCATAAATATCACGTGTCCATGAAAGTTTGGAACTACACAGCAAGCGGCCCCGTACCCTTGTTTACAAGTCCTGCGAACAAGCTGGGAAGCATGAACCCACATAGACATAGCTCGAACGAGTCAGACCGAGGCACTTCGTAAATGTGACATGGTATCGGTCCGGTTGGTGCTGGTCTTTGCTTCGTGGATCGTGGTCGATGACTTCACCCGTCAGGCTTCGGCAAAGTGTCTGGTATGCCCGTGGGAACAGTAACAGCCTGTGCCAAACTTCATCCACATGAAAGGAAGGTGAAAGCTGGGAACTTGGAGTAGTGCAGAGGCGCTTGCTTGGCGGTTCTGTCTCTGTCGCTACTCTTGGGGCAGCTGTGTCACTGTTGATGGCCTTGAGAACGAAGAAGCGACTAAACTCCACGATGAGCTCATCAAGGGACGCGGTGAGGCTCAGAGGCTCCCACGAGCGCTCGCGCTCATCGACAGACTCTTCGTCTGAATCCCCTAGAAGACCTCCGGCTTCCTTCTGCAAGTACTCGCGAATTGCCTGCCCGTCCGGGCTTTCCCAGAAACGCACAAGCTCTTGGGCAGCAGCCCTTGCCACAACCGATGCCGCATCACCAAGGATCTTAGCTTCTGAGATACCCACGCTGCCAGCTGTGACAAAGCGCTCTGGTCTAAACTGCTGAGGAGGAAGCGGACCGACCCTGATATTCTGACTGGCAGTCACTTCATAAGTTCTGCCCGCGAGATCCCGGACGAGAATACGCATGGCTTCGCCTGGCACCCCGCCCTTTCTGAGTAAAACGCTGGAGCGGAACAAGCATTTGTGACTTCTGTGAGATCGATTATTGTGAATTGTCTAACTCCTGGCCGCAGAGTTGCCTCAGCATGCACCTACACGTTGACGACGGATATTTCCCTGCATACTCGCGTCTCAGTTTCTCTGTTGCGTGTATATATGGGTACATGAACACACCCGTAGGCATTTACACGTTCAGCAATATGGCTGAGATCTCCCACCCGTTGAGACTGCTATGCAGGCATTGGTCTGCCCTTAGCGTATAACCTGGGACACATCTCTTATATCTCTTTGGTGCCCAACTATGTTACTGCCTTTACGTAGGCTATTTTGTGGAAGCCGTGGCATCCCCGAATCACAACAATTGACCAGGGAAATGAAACATAATATGATATGATATAATCTGATATAATAAATATATATATATATATATATATATAACATAATGTAGTAGAATAGTATAATATGATGCAAATAATTCGATGCAACACCGGCACTTGGCCAGCGGTCAATGACGACCGAGCCAAACCATCGAAGACGAGCCGAAGATGTCCGGTCAGAGTTTACGACTTAAGGCTTTAGGGTTTAGCTGGAGGCTCCATAGTAGTTTCTTTTTGGGATTCATATTTAGAATACTATAAGGTATTCCCTAAAAGGAACTACTGCGGAGCCTATGGGTATGGGTCTCCACCCCCAGCCTTTGAATCCCTAAACCCGCTAACGGCCCAAGGACCTGCAAAAGACACATGCCCGATCCTGCCTCTCCAGGGACACCAGGATGCTTCCCGTCTGATTCTCAGGGGCATCGAAGAAAGCCATGTCCATTCCTTGCCGCAGCCTAAATCCTAAACCCTAGACTAAGCAAACCCGCCTGAAACTCGACAGCAGTGCAACCGAAACCTATTAATGCCAAACGTCCAGCACCCTCGAACCCCAACACCATCCAAAACCTGAAACATAAGCTCTTCGTCTTGGCACTGCTCGCCTGCAAGGCCCTGTTTCGCTACTAGTTACAAGTGGAGTGTGATGGGTCAGACAGCATCAGGTTTAAGGATTCGCCTGGGGTCCTTACGTTTCGCAGGTTCAGGGTTTAGAGATTCTTTGAGCTCCTTTTTAATGTCTGCCAGCATCTAGTTTAGCTTTCAGGGTTTAAGGGTTAAGAAAGGTGTCCTCACGGTTTGGGTTTCGGGCATGCGTTGAAGGTCTCAGTCTACAGGCCTACGGGCTCAGGACTCGGGCCGTAACGATGGTATGCGGGAGGATGCAACTTTGCTGCACAAGCGGGCGAAGCTTCGAGACCAGACCTACATGGTGAGGTCTGGTGGGTTCTTGATGGAGCTCCTCACAGTAAAGATACCGCAACGCTACCTTACTCAGAACCATCCATAGACATTTGCAACGAAGGCTGGTCAAGATAAGAGTTCAAGTTTGGGCTCAGGTTCCGGCTTGAATGTTCTAGGGCGCTAAGGCCCGTGTGAGCCACCCGGCAAGATCTCTGTCCGCAATGCCGGGTAGATAGCTAGATGCATGTAGCTCTGCGGTTCGGGTGTATTTCAGAGTGGGGTTGAGGGTGTGCTTCATACGGGGGTCGGAACAATTAATTGGAAACATGTCCCTTTGAAGCCCTATACAACCATTCCTTTGACTATTGCAGCCCTGACACATCTATGTTCGAATACGCCTACAGCATCTTCTTTCGGAGGCCCCTAGACTCACCCTACACAAAACACATATATGTACCCCAAAGCTCTATCCCGACTACTCAGGCCCCAATGCAATATTAACCGGCATCGTGCGTGGGAGCAGCGTATCGTGGAGGCGAAAGCCATCTTCCGCAAGATCATGCACAAGCACTCCTGCCTGAGGAGGCGGGGAGGGGGGTGGGGGTGGAGGAAGGTTCGAGGCTCTGGGGTTCAGGGCTTTGCATTTAGGAGTCTGTTGCATTTGCAGGATTGGGTTGCTGTTGAAACGCAACTCTGAGCCCGAGTACTCTTCGACACCGGCTATGCAGAGCCCAAACCCGCACCGATAATTCCTGCTGCTGGCACCTCAAAGGTGGTAAACCCCTGAACTAAGGAAGTTAGAGCTCCTGAACAGGAGAAAACGGCCCTTGTTAAACCCTAAGCCGCAAACTCCCTCAACTCGGACGTATAGTTTGAAGTCTCAACCCGTAAACTCGAAAGTCCCAAGTGCAAATAGGTGAAGAGCGCGTTCTGGCACAGCACCGCGACGCCAGACCCCAAGCCCACCAGAACGAGGCACAGAACTGCCTCTCACGGGGATAAATATAACACTGTTGACGAGGATGATATAGAAGCCTTGGTGAATAATTAGAACAAGGCTTCTCTTTAAGGATTCATTTACAGGGCTCTATCAGGAATACTGTAAGTGTTCTACGATGTATGAGCCTTAAGAATGAGATTGGAGTTTGGGGTTCTAGCCCAGTACAAGTAAAATGAGCAGGGAAAGCATTGATAGCGCTTCCGGCTGCAGAATAAGAAAAGTCAGCGCATGCCAGTGTCTTATCTCTCTGGGTAAAGTAGCTTGCAGGATGTAAGGCTGCGGGGCTTAAGGACGTGGCGGACATAGCTGGCTTATGGTTCAGTTAGGGCTTAATTACAGCGCCAGGAATCAACAACCACACCCTCATCATCATCATCAACATCATCATCATCAACATCATCATCATCATCATCACCGCCCTAATTAACCAGCCTCATCTTCGTTGTCGCTATCTTCGACATCATATCATGAACGCTTGAATGGTGCTGGTGACTGACCCTCACATGTTTCTTGATCTTCATTGGTATCGCCCACCACGGCATGGTTGGCGTCACCTTCGGCACCACCATTATCATGCCTGAAGGCTCGACGCGTGTAGGGCTTCTTCGGTTCAGGGCTATTAGGTTTACCTTAACCCTGAATAACCCACCTTTTTAGGGTTCCTCATTCTGATTTCCTTCTATAAATCCTTGAAAAGGTAGGTTATTCGGGGTTAAGGTAGGGCTTCGGGTTTAGGCTTCGGTTCAGGGCCTGATCCGTTTAGGCTTCGCGTCAGGGCCTGGTCCAGCATGGGGTACATCGCCTCCAAGCCGACTTTTTCGCTCTCGAAGAGCGATAAGATGGCCTCATGGAGGAAAGTAAGAAAGCTCCTGCTTGAGAGGTACAGAAGGGGCATCGGGGATTTTTCCAGCTAGGAATAGGCTTTAGAGGTTGTGAATCTCGGGGCCAGGCTTGAAGGTTTGGGGCATTGGGGCCGGACTAGCAATCCGAGAGATATTCTAAAGCTCACAAGCCTGCAATCTGAGGATTGAAGCGCAACTTGGGGCTTCAAGGCCCTAAACTCCCTTTTTTTGCCACTGGACTCAAGTCTTGCCAATCTACGACCCACAATCATCTAAACTGCCTGAACCCTTAACCCTAAACCGACTTCAAGGAGTCGGTCTTCAGGGTTCAAGGCTTCAAGTTTTGGGGCTTTCATCGCTGGGACTCCGCCGGAGACTTCCATCTTTGGGGTCAAAAGTCCTCCAGTGTATACTGTGCAAGATCTGCGGAGCATCGGAATGTATAAAAAGCATAAGGTCATGTCAAGCTGCGAGCAGATGTCTTACAAATGCCGCATTGTTTAAAATTTTAGAATACTGATACATACACATATACATTAACACACATATTGGGTCTAAGGGGTGGGAGGACTCGTGGCCTCATGTGAAGATCGGCACGAACACAGGAGAACCATGTCGGCAGAGGTACTGCGTTGTGGACATCATCAAAAGCATACGATGCAAGGCAGACCTAAGCCTTTTAAACCTGCGAGCCTAAGTCCTCGGCACCCTCGCGCCCTCAAGCTCAAAACCTCTAAACTTTAGACAATGCTGTGCCCATCGCTCGTCCGATGCAGGGCCTTTTGCAAACGTGTTCCACCATCCCTCCAACACAGTCGCAGTCGTAGCAATGCAAACCGACGAATGAATTACAGAAGCAGGAGCACAATCCCGAAACAGATGGGTTGATCAAGCCAACCTGTTGCAGAGCCCACGAGACAAGCCCCAGCTAAGGTAACTAACTGGCTCCCAGACTAATCTTGCGGCATTGTGATGCAGTGAAGGAGTGCTTGCAGCAGCTGAAGAACGGACAAGGAAACATCTTCCCACCTAAACCCTAAACCCTATAATCCCTAAACCCTAACAACCCAGGTACAGATCCGCGTCTGCAGCCGGATGGCCTCAAAGCCTGTGACCCACAGCAGCTGAGGGCCCCACCGCATTGAAGAAGACTGCTTCGAGAGGTGCACCGGCGGCTTCTGCTATGATGATCTGAGCTTGCACTTGGCATCCAGCATCCCTCGAACTTCTCTCAGAAAGTCCAAAGAGTGAGCGGGTGGCTGAGCCAGTGAAGAGGTCACCTAGCCGAGCAGAACACCTATCAGGTTTAAGAGGTACTTCCTTCGGACGCACCCCTTCCTTGAATTGAATATGGTATCCGTATCCCGTGGCTTAGGTCAAGACTTCTGCCACAAACAAGGAGCTGAAGCTTCAACCCGAAGCCCAACAAGCCCTAAAACCCTAGACCTTCAAGCAAAAACACCGTAAACGCTGAATGCACGAAACAGACTCCCAAAAGCCCAAAACTTCCACAGCCCAGATGCCAGGAAGGCAATTGGCCAGACCCACCAATAGAGCCTGGAGCGACAAGGAGACATCCAACAACCACCAACACGGGCGGCTGCAATTCAAGAACCCCCCCCCCCCCCGAACTATGTAACTCCATCTATGTATCTGTGTATCTATGAACCTATGTGTATGTATTTATTAATATGTGTGTATGTGTGTGTGTATATATATATATATATATACGCCTGTCTGTGTCCCCCTCTTTACAACCCTAAAAGAATCTTATGCAAAGCTTCCCAAAGTCCCACATAAACAACTCTGCAAGAAGAGCGAACCTAAAGCTACAGCCGGCATCCAGTGGATCGACCCCCAACTGGGCCCTGATCTCAAGAAGTCGAGCAACACACGGGCCCGAATAAAGAGCATAGGGTTTCTGGTTTGGGGGAAAGGTTGTGCTCCTCATCTACATGAAGAAACCGTAAAGAATCATGTTCGTACTCATGAAAGCCTCATGTTACAGGACCCCTCGCGGATTGAATCCCTTCTCTTCGATCGTTCTTTCTTAACGAGAGGCGATGATACCCCCAGCACAAAAAACAGTGATTATGATGATGATGATGTTGATGATGATGTCAAAACAAGCGAAATGATAGCAGTGATGGCAGTACTTGCTCTTCTTAAGCTCCAAGTGTGTTTGTTAGATAGGTCGATGCTCTAACATGGCACTTCTGCAGTTCATCTTTTGATAGTGTTGCTGCAAGCAGGTTATCGTGCTCGGTGGGCGAACGCGTGTGCTCATCACAAATACTATAGGGAGTTTCAGAGAAGAGGGGACCCTCATAAAATACCCTGAATGGTAGGGTCCTCATTAGAAGGACCCCAAACTAAGGTACACCTTATTTTCGGAAACTCCCTATGGGCAAGACCGACACCCTAAAATCAAAGCCGATCTCTCCGCATCTTTGGGCTATAGCTCCTCGGAGGCGAAACCCATCCAACGTTTAGGGTTTAGGGGTTTGGGGTTTAGGGTTTCGGGTCCAAATCACACACTCCAGCTCTCCAACCCCCAAACCTCAAGCTAAACCCCACGAACGAAGAACCCCTCAACCTAATCCCCTGAACCCCTCAACACCCACCTCATGAGGCCGAAGAGTCGTCCCCAGATCTCAGCAGATCGGATTGGGGTTCCAGTTTGGAAGGGCTTGGGCTTTTTCCCTCTCGCATGGCTAGGGATCTATGCCCACAACCAGGTTTACGGGCTAGCGCTTGGGGGTTCTTTTCTAGAAGTTCGGGTCTACAGGGCTTGGAGGGTTTGACTTCACAAGAAATACTTGACAGCGGTAGGGTCGGGATTTTTTGTCAGGGAACTTGTCAGGTTTCCGGCACTGTGGTTGGAAAGCTATAGTATAGGTTTCCCAAGTAAAACTACCAGCAGTTTTTTGTTCAATACATGTTTGTCGCCGGTGGACGTTGGTCATGCAAAACATGGATATGAGTGCTGCCATGAAGAAGATGGTCTTGGCAAGTGGTGATGGTGATGATAGGGGTGCTGGCGATGATGATGACGATGATGACGAATAAGCCACAAGCGTATGCAAGGTTTATCCGCTGAAACCATTGGCATCAACACGCAGAAAAGCCTGTCTGGCACATCTTATCTGGCTGAGTATGTCCAACACAACGAGACTGGCGTTGTTTTCCCAAAACTTCGGCTTCTATCGGAGCCACAAACATGGGAGCGGAACCCATTGCAGCCGAGAAGCTCGAGGGGTTGCAGTCACGCTCTCCTGCCAACAGGAATGAACATTTGGGAGAATGCTCTGCGAGAGCTCTGTCTTAGATTTGAATCAAACACGGCTGTCACTTCACGGGTTGCCCTATCGCCCTATGCTGCTGCTACGGGCATGTCTTTATCTTCGAAACGAACAGCCACGTGATTCCGCGCGCATAAGTAGTCAAGGCCCAAGCTTCCTGCGGTTGATGATATAAATCCTGCATCACTGCATTACCCATAACCAGAATCAGCTTCTGTTTGAATTATATGGTATACTCCATATTCTGGGTAATTCATGCCGGATGTATATCATCAACCGTGTCTCTCCGCCCAAAACTCCACAAAGCAAGCAGAGGCCCTCACGTCCATTTCGAAGGCTGACTCAAAGAAGCTGAGCACGGACCCGCTGCGGCGCATCATCGACATCCTTGGACTTCTTCCCGTGTTTTTCGGGCTTAGAGTCTAGGGTGTAGGGAAGAGTTTGCGCTGTAAGGCTTAGGTTGAGGGTAGCTTGTATTCATTGTACTTATTCCTCTCGCACTGCTAGGATCCACGCCTACTGGCGAGGTTGAGGGTCTGTAGCCTTCAGGCTTGGAGCCCATGGGGTTTTGGGGTGTGATCTTGGACCTTGACGAAGACACTCATGATTCTCGAAACGGCTTTGAATGTGGATCCTCTAGCACCAGCGGGTTCTCAATCAGGTTCCTAGATTATGTGAGGATTGAATCAGTAGGGTTTCGGGCTCAGGGCTTCAGGTCAAATGCAAGTGAGAGGGTGTCAGTCCGTCTTTGGATCTGTGGAAGCATGCAGTTTGAAGTATTAACCGTCCAAACTCCTAGACCCTAGACACTATCGCCCTGAACTTAACTCCGAAATCCAAAACCCTTTTCCCAAGCATCAGACAGCCTATGAACCCCCAACAAGTCGCTGACACCTAGGCAGCTGAGGCTCGACTTCTGCATGCCGAACTTGCGTGCAGTTTCACTTCGTGGCATTGGCGCTGGTGTCACCACAGACATGTCCTGCCAGAAGGCCGACTACCCACAGGCTCCATAGTAGTTCCTTTTCGGAATTACCTTATAGGACTCTACATATGCACCCCAAACAGGAACTACTATGGAGCGTCGAGGTAATCCTGGACTTTTACCGAGCAGCCGGGACCCCAAATGCACCACGACACAGCTAGAAGTTTGGAAGTCTAGAGCAAGCCTCCATGAAACCCCGAGAAAGCCTCCCACTGGATCTTTTTCTGGGGCGTTCCGGTGTTTACACCATGTCTTTTTTTGTTGAGGGGGTGTTCTGCATACTGTACTTGCACATAGTACTGAACCCCGCTGTTTTTTTCCTTAGGGTTTCGCGGCCCCTGCACCGCGAAATCACTGCAACGCGAAGCCACAAACCCCCCACCACACCACTAGTTGCATGCTCTTATTGACTTGGAAAGTATACTTCGCACTCCATATGCGCACACCGGCTTGCTAAGCCACAACAGCGTCCAAGTAATCATAATCTGGTATTGAATCTAAACCCCTTACGCCCCCGACTCCACATATGGGCCATCATAGGTAGAATGAGGTGCTGGGACATATTATCGTATAGATATAATCAGGAACCTAAGAAATGCTAGAGCAAAACTTCTGGATTCAGCCACTTTCTTGAACCCACAACTCCGACCGACCTATCAGTCTCAGCAGGGACCACTTCATTGAGCCTGCAGCCCTATATTACACTCCCGATGCAAACAGCCCCGAGCCCCATAACCCTGATCCCTAAACCCAAACCCTTTTTTACAACTGGCTTGCAACGTCACGCCAGGACAAACCCTAACCCCTGAACTCCCAAACTCTAAACCCCTAAACTCCCAAACCCTAAACCCCTGAACCCTTAAACCCCTAAAACCTTATTGAACCGCTAAACTCTGAAAACCTGCGGTATCGGGCCTCGTCCTCCTCCTCACGGTGGGATTGCCTTCGCTTTGCGCTTTGCTCGAAGTACTAGGATTGTGGCCTTATCGGCGGTTAATGATTCACTGGGCTCAAGGTTCCAGGGAGAAAAAGTATAAACTCATATTTCATACTGGTTCCACTAAGAAAAAGTATTAAGTACTAAAGTATGGTACTCCAACGCTCAGTTCAGGGTACTGGGAGGCACCCAAATTACCCCAAACTTCTGATTCTGAAGCCCATACCAATCCAGCCCAAATCACCTGGACTCCCACAAAGCACAACATCCCAGAAATCAGCGCCATTTTCAATGCTCGAAGAAAGAATGCTCCAGATCCTGTCGACACCAAATGCTACCGCCCTTCAAACCCTGCAGCCCAATGGAGTCTCCCACAGGAACCCCAAGCACTAAATGTGCTGCAGCCCGAGTGAAGCTTTTGCAGTTCTGCGGCTTGTCATGTGCAAGAAGGTCGAACGCTAACTATTCGGCCACTAGGCAGCCATGGCCCGGTCCACAAAACTTAGCATAGGGCTGAGCTTTTAGAGCCTGCCATTGCCCATGATATAAAGAACAGTCTTTTGCAACAAAGGAGATTCGTGTTCGTGTCGGAAAAGTGCACCCAAAACTTGAGAACCCCAATTCCTGAACTACTCAACTTGGCGGCCCTGAATCTTGCACCCGCAAGGCCCTCAACCCTTTCAGCCACAACTTTGTTTTCTCTAGTGGGGCTTGAGGACTGGGGTACAACTCTAAGCCCTTGTTTGACCGCGGTCTCTCTGAAGTGTCTCCAGCAGCATGGTTTCCCTAAGCCCTAAAACCAAACTCTGAACCCATCTGAATCCTAAAACCCCGAAGCCCACGAGCCGCGCACGCAGGTTAAAGAAGGTGCTCACTGTAACATACGGCATGGTGGCTAGCATACTACTGCTGCATAGGTATACTGTCAAATACTTTGCCATCTATATATATATATATATATATATATTTGCATATATATATACATATATATATATATATTTATAGAGATATACAAATATAAATATAAATATAAATATGAATATATATATATATATATATATATATATATATGTGTGTGTGTGTCTGTCTGTGTAGGAAGCACAAACGTTCAAGTACGCACTTCAGCTTGTGTTCTGATCAACTTGTGCAGGTTCAAGTATTCCAAAACCTGAAACCAAGCAGGAAGTCTTTAACCCTGCTGGGGTTTACGGTTGATTAGGAATGAGGGTTTGGTTTAGGGGTTCTAAGTTGATATGTGGGGTTAGTTGTTTAGGGTTTATGTGTGGTTTAGGGTTTGGGCTTAGGGCTTAGAGTCTTTTACCGAGCCCTAAGCCCCGTAAACCTCTATAGTCCTTAGTCTACAGATAGCCCCCGTGCGAAGCCCTTGTGGGCCAGGGCTCTGTAACTTGGCCATGCTGTAGTACTCGCCCTTCCTTGGTCGGAGGAGGGGAACTCAGTTGTTGGGTTCGGGAGGCCCTAATGAAATGTAAACCTCCAGATCTACAGAAGCTAGAATTAGTTATCACCCAAAAAAAGTGTGAAGCGTATTCATCCAGCTGCTACGGAAAGCTGCAGCTTCTGACTTTGAGGCTTTGGCGTCGAGGGTGTGCGGTATGAGGTGTTTCTGTTGCCTCCTACTTCACAAGGACTAGCCCGCATTGCGGCGTGTCGGGCTCGGAGACGTTACAGAAATGGGCTGCGATTTCGCGCCTTGGGGTGGGATTGCAGTTGAGCGATAGGAGCACAATTCATATCTTGTTCTTGGCCTGGAGTTCTTTTTCGTCCATGCGCAGGACAAGTTCCCAAGCGAAGGGGTTTAAAGAGGGGTCTGAACGATTACACCATGGCGTTGGGAGTTTTGATACGATGCAGTTGAATCCCCATATATATATATATATATATATATAAACCCTGAGTAGAAACCCCAAACCCTTCATCCCTGCGTTTTAAAGAGCTGCTGTCAAGTCTCAACTCCATGAGCTCTTCATGCGTGCCCTGTTCGGAGCAGCGGCCGTTCTTGAGCACGTAAATCACCTAGGCATCACAATGGTGCAGGAAAGGCCAAACTTCGGGTTTAGGGTTTAGGGTTTAGGATTTAGGGTTTGGGGTTTAGGATTTAGGGTATTTAGGGTTTAGGGTCCCAGTCCTATGAAACCCTAGTACGGTTTAGGGTTTAGGACAGTCCCAGGATGAAACTAAAGTCCCTAAACCCAAGACCCGAACAGGCAAGAAAGGATTCAGCAAAGCTCTGATCCACCAACTTTCGTCGAGGTCCGAAATACAGACAGCCTTGTGATGCTCTACCTAAACCCCAAATAAGGGCTTACTATATAAGGAAATCATACTAGGGAAGAAGGCCCCTAAACTCTAAACCACCAACCCTAAGCCCTGAGCCGCACTTCCTGTCGGAGGGGCCCTCGAGGGCCCAGGGGACTTAGTAAGTCGGCTATAAGTAGGGTTGTAATTGGGGCGACTCCATGTAGGGTACCTCTAGTCTACTTAAAGAAAATACTAAGCCCCCAGGGCCTCTGACTAGTGGTTCAAGCAGGACTTTGGCCATCTGCCGTCTATGGCAAACTACTTCACAAAGTGCATCAACGAACCCTTTCTGCATCACGGGCTTCTGCAATCGCTTAAAAATGAATGCATAGGCAGGGAAGAGAGGCGAAGAATATCTGAAACATATGCATGTGACTGCGTATGCAAGTGAATACGGCTGGTAAGCATGGAAGCGCACGGATGGACAGATACAAACTATGACTAATTATGAGTCCTCTCGTTGTGTAGTTGCATGCGTGAATTTATAAGTATGCGCGTGTGGCGAGGCTAGGTGCATTATATCTGATCACAACATCTGATTTGCAGTACCCTTGCGCCTCATCAACTGGAGATTCCTTACTACGAACACTATTTGTTGGTGGGGTGCGTTTTTAGGTTTTTGTACGGTATGTCCCAGAACAATGGTTCTAACACGCAAGGCCCCTAGATGAGATGACGGATGGGTCGCTTTTGAGCGACAGTTGCCGGTGCGGAGAGCTGCAATTACTATAGGGGCCTTAATAGTTACCTATACCATTTTGGTGGTTCCTTTAAAGGGTACCTTAAAGGGCCCTGTCAGGGCCTATAGTAGGATTCTAAAATGTACGGACCTTAGTTGTCACGACCTATACTATTTTGGGGTTCAGTACTACATATACTCTAGTTCATGGTTGGGATAGGATTAAAAATATCTAAATTGTTATTCCTTATTGGATTTAAGTTCAAGTACCCATAAAAATGTAAAATGTTACCCAACTATGACAAACTACAGTTGCTATGATATACCCCCAAACTCTATTCCAATCATGAAGGCTCTTTTATTACTAGAATCGCTGAGCAAGGGGCGTCTGAGCCCTTGATGGTGGTCAGCCTCGCATGGGTCTCAGCGGTTGTCGATGCTCACACTCGCACAAGACAGGCAACGCTTCTCCACGGTTTAGGTTTTTAGGGTTTCGGGTGTTCCGTGCCTTTTTGCGTTTAGGGTTTAGGGATTTAGGGTGGAGGGCTTTGGGATTTAGTGTCACCGAGCTATGTTGCTCTGTAGGACTGCAGGAGCATCCTGACTACGAGAACAGCGTCGCGATGTCGTGCCTGTGAATGAAAGGCATTGAGCGGCTCTTGGCTGTTGCCATGCGACATACAAATCCTATATCGCTGTGGCTTTACAACACACGATGCATGTTGCGGAGAACAGCGCATCCTAAACCCAAACCTCTGAAGCCCAAAACCTTTGAACCCCAAAACTCGAAAGGCATCTAACATACACCTGGTAGTGCGTGTGCAAGAAACTATCCAAAGAGCTATTTTTTGTAGTTACAAGACACGTGAAACGCTACCCCTGCCTGTGGGCAATGGAGATCGTGGTGATGCTGCGGCCCATGACCGAGTTGAGGGAATCCAGGGTCGCCTCACTTGATATTCTGAGGCCTTCGGGCTGTTGGGGATCTCGGCCCGAAGTTGTTGGGTTTTAGGCTTTCTGCCTCCCGTATGCTATAGGGGCGTTAATAATTAGAGCATTCTTTTTGGAGGGGGGGATTCTACTATAACTATAATAAAGACCCCTAGGGAGAGCATGGGTAAATATTATATAAGACTCTATTGAGACTCCTATATTAGATATCAATCGTTGAGCCGGGAAGTCTTTGCGGCTTGATACTCAAGGCTCCTTGGCTTCCTTTGCTGCAAAGAGGAAGTCTGTCGGTTTTTGTTTTCACGACCCTTTTCCGGTCGAAGAGGTTCAGAAAGCGGTTCCCGCTGGGTCTATATCCAGCCGTGCAGGCAGGACTTAGGGTTTCGGGAGTTAGGGGTTAGGGTTCAGGGTTTCATTTCACGTTCCGTGGCTCTTTCAGTAATTCTGGGTTCCCGAGTAGGCCCTGTATACCTTTTTCCTACCGTTCGGCTTCAAAAAGGGGACCCTAAAACGAAAAGGGCAAAAGGGCACTACTCGGGAACAACGGTCCTAATCACGACCTTACAGTGGTGACTCGGAATTGGCCAAAGGGTCACGGGAGTCCGTCCCAAGTTGCTCAGGGTTCAGGCTGCGTGTTGTCTTAACCCCAAAACACCTGAGGACTTACAGAAGGAAATCATAATCAGAAACCCTACAAAGGTAGGTTCGGAAGAGGTAAAAGGCATCGCGAAGCAGCTCTTGCCCAAGGCTGTTGCAGCATGTTGCATGGCTCCCTGCGGGGAAGCGGATTGAAGCTGGCCGCAGTGCTCAAGTTAATGATCGTGCCCGAAGCCGTCTGACAGGACCTGAAATTGATCGGCTCGGGCCGTGGCATGGCGGTGACAGTCGTTCTCGCGGCTGTACGGATGGCACCATCTCTCCGCTGGTCTCGCTCTGCCATGAAAGATGAAAACTTCTGCTCAAGGAGATTGGTGGAATGGAATATACGTCGTTGTCCCGCTGTGAGATTTCCCATTGTGATGTGTAGCTGGCCCTGGCGGTGCAATACCATGGCCTGGTTCGCCACCAACTTCGTTCTTTCGGGTTCGGGCAGGGTTCATGGGACTAGGCGGTCTACACTCCCATTTTGGCAGTAGGGTTTAGGGTTTAGGGTGCACCTGTGGCCCTGGAAACTACATCCCGACACCATGATCTGCCGATCCCTCGACCCAGTAGCGGAATACTTTTTGAACGAGGTCTCCCTGAAGTGCCTCCCAGCCGGCCATAAACCCTAAAGCCTGAAACTTTAAAACCCTAAACGATGAAGCTTCATCCCCGAGCCCTAACACTTCAACCCTCAACCCCGAACTTGAGCCCTTTGACGTCCGAAGGGTAAGGCTAATGGTAAGATGCAGTCCTGCACAAGGCGTTCCGACTCGTTGTCCAATGCAGAGGTGGCCTGTCGGGGTCTCATGCTGATTACAAGAGTTTTGTGGCCGACAATGTAGGTAGGGTTTAGGCTCTGACCATACAAGGGTCGTGTGTATTGTCTACTTCTTGCCGGGTTCGTCGTGTTATTGGCTCTTCGTATTCGGTTGTGTCGAGCTTGAATACAAACAGTGACCTGCTTGTCTTGTTCTTCCATGCCTGCGCCTCCGACTCGCGGTGTAAACATCGCCAGCTACTTCTGGTTCAGGCTGATTGAAGATTGATCTTCAGCGGTTGATAGTCTCGCTGTGTTTATTGCTCAAGCTGCTCTCGCTGCTGCTTAACTCATAATGTTGAGGGTCTTCAAAGTTGGAACAGGGACTAAATATCATAACAAAATTAAAAGCGAGTCAGGACAATCATGATAAACAGCAATGCTAATTCTGCTGTTGGCTAATACGCATACTAATCTTATTAAAACTCATAATAGCAACACTAACAATACTAATACATACTAATGCTAATGCTAATACCGGGAGGCTCCCTGGCTTGAACTTGAAACCCGGTGTCCAACTGCGATCATGCCCGAGCGCTAGTGATCGGAAACAGGTCGTGGGCTACACTGACACCAGGGAGCTCAACCTAAACCCTAAGCCCTCCCTCAACACTTTCTCAACGAGGTCTCTCTTGAAGTACCTCCACCCTAAACCCGTAAACCTTTAAGTTGAAAAGCGACCAAAACAAAACCTCCAGGCACAAGGGCTCCCGACGGACCACGTCGCTAGGCTCGCACCCCATAACCCCTGTTAGGCTTTAGGGTTTACGCTCTCACAACTCGGACACAGCCAAGCCTAGGCTTTAGGACTTTAGGGGGGGGTTTAGGGGCTTACACTCTCGGAACTCGGACAAGCAGACGAGGTCGCACCCGAGGGTTTAGGGTGTCCCACTGAACATCGTTGCTTGCACCTCGTCGAGGAGCAAAATCTGCGGGTTCTTCGCCAAGGCCCGCGCAATTGCAACCTCAGAGTTTTTGTTTTTTTTGAGCACCTTTTTCCATCCGCCTAAAGTCTTAGGAATCTGGAACCTCAGAGTTTAGAATTTAGTAGGGTGGATGACGAAAAGGATAATGAAGCTTGACCCCGATCTTAGCGGGGGTTGCTTGGCAACTTGTTCTGCTTACTGTAAGGTTTCAAGGGCTTCTTGAGGGTCGGCCAACTCTGCAGATTTACATGGTATATTACTAGATTCGTATATGTACATATATGTATATAGTTCCGACACTTACGACTGATAGCAGGACAATCTTCACGTGCACGGCGCAGGGGAAGGCTGTTGTCTTCGGGGCTTTCGGGTTTAGGGTTTTAAGGGGCTAAAGTCCACGAACCTGAACCCCGTGAAGCTCGAAACTCTCGCTGCTGACAGCACGGCAAAGTCCGCAGGAAATCTTTGAGAGGAGTTTCCACGGCTCCGGTGTGTAGTTTGTAAGGACTCCTGCTGCCTTTCTGGCTTGCTTCTTGACAGCAAACTCTAATTATACCCCAACCCACCTCTGCAGTAAACCCCTAAAAGCTATTAAATAGACCTTAGCTAGGCCGTCGTCTCCGCACCGCCCTCAACCGGCAGAAGAGTCCTAGACCAGAACCCACAGTGCATGCCGAGAGGCACGCTGACGCTGACCTCCAGACAGCATCCCGCCTGCGAAGAGCTTTTGGGTGCGTTCCGGTCTTTAGGGCTAGTGCTAGTTATAGCAGTTTACAGCATTTAGGGCAGTTTCATTCCAAACAGCTTTCGTTTGAAGCTCAAGGCTTTGGGGCATTGCTCTTTCGGACAGAGAGACTGCAACTTGTGGGTAACGGGTCTCTTCGCGTGCTGTCTTTGAGGTGGGTTCCCTAGACCCTAAACCCTAAGCCGTGCCCCGACCGTCGCCGAAGAAACTGCAGCACCCAAAGACTGGCTCAAACCGAAACCCGAAACTCCTCCGTGAGAACTTCAGTGGCCCGCTGAAGCCAGATCCCTCACCCTACACCGAAAAGACTAGGCCCTGGCCTCAAAGGCCCAGAAAAGACACTATGAAGAAAGGACACACCTGAAAAGGATGCCTTGCAAGACTCCCTGCAGGATCCCGTCAAGCATCCCTAAACCCTTCAACCCTTACCCTTATACCCTTAAACCCTTTAACCCTTAAACCCTTAAGCCCTTAAACCCCTAAACCCTAAACCTTTGCAAGGGGCAGGCCTCCAGATCCCACGAAGGTGTCGAAGCCGTCCGGCAGGTTGCTCCTAAGCGTGGGGAGTTCTTTATTTCAACGGCGGACCGATGAAAATGGCGACTAGGGGGTCCTTCTCTAGGATAGATTACATAGAGGCCCGGGGGACTCAGTAAGTAGGCTATAAGTAGGGTGATGAGTACCCTAAATGGAGTTACCCCAATTTTTCCCCTACTTATAACCTACTTACTAAGTCCCCTGGGCCTCCAAGTAGAGCATGGGCTTGCAAGTCCGGGGGTCAAGGATTGCTTCGTTCAAGGTTTGAAGGAGAAATCATGCCCGAGGGTGGGCAGATTGACGCCCACGGACCTGGAGCACCAGAACAGTGATTAGTATATAATTCGCCACAACCTTCAGCCCTCAACATACCACAAATCCCAAACACCAAACGAAATAGTCCTACAGCAACTCCAAAAGAGCTGTAGCTGCATGCTGCTCTAAGACCGAACCTCCTTCTATAGCCTTCAGACCAGTCTTTTGCTGGGGCGCAAGGTGTCGTAGATCTGCGCAGCTTTCGCCGCCTGCAAGCATCTTCAGATACTCCTTACCCGTAGGCCCCATCGTAGTGTTTTTCTGGGATAACCTTATAGGATTCTAAGTAAACCCTAAACCGAGGTTAGGTGTAAGGTTTCAGGTCCAGGGTTTAAAGTTGTTTTTTGTTGAACCCTCGTGTCTTTTAGCCAGAAGCGTCCGGGTTTAAAGTTTAAGGTTTAGGGTTTAAGTTTAAGGTTTAGGGATCAGTAAAAAAAGGGGCCCCAAAAAGGAACTACCATGGGGCCTATGGGTAACTCCTGAACTTGCACACAGCCCTGAAGCATAAAGCCCGATACTAGATGGCGCCTTAGACCGTCTATCTCAAACACTTATAAGCCCTGGCACCAAAATTTTATAACTCTCAACGCTAACAATAAAAAGCAAAGAGCCAAGTTTCACAAAGAAGACAGCCATAATATCCGATTGAAAACCCTATAACAACACCATGATCTCTACAACACGAATCATGACCCTTTAGAGCCCTTGCGAGCCCGGTGAAACTGCATAAATCCACACCCGACCCTGTGACAAGCCTTTCATCTGAAACTCCGCCTACGACCAAAACCCTAAACCCTATTTAAACCCTAAAACCCTAAAGAGAGCTGCTTTGCGTGACCTCGTGGACTTGCTCGTCGGTGATGGAGGTATCGCCCGCCTTCAAATTCTTCATAACCTCAGGCTTGAAAAATTAAGGGCCGTTTAGGGTTGAAGGGTACAAACCCGTAACCATTTGGAGTTGTTGCTGTGTCATGACATCATGATGGGGCAGGGTGCTGTAGAGCTTTGTGTTCTTTTCTTAGCTTCCTAGTCTCATTTGCGTGTGAAAAGGTTCGAGTCTACACAATATAGGACCCTAGTCAAAAGCACCTTTAGAAAACACGAAATCCTAGTGCTACCGGAAGTCCAAATAAGCCAAGCCTCAAACATCCTAGCTTGTACAAGTTTACAGTGCGACTTAGCCTACCCTAACAGGGCTTTTTGCGTTTAGGGCTTTGGTTTACGATATTCTGGGCTCTTGGGGTTTGTTGTGTTTCAGTTTTGGGTGTAGGGTCCTTCACGCCAACTTGCTCTAAGACCCATTCAACCCCGAACACAGGACTGAGGACCCCGACAGTGGTGGCGAAAAGCACCGGCTCCTGACCGACGTATCCGATGAGCTTTCGCCACGCCTGCCGGGATGGCACTAAACTTATCCAACAGGCCCGAAATACCTAAATGGTAGAAGGTAGGTGTCTGTCATAAATTTGAGAATCTGTAAGCCAACCCCACATAAGTACCTGGGACCCTTCGGGTTGGGTTTCGGGAATTTCGGGAACAGCTCTGTGCAGGCCGTCAAAAAATCTTGCCAAAAGGCGACCTCGTAGAAACAGCGCATGATCCCCCGAAAAGCCCTCAAAGCCTGGGTTCTTGCTAAGCAATTCCATGTAAGTTACCATAATAATAAGGAAACCCTACTATTTACTTTTGATCCCTATCATGGTAACTAACACACATTATCCCTCAACGTGGACTTAAACTTGATTCCTAAACAAGAACCCAGAAGCATCCGAACCACCGGGCAAACCCTAAACCCCTAAACCCTAAACCGTGGCCTTGACTGGAATCTGGCTCAGGTTGATGCCATTCACCAACACCTCGCCTTATGCTGGAAGGTCTTTCAGGCGAATGGCATTCAAAGAGGGTTTCGCGCTCACACTCGGACAATCCAGGCGAGGCATATGAGTTCGCGTCTGCAAAGTGAAACGACACAAAGAAGGTTTAGGGTTCAGGGGTTTTGGGTTCAGGGGTTTAGGGTTTAGGGCATTAAAAGAGGGTTTGTTGATTTGGGGGGGTCCTTTTTGGTTTCACACTCGGAGGAATTGAATTTCAACGTAGGAGTAGTTGAAGGTTTCCTACGTAACACCTTACAGTTAGGATTTCCGGTGCCTGCTAGGGCTGCCTTCATTATGTGAATCCTACTACTAGTACTATTTTATGCTGCCGCGTGTCTGAATTTGCACATCGAAACCTAGGCCTACAGCCCCAAATCCTGGTACTTGCGCAGTGCACTTTGTGAAGAAGGTCATCTGGACACAAACCTGTATAGGCACGGCAACGCAGGCATGACAACTACAAAAGAATGCCATGACAACCAGATTTGCTCTTTCCCTGCAGGATTGGGGTGCAGGATTGACATCGAGTTCAAAACGATAAGTGTAAGGGAGCAAGCAGCTAGACTGAAAGACTTCGAACCAGAAGACGCTGATCCTCCACCGCGTAGGACATCTTAGGAAAGTCCAGTTCCCCAAAGGGTCCTATCCTATGTACCGATATAGTAGAATGTAGGGTTTCCATATTAGGAATTACCATTATGACTTAGGGAAGTATCCCCAATAACAGCACATAGGACCCTTTGGGTTCGGGTTCAGGGCAGCTCAGAATCCCCTAAACCTCAAAGATGTGGCAGCACCACCGATAGCCTTGAAACCTTGATTGAAAGCTCCAAAATCACAGGGTGCCAAGGAAGCCCCCTCACATTCGCACCCCCAGATTACAATCCCGAGTTCAGTCCAACTTGGGTACCATGGATGAAGACGGAGGGCAGAGAGAGAGAGAGAGAGAGAGGAGAAAAATGAAAATGAAAACGGCAACCTTAAAGCGCAAGCCCCAAAACCCTCAGACCCTAAACACTAGCTAGCCCGGTCCACCTCCGCACGGGTCGTAGAAGCGCTCCAAGAGCTGGATTGTGGTGCTCTTACCTGCAATCTCCCTCACTGCAAGGTAGAGAGGAATTTATGAAGGGTTTACAGGTTTAGGGTTTGCGGTGGAGAAACCTACAGATTCCTTGCGGTACAGAACATATGAGCTCAGATTGGTGCATGTCTATGAACCTTCTTCATGTCGATGCCATTCGGCAGGTCGTGGTCAAATTCACACGCTTCATTGCAGAAGCATAGATGTACGGTGCAACGCCCATTCTCTCACGAACTCAAACGCATCTTCTTGGCAAAACTTACTGTAAGCAGAAGCAAACTGCTGCAACAGCAGACTCGTTTTGCACCCGGGCCAAGACTGGCCATCGACAATCCAAACACCTAACCCTCCAATACCGCACGGAACCGTCTCGAAATGGGGTTCTGCTTCATAAAGCAAGTGTTAAAGTTCACATGACAAGTGAAGCATATGATTTACAATACTTCCCTACGGGGTAACGGAAACAACAATTCTTGAACATCCCACAAAAGCCTCACGATGACAAACCCATAAAGAAAGCCCATACTACCGTAGTGAGCCTGATTAACTCCTGGCAGTTCCCGCCAAACTTCAAATAAAACGCGAAACACTCAATAAAGCCTGTCTGTCTGATGGCAACCTCAGCTATAAGGCCTACAAGCCTGTAAGTCCTACAAAGCTATTAGTCCTACAAGTTTGTATCTTTCTTGCTTACCGGACGCCAACGCCAATCGCAAAGAGCCCCAGGAAGGCGCGGCTATATGACCTAATGCAATACCAATGTATACTATAATATATACGACTATGATACCAATTCCCAGGCCTAATACCCCTAATCTCCAAACCCTAATTAATGCTAATATGGTATGATACTACAGTGCTAAACATCATAAGAACAAGAAACAACTAACAAGGTATGACGGTGTAATCCTAAAAGTTACAAGTACAAGAAAAAGAACAAATAAGGTATGGCACGTTGATACTAGATGTCATAAGTACAAGAAAAAGAACTATAATAATCAAGGTGTCACACTTTAAAACTAAATACCATAAGAACAAAAAGGAACTAGTAAGGTATGGTATTTTGATACTAAATATCATAAGGACAAGAAAAGAACAGCCTAAATTGAAGCCCGGGCTCCGCAGCCACTTTCCCCGGCGAAAGCGATCTTTTGGCCGTTCCTTAAGGCAAAGGGCGTCAGGGGTATGTAGGGGCCTTAATGAGTAGAATAGGGCTTTGATTATACCATAATGATAATAAGGAACCCCCCCCCAAATGCCGTTCCTGAAGGTAAAGGGCGTGAGGGGTGTAGGCCTTACAGGGTTTAGGGTTAGGCTTTAGGGTTTCCATTCCTTGAACGCTGCGGGGAGGCGAAAAGGCTTAAGGAGCTTCTGGGGTTCTCGAGAAGAAGTTTTGGCAGGGGTTTAGGAGGCGTTTGGGTTGTTATGCAGCGTTTGTAGGGTGTGAGTGTCGTTTGGGTTGCTTTTTGGGTGTCGTCTTTAGGGCTTCAGGCCGAAAGCGTGACAGAAGCCAAAAAACAGGCTGAGTCTCGGGTTTTACCGCTGGGAAAGTGCAGAAGAGGCAGCCCTCTTGTCGGAAAACCCACAACCCTTAAAATCTAGGTTCTTGTCCCTGAACCCCAAATCCTAAACTCTCAAGCCCAAGCCAAAGATCCGTTAACCGAAGGCAGGATGGAAGAAAGGCGTTGGGATGAGAGTTAATGGTCGAGTCTCAAATCCCGGAACTCGGCTTCAGGCCTAGCAGTTCTCCCTCTCTCTAGGGTTTACATAGGGTTTAGGGTCTCTCTCTCTCTCTCTCTCTCTCTCTCTCTCTCCATCTCTCGTTTTTTGTTTTGTGCGTGTGTTTTTGCGGGTACCCGTTGCAGGAAGGTTTCAACAAAAATGCCTGCAAGCTTTCCAGTCCCAGAGACTCCAACATACCTTAATTCAGGAATATACCTTAAATAATCGTAGGACCCCCAATATGATCTAAGATATGATTCTAAGCAGGCTGGACTCATCAGTGTTCTATCGGTTTTGGTAGGGGAATCTCAGAAGACTCATTTCGCAGTGCGCCATGCCAAGATCCGGTTGCTCAAGCACAGCCTCATCCTTATGTTTTTTTGCCACCGCACGATACATCTCTGCAGCGTGCTTCCGCAGTGCCACCAGAAGACCAGGGCAGGCACAAAACAAATCACTCCAAAAGAGCAGGCAGGAGCGGCAGCCCGACAGGTGTGTTTTCCAAGTAACGCGCTTGCTTAAGGATGGGCCGCTGTTTTGGCTTCATTTTTCTTGCGTTTGCTTGTTTGTTTGCAATGTGGCCCTCCCGCCAAAAACCAAGCAACGCGTTCCCAGGAAGACTGTGTAACGCACCCAACAAAATACACAACGCCATGCGTTGCACAATGTATGTTGCTTATCGGTTCTCCATTTGTTCCTCGAACTGCCCATTTTTTGATCGGCGCGTGTGCTGAGAACCCAAACTGACTCCGACCAGAAATCGGCCAGGCTTTTCCAAAAGGATAAGAAACGCGTTCCTCCCGCAGAGCTGCCTGGGGCAGCAGGTGCCCTGGAGGATCTTTTACCCAGAGGCCCCAAAGTAGTTCCTTTTAGGGAGTACTTTAAGGATTCTATACATGAACCCCAAAAAGGAACTACTTTGGGGCCTTTGGGTAGCCTGCACTCTCGTGCCTTTCGTACCAGCCGACAAGGTGAATCTTCTGGCTCAGTTGACAACCGACCTGGTGACAAGTGGCCCGAGCCAGATACAGCACTACAGCCGCCTCCAGCCCACGCGTGCATAACATGATGCCAAAACTGATGTGAAAACTTTGGAAACACGTTCCCGGTTAGCATTGCGAAGACCCTCAAAAGAGTGATCAGAGGAGGTTTAGAATAATTCCCTAGACCCAAGAGTAACCTAGGAAGAAAAAGGGTGCCCTGTTTGGTTTACATTTAAACTGGGTTATAAGGGAACCTGAACCCTAAACAAAAGGGAGTAAGGCCTACTCTAGGTCCTAGTTCCCTATATTGGAGTCTCTGGCTTCTGGCTGAACCGACACCCCCAAACTTAAAGCCTGAACCCTGAACCTTAAACTTAAACCCCCAAACCCTATATAAACCCCTAAACCCTAAATCCCAAGTTTGAACCCCTGGACACTCTTTGGCATGCCGGGACTCAACACCCGGAAGTTGAAATTGCTCAGGACCCACTTGTCCTGCCTTGTCGGATACCTGGAGGTTCGGGGATAGGTTTTCGACACTCGCACTCGCTCAAGGCAGGCAAGGCTCCACATAGTAATCAAATCTGCTCAGACTGTCCCCCTGGCCTAGAGCACTGCTTAGCTTGAGTTGAGATCCTGTGGACTAGGTTCAGGGCTTTGCAAGGGCTTGAAGAAAGGGTTTGCGAAGGCTGTCTGCAGCATCATAAACCTTAAACCCCCTAAACCCTGAACCCTAACTGAACCCCAGGCTACCCAAGCCAAGACTGAACTGCGAGCCGTCCAATTGAGCCCAAGAGCGGGTATGAGCCTGTGACGCAATAGACCTCGGAAGGAAGCCTTCAAGCCAAAAACTGAAACCCGCGCGCAAACCTTCCCCCCTCCCCCCAACACCAAACCCTATAAGCCCGTAAACCCTAGCCCTAAACCCCATAAGCCCTAAATCCTGAACCCTATACCGTAAACCCTAAATCTTGAACCCTAGCCCCTTTAAACATCCTAAACCCTATGAGCACCTGAAGCTCACGTTGCGAAACTCCACGGTATCAACCTGGGCTTTGCATTCAGCAGCCTAGGGTTTGGGGTGTAAAGCGTTAGGGTTCAGGGTTTAGGGTTTATAGGCTTTATAATTAGGGTTTAGATTAGGGTTAAGGGTTCAGGGTTTCGACTCGCACGCTCGCTCGAGACAGGTCCGGCTTCATGAGGTCAGGGTTTTGGGTTTAGGGTTGAGTGTGCTTGGCTTCAAGCCGAATCTCCTGGAATGTCTTTGGGCTCAAGTGCCGTAAGCATCAAATACGGCGCCTCTTGGCTGAGAACATCTTCTTCAACGGCAAGCTGTCGACCCGAAATCCCGATACGAATTCGCGTGCCCTTCGGGGATGTCATGAAACCCGGGGCTTTATGCTTACAATGGGCTTTTGGGTGTACTATGTTCTATATAGTTAAAAGGAAAAGCCCTGCCATCCAGCCCAAACTACAGAGTACCCAATGTTCCTCTACCTGGTTACCCCGCATCCATGAAAGTATCCAACATCTAGAGCTGGAGTACCAAGCAAAAGACACCCTTGGAAGGGTATGCCCGAAACCCCAAAGCTCTGCACTCTAAAGCTCTTGAGAAACCAAGAGGCTCTGCTCAAGGCTTCGGGAAGCGCCTCTTGTGTGTAGAGGGGCTGTTCGATCGTGCGCGCATCTGCCGTCATCACCTGCTCGGGATTGCCGATAGTGCTGTTGTACCGTCATTGTGCCTCTTCTTCGCCTTCCCACTACCTCTGCTCATACTGGCATTACTCAATATATTTTAAAAGCTCTTCGCTTGCAGAGAGACCGATCTACAGTCGCCGTGCTAACTAATTGGTACGTTTATCCAATGTTTAGGGTTAGGATCTTGCATAATAAGCTAATTTTCCAAACAAAGGAAGCACAATGGAGACTTAAAGAAAGTTACTCTAACCGTCCGCAAAAGATCCAAGCCTCCTTCATCGCTTTAGCAGAGACGTAGGCTTTCGCCATCCTGCATCGCGCAACTACACTTGAAGATCCCGCCTCTCACGCGGAGGTGTTGGGTTTTGAAGGCCCCACAGGGGCCCCTAAATTCCGCCAAACCCTAAACCCTGAACAACTCCTGAACCCTTAGAGGGTTCCGGAACACGGACCCTTGCAGATGTTAAGGTGTAGGGCCTTTCTGACATGATGTACTACAGCTATGTATGCATCATAACCTCAGTCTTAACGACTAAAGCTCTAAAGCCCTGACGGATCCCAAACTTTAAGTGGCTTCAAGTCTTTTCAAGACGCTTCTAGAACTCCGTGGCCCGAGAACCTAAACTCCTTTTGCAGCTGGGCTCTCTGTGTCAGCTAGAATTGCTTTTGACCAAACCCTAAACCCTATGGGTTGAGGAAGTCGCTCTCAAGTAGAAGCTTTCGTAAGGAGGCCTCCTAGGTTCCCGATCTAGGGCCTGTTATATTGCTACGGTAAATATTAGTGTTAGCTTTTTTGTTGTTGTGTTGCAAAGTGTTGTTTGTATTAGTGTTGGCATTAGTATTCGTCCCATAAGGACTACTATTGCCCTACTCACGCACTACTCTCTCACTTCCTTCTTACCTCCGCGCGGCTTCCGCAGGCATTGCGCGCGTCATTTCTGAGTCTGCGTTTCAAATCAAAGCCACAACTTGGGGGCCCAACGTGCCTATATATATATAGGGACTACTTTGAGGCCCAAGCATGTACTAGTTGGGTACATGGACCCTTAGGGTTTGTTCGAAACACCAAACTCAACCTGTAGCAAAGCCTCAGCCAGCCCCGACCTGGTAAGAAACTCCTCAGATCTTATTCTATTATAATTCTAAACTTATAATAAATGTAGAAGTGCCATCGTTTGCTTCACCGAAACAGTCCCGACTCCGAAATCCCAAAGCTGGAAACCCATGACTAAACTGCAATTCTCTGACATTCACCTTCGGGGCAATATGGAGGCCTGTGATTCAGGTTAGTGTACGTCAGGTTCTAGAAGGTTGGTGTCAGATAAGGTTGACGGGTTTCCGGGCACGTTTCGGGGTTCAGGAGCTTAGGCGTAAAGTTCACGACGCAAGCAATAACATGCTGAGCTCAACTAAACCCCCAAGCCCAACCCCCTAAAGACTAAGGCTTTGCCAAAACTCGGCAGTTGGCAGTTGAACCCTAAAGCCTAAACCCTTTGACCCTATACCCCTACACCCTATAACCCTAAAGCCTATGAACCTTTATGCAACTGGCCTGCTACGTCACGCCAGGACAGCTGACTCGAAACCTAAATTCCTAAGCCCACAGAGCCCTAAACCCTAAACCCCTAAACCGCAAACCGTAAACCCCTAAACCCATAAAGCCCTTTTTTGAAACCGGACTTGATGACTGCCAGACTACCCATAAAGCCCTAAACCCTAAACCCCAAACCGTAAACCCTAAACCCATGAAGCCCTAAACCACCCCTAAACCCTAAACTGTAGCCTAAACCCCTAAGACAGCCCAGCAGCATGGGGGCGAAACCGCTGAAGGCGCTGAGTCCCGATACACCGACCTCGGGGTCGATCCAGGAGGATCTTCGTGGTGTTAGGGGTTTATCTCGGGATTAGGGGTTTAGGGGTTCTGCGGGTTTGGGGGTTTAGGGTTTAGGGGTTTGGGGGTTTCGGGGTTTGGGATTTAGGGGTTTGGGGGTTTAGGACTTTGGGGGTTTAGGGTTTAGGTTCATATCCTTCGGTACTGATGCGAAGGAGTATGATTTGATGTTGACTGTTCTTGGTGGGATATGGTAAGAGGCGTGGCACCGCCGCCTGAGGTCGAGGACGCCTCCAGCGGGTCTTTTTTGTGCCTTGTGCTTCTCTTCCGGTGCCAGCCAGTGGGATGCAAACGCGGATCTGTTGCGGGCTTGCTGTTGCAACTCGGCCAAAATCTGAACCCTGAACCCTGACCCTATAGCGGATCCAGCTTTGAATTTCGAACTCTCGGTGCTTCGGCATTATGGGTGATATATGAGTAATATGGAAAATGTGCTCCAGCAGGCGCGAGACTCGATGGGTCAACTATGAGCTTGAGGCCTCAACAGTTAGAATGGGTGTTTAGGCTTCAGGGTTTCGAGTTGGGTTTAGGGTTTAATAGGGTAGGGTTACAACGAGAACGTGGTGTCGGCATCTACGATACCATAACTTTCAAGATCAAAGCTGCCTAGCGGCCTAGAGAGCACAAGTCACAAGGCGATACTGCCAACTGTACAGGTACTACTACTACTACTACTACTACTACTACTACTACTACTACTACTACTACTACTACTACTACTACTACTAGTGCTACTACTACTACTACTACTACTACTACTCCTGCTGCTGCTGCGGCTGCTGCTGCTGCTGCTGCTACTACTACTACTACTACTACTACTACTACTACTACTACTACTACTACTACTACTACGACTACTACTCCTAATCCTACTCCGAACTATTGCGAGAAATGTCAGAACTTGAGACTTATGCGGCTCGATACAAAAGATAAGACACCACCTACGCAGTCCCGGCAACGTGTCAAACAAAACGGCGTGCCTTTCAATACAAGCACAGTCCCATCCAACTTATTTCTTCATTTTTATGGTGAGTTACTGAACCAAACGAGGGCCTACAACGCGAGACAGGCTGTGACCACCAACATGACCACATGCTACGCAAACATTTGCTGAGACTTCGGCCATCATGGCGATCATGACGGTGACGATATGACTGGGTTCCTGGGCGCGGGCAGGGCGATTGGTTGAAAGACCTCCTCTCAGATTTGTGTTTCCCTCTTTGTGGCTTTTACTCAGCGGTTGACGAGTTACGGCACTGCCCTTCAAAAGGGTAGACTCAGTCTTAAGCAGCTGAGCTCTGAGGAGACCAAGAGAAATTTAGGGCTGCGTGTAGTATACTTAGTATAGCACAGTACGGTATAGTATATTATACAATAGGAAGATCTGTGTTGCATAGAAGTTTAAGGTCTATGGCTCGAAGAAGGTAAAGAAGTTGGAAGAATTGGAAACTGAGCGCCGTGCTCATGCTATCAAAAATTGTGACTCATTCTGTGATTCGAAAATAACCGTTTGCTCGAATGCTTGGAATCTAAATCAGAAAGCCACGACATCACTGAGTAACTATGCGAGTGAAAAAGGATTCACATTAGTATTCTAATGATGATGTTGTACTTATACTATAACAACAATAACAAGAACAGTAATGATGTCAAGAAGAATACTACAGTAATACAGTAAGTTCAGGATTCCCACTCGAAGGTGCATTTGAATGCTCCTAGATGCCGACAGCTGACAGGCCTGCAAACCGGGTAGGCCCGGCGCAATTAGAATCCCTGCACTCTGAATGCAAAACTTGGAAACCCTCAATCCCAAACCCTGTGTGGTCCCTACCTGGCAAAGGAGCTCCCAAGTGAAATAGGAACCACGGGCAATGCCTCATAGGCTTCCTGTGTGCTACATCGTGCCATTAGACCAGACTGCAGCTACAGAGACTGATAGATTCAACACTAGTGACACTGGTGAGTGCCGACCGAAGGTGCAAAACCCGCGTTGTCGTCCGAGAGGAGGACGTGGCCGCCAAACCTTTCGCTCGCAGTCGAGCGTCCAGCGAGTCTTCTTGAGCTTTCTAGCACTTTGCCGTACGAGCTACAGAGCTAGAAACGCGAGGTTGCCATCGGGTTAGGACTGCTTCCATGTCGCTGTTGTTCGGTTCTGGGATTTGCAGATGCCGTGGGATCGCACAAGGTTGTGCAAGGCTTCTCGGCTTTGAGTGAATGTGGAAGTGTGATTTGGGGCCTGGGGCCTGAGCTCACGAAAGCCTACGCCCGACTCTCCATCAAACCCTAAAGAACCTCGCAGGGTAAAAGCTTGGGGTCAAGGGCACCGGGTTTCGGGTAAAAGTTCTTGGTCTCTAGTGACATGCATTCCAGATTACCAATTTCTTGCTTTGGCCGCGGGAATCTAGCAGGTCGGAGTGAAAACTAGAAACCTCAACCTTGAAAAACGCATGGCCTCAGCTATGACGAGCAATTCGTCAAGCATTTTGTCAACCATCGTAAGATTCGACAGCTGCCAACCATCGCACCACCGCGGCTTAGTACACTATGATGCTGACCACAACAAGGACACTACTGGCGAGAGCAACGCGAAGATATGAAGGCTGGCAACAACCAAGCAGCTACGCCCACACACAAAATGATAGCTTTACACAAATACCCTTAACTTCCAGTCCCCTAAGATTAAACCAGCTGTCATACTTACTTAGAATGGACTTCAGACTACTAAGTTAAAGGGTTCTTTTTAGAATCGTTGAACCTCGACAGCCAAGATTCCAGAGAGCCAAGCCGTAGAGGCAGGAGTAGAAGAAGTTGAGGCCACCCCAGGCGCCGCCAATCCTAGGAAATGGGCTTAGGGTTTAGGGTTTCAGCACACAGGGTTTAGGGCTTAGGGTTGAGGGATCCTAGGAAAACTAAAGGTTAGCCTTCGGGGTATATAGGGATTATGGTACCCGCAAACGGATAAAGGTCACCTACAATACTGCAAGGAAGAGGTAAACCGCTGGGCTTGTTGAGGGATCATAGTGCCGCAACATTACTCAACTACTAAGTCGAAGAGGAGCAAGGGAGGTCAAGAAGATTGGAGAAATGGGGGGTGATAGTCTTTAAAGAGGTCGGCTTAGTAAGGATCCGACTATTTTCTACAGTTATGGCTGTTGGGATGCGGGTTTACAAACTTCTCCACACGACATGACGGCCTCTGCAGTCAATAACACCGGACATCAAAACCCGAATTGGCTTTCCAGACCACAAACCTATCCAACGCAACAGCCCCAAAAAAGGTCTACAGGCTCTCTTATGCTATGACAAACCCATCCTATAGTCTCCATTGTAGTTCCAATCTTGGTTTAGCCAATTATGCATTTAGGATCCTAAAAGGTAACCCCAACATGGAACTACAATGGAGACTATAGGAACACCCCAAAAACCCCGAAACTTCAACACCCAGGCGCTTTACTCCGGAGCGAATTCCACCGATCTTCGCCGACAGAAGCTCCTGTTACCACGGGTCGAGCAGGGGGATCGCCTGCTGGTGACTTTGGAGCCTAAGTGGTACAGTAGTGCCTTGACAACAGTATTGTCTAACTAGTTAACTAGTTATCCATGTGGGCTACGAGCGCATAATTCCATGCAGGGGTCGTTTTTCATTCGATTCAAGCGCAGCGTGTCTTGCATCACCCACAACTCTCCTGAGAGTCTCACAGCTGAGAGACGCTGGGATCGCAGGCAAGTTTCAGAAATCAGGCTTTACGAGTTTCGAAGGAAAACGAAGCCGAGGTTCCACCGTCGTCGAAAAATCCCATAGCTTAACTAAAACCCCAATCCCAAAACATGAAGTCTGCCCGGAGAAATAAACGAAAGTCAACCTCTCGGACTCGGGTTAGATCAAACTTTCAACAGGTTAAGTATTGAATTAAATATCCCGAAACCCGTTCACAGGCACTTCGGGCTTGCCGGCGGTGCACTGAAGCACAGCATGCAGAGGGGTTGAAAACATGGTTTCTGGTGGTGGCTGCGTGTTTCTGGCCCCTCAGGCTTGCAGATAGCGAGCTTGCGACACCGATGATGATTTCAAGACTCCTGGCAACAAAGTCGACATAGCAACATGACCATAGCCAGATGTCACCATCACCAGCTTCCATGGCTATGGACGTCGGCAGAAACTGTGGAAGCATGGCAAGACGCAGCAACATCGACATCACCATGACGAGCAGTAGCGGAATCAACATCCAGGGTGTCATGTCATGCTTCCTCCCTTTTTTTGCAAGAACCGCCATCACGACCATCGACATCATCATCATCATCATCATCATCATCATCACCGAAGCATCACCGTCGCAATCGCCATCATGAACAGCATGGCCACATATATCCCCATCCTAACCTTTTGAGCACCATCCTCAGAAGCTTTGCCATTATCAACACCCGATGCATCCCACCGACTGCAAGAACGGCGAAGCTTCCGGCTCCTTCTCAAAACGTGCCGACTCTGCACCCTCGGCGCCGAAAGCCGCGACCGTGCGGATCGCCATCCTGAAAGCAGAATGCAAAGTCTACTAAATGTGGACAGGAATAGGCTTTCAGGCTCCGGTCGGCTCGGCGTGGCAGGATTCGGGACGAGCAGGATTCGGGACGTTGGGCCTTTCAGGTACTCTGGGCGTGGTGAACTGTATTTGATGCTGAGAAAGCGCCGGCTGAGGTTCCATATAATCGTATGAAGTCGGCCCTTTGGAAGCGTTGAAATGATGAAAGCAACGTCGTGAAGGTCTGCAAGCCTCACCAAGGTCGCCACTGCACAAGTCCGCAGAATGCTCAAACCGAAGCAAAACACATGCTAACATTAACGGTTGTCCATGACAAGGAAGCTCTGGTGTCTGGTTGATCTCTCGCTGTCTCGTTGAAGCCTTAGCACGAAACCGGAAAAAAAACGATCCCCACATCTGTGCAGTCGGCACATTTAAGCAGATGCCGCCGGGCTGCAATGACTCCTCTGCAACAGCAGACCTGACATCGACGGACGTATAGAATTGGTGGTGGTGGTGGTGGTGGTGGTGGTGGTGGTGGTGGTGGTGGTGGTGGTGGTGGTGGTGGTGGTGGTGGTGGTGGCGGCGGCGGCGGTGGTGGTGGTGGTGGCGGCAGGGCGGCAGTCCTCGTCATAGTAGCAGTAGTAGTAGTAGTAGTAGTAGTAGTAGTAGTAGTAGTAGTAGTAGTAGTAGTAGTAGTAGTAGTAGTAGTAGTGGTGGTAGTAGTAGTAGTAGTTGTTGTTGTTGTAGTAGTAGAAGTAGTAGAAGTAGTAGAAGTAGTAGTAGTAGTAGTAGTTGTTGTTGTTGTAGTTGTAGTTGTAGTAGTTGTAGTAGTAGTAGTAGTAGTAGTAGTAGTAGTAGTAGTAGTAGTAGTGGAAGTGGCAGTAACATCAACAGTGGGAGTAGCAGAAGTCGCAGTGGCAATAGTAGCCGCAGCAGAAGCATTAGAATTAGCGTTAGAGGCCAAGTAGCAGTGTAGCTCGCAGTGGCGGCGGTAGTAGTGAGAGCGGCATTGGTAGCAGTAGCCTAGTCTTCTGTGGCTTTGCCAAGTGCAAGAGGCAGCAGCAGCAGCAGCAGCAGCAGTAGCAATAACAAACACATCTGTAGTAGCAGCAACTGCGATTGCTGCCTTTGCCCTGCAGGGCATTATCGTGCTCACGGCGGCTATTGTCATCCTCGCCGTCGCATGTCATTCAATGAGCACATAAAGCAACAGCCGCTGCAGCGACGACGACAACAACGGTAACAGCAAATGCAGCAACGGGCAATTGGCAGATGCAGGCACACAAAAAAGTACAGGGACAACAGCTGCACCATCTGCCCCGCAAACTTGAAAAGGCAAACGCACATGCTGGGACAGACAAGGTGGCAGCATACACTGTTACACAGTATGTAATGCCGGCCTATTTTTGGATTCTTGACCGCCGAAAACCTAGAATTCTACAGCCCCTTGCACGTATCAGCCCAGACGGATCGATAGCTGGAGGTTTGCATGGTTTCCCACAGAGCTCATTAGCTCTTGACAACATCCCATAGTTGAGGAACAAATATTAGACTATAGCTATAATAATGCGGAGCCCCCCCAAGATAGTATGGGGCCCCTACAGTAGTGGGGATCTCTAGCCCGCAGAGTATCCGAATACATAAGTGACGGAAGCCCTCTGCGAATTTCAGAGTATCGGCTCCTCCGTCCTGGCTTGGTGCTAGTTTCGAGCTTGGTGTTGGGGATAGTTTCATTTCAGGATAGAACAAAGATCTGGCAAAAAGGGGCGTGCTCGCTTTGTTGCAAAGTGTTTGGGGATGCCGAAATGTGTGCTGTCATCGGGGAGAGTGGTGATTCAAAATTGATGTAGACCCCAGATCAGTAAATCCCCTTCCTTCCGGGGCTTTGGTCTCAGAATCCCTGTTAGACTCCTGACTAGGGGCCGGATGGTGACTAAGCAGCACTCAAATCTCTTGCGAGGAGGACACGGACACTCTTTCCTTTAATGAAGTCGAGCGGCGCTCGAGCGAAATCAGCCTGCTGTTCGTAAAACTGTTCCTCGATCGCCTGCAAAGCGTTTGCAGATACCCGGCTGTTCTGCACGAGGTCTTTTCAAAGAGTGTCGGGACCTCCGAATTTGCAACCTTGCCAGCTTGCACATTCCCGACTGCTGTGCGCTACCTAGGTCCCCCCAAAGGCTCCTAGGTACTGTCATGGTGGATACTCTCCCAAATCATAACGATTCCCAAGGCAACGGTATTTAGAACGCTGGGTCCGGTCAGAAATCAAGACCCCGGATCAACCGCGCCTTGCCCATGCGGTGGCCCATACACACCAGGAGCGGAATTGTGGCGCACCTTCCGCCGTCGGATTGCTTGCTTTGCGTGAGGGGTGGGACATGTGCCGTTAAGAAATCGCATCCGAGTGATAGCTGCAGCGATAGTTTGGGAATGTATACACCTGAAGAGTTTTCATCTGCTACAGCCAAGAGGCCACTCCGGCATTATCACGATCACCACCACCACAACTTACACTAGCCAAGAATGGTGAATTACGTTCAGCGCGCCTGCTGTGCATCTGCACTGATGCACAGCCTAGTAGCAGCCGCCAGGACTTCACCGTAGGATGGAAGAAGCTTCAGAGGGGGTGGAGACGGTTTAGGGGTTAAGTCTTAGGTTTTCGGGGCCTGGAGGATGCAAGAAGATGCTATACTGATTTCATCTTGGTGCCGACGGTCTGATACACACCCTAAACCCTAAACCCTACCAGTTGAGAGTGCAGATGTTGTAGAAAACCGAATCCCCAGTGCGAGGCTTTGGGCTCCGAGAGCATTGGGTTCAAACCAGTCCTCCTGGGCCCAGGGTTTATAGGGCTTAGGGGTTTAGGGGTTTAAGGGTTTGGGGTTTAGGGAGTGGGGTCTCGGGGTGTGTGTTTTCGTACAATGGCTCGCTTTGATGATGGTATAGGGAGCCCTCAGGGATAGACTGGGCCACATCCCAGGCCCAAGCAGCAAGAGCGAGCAATAAAGTCAATAAAGCAGATCTACCTATATATATATATATATAGTCTGCATTGTAGTCCTTTTTGGGGGTTACCTTTTAGGATCCTTAATTTAAAACTAAATTGGTTAAACCCAAAAAGCAACTACAATGGAGACTATAGGTAGACTTCATGCGAGGCACACAACGAGAGCCAGCTGCCATCCCGTGACGAAGGCCTGGCATTCTTTGCGTAGGGATTTGGGCTTTGGATCTAACCCCAAGGGTCCAAAGGACCCAATAATTATGTACTTGATTTTAGGATAGTAGTAATGTTGGTTAGGATTCTGGGGGTATATGATTATATTGAGTACTAGGACCCTTGGGGTAAGGGCTCACAGCTCCACAGACACACGGGTCGTCTTCACTAGGACATTGCCGCCGGAGTCTTGCATTCGATGCAGGGTCGCAGCTGTGACGACGTGTCAGTCACTGAACTACGAGCTGCCCCGAAGAAATTCGAGAAATGCTCTTTAAGGCCCCGGCCAACGACAAGCCGGCGATGAACTGGCCTCGGGAAGGGAAGCCGCTATCGGTCTGCCGAGATAGGAACTGAAATGAATGGAACAAGATCTATGAGGCACCCTACAGTCCAGCAAGAGGAGGATTCACCTTTGCACTGAGGACCCGTGTTTAGGGCCGTGTCGGGTGTAGTGGGAGCTGAGGGAATTCGTGGGTCGTTTGCACACCAGGCCACCAGGTTTGGGACGTTTGTCTCGTTTCTTTCCTTGTCACATACTTTGGTTAAAGAGTTTAACCGAATCAAATACCTACGGGATTTCCAAATCAGTAGGAGCCACATGTCGGGGATGGCGCTCGGCCAACATGGATTCCACCAGAGTGTGGGACGACATGGTTTTGCCGCGGACGGTGCAGCTTGGCATAATCCAAAAGGAACAGCTAGCGACATCTAGCTCTCGCGACGAAGGAAGCATGGGATGAAACTTACTATAGGAAGAGAATGCAGCTTACACCTGCAGGGGCCAACCGAGACAAGGGTAGGCTATATGCATATAACTACACAAGTACACGTAAAGATTGTGTACTTGTGTACATACAGCTGTATGTAAGCATATACACATGTGAAAGCCTTTGAGTACATACATACATAGACAGAGGTGTATATACACCTACATACGTCCACAGATGTACACACACATTTGTCTATTCATGCATTCATGTAACCGTGTATGGGTTCGGTTAGTTATCCGTACATATACATATATGTATGTATGTACATAAATATACATATATATATATAGATACATATATATATATATATATATGTGTGTGTGTGTGCATATTGTGGGGGGATGCACATGAAGTTGCATGTGCTCGCTTCCTTCTCGCTCCGCCTCTGTCATGCCAGGTGACTCAATGACCCTCAAAAATGGAGGCTGGGACGGCACCCTTGGGCCCCGCAAGCCGTGGGCACCTGGACTATGACGAGGCTAGTGGGCCTATGAGATTTAGGTCTCGTCTCACTTGGAGAGCTCTTTGAGCTCTTTGGGAACCGGGCAGGGCTTGAACTTCTCGCCGGCACCGAAAGTGAAGTTGCAAGCAGCCTTCCCGGCCACGCGGCCGAAGACCACGCAGTCTAAGAGGGAGTTGCCTCCCAGGCGGTTGTTGCCGTGGATGCCGCCTGCTGCCTCCCCGGCCACGTAGAGGCCAGGGATGGGCTTGCCTGTCTTCTTGTCGATGCACTCGGCGTCGACGGTGCACTCCAAGCCACCCATGCCTCATGAGCTTGAAGGCAGGAAAACGCTGAAGCTTCCATTGCTTGCTAGTATTGTGTTTATTGAGCTCAACTAGGACTCCATTAAAACTATAAAACTATGCATGCATGCATGCATGCATGCATGCATTGGGCACCAAGTTTACACTAGCCGCCACTTAATCAATCACCAGCTGCAGTAGTGGATCACGGGGGTGATGATGGCCACGTAGAATGGCTCGGTCGACACTTTGGAGCCGTCGATGATGTTGTGGAAGAACTTCTTGCCGCTGCCGGTCTTGCCACTGGGTTCGTCCCAAGTCTTGCCCGATGGGTAGGCTGGGAAAGGGCCGCCATCAGGGTCCTCAAGAGATGATGATGTGCTGGAAGCGGCGAGAAAACAATAACAATAACAATAGTAGTAATACTGTAATACTACCAGAAACTAGGTTGATAATGATAGTGCCTCGTAGTAATAACAACAACAATAACAGTAACAATGGTAGTAGCAATAGTTTGTAGTAAATATGAACAGGGGCAATAATATCAGCATCGAAAAACATAACTGATAGCAATAGCAATGACAACGGCAATGCCAATGACAATACCAATAACACTAGGAATAGTAGTCAGAACAATACTAACAATAAACACAGTCTCTTTGTTGCTAGTGTTACGAGTAGCAGCAATCAAAAATGACAAACGATGATAAACAGATCATAGTGTAATAAAAATACCAATAATGAATACTAGCTGTTTATGAGAAAAACAGAACAGGGTTATGACGCTTGGGCAAGCAGCCACGGCTGACGATCAAGAGGTTATTCGGTATTCTGTTGAGACGCTATAGCCATTAGCTGCAGTCCGAAACCAATTAATCGAAAAACAACCCCGGATAGGATTCTATGTAGACGACAGGGAGACAGAAGCGAGCCGCGCTCCTTCTCCTGCTTCTTGGCAGCCTCGAAGTGCTTCTGGTGCGCATCGACGAGCTTCTGCAAGGGAACGCCCATGTCCTTGGCCAGGTCCTCACCTGTCGGGTAGAACTTCATGACGCCTCGGCCGGTGTAGTGCTTAGCATGCCAGATGATCTCCTGAGTTGTCCTTTAAGCCCTTTGAATCTTCTTCCTATTATGGTATTCTAGAAAATTTTAGGGGAATTTGAAAAAGATCCCAAAGGACAACCCAGTCTCGTCAGCTGCCGCCTTGTTAAGGCAGAGGCGGAAGGGCGGCTTGTTCTTCCACATCTCGCCCGTGACATAGTCGCGGCGGCCCAACTCGTTGCAGAAGCGGTCGCCGTTCGCATCCAAGACAATGCCGCCCACACCACGCAGGGCCTCTGCCGCAAGGAACTTGACTTTGGCATCTGGGTCATCCGGCTTCACGAGACCAGTCGGGTGCACCTGAACCCACTCCAAGTCGATGGTTGCAGCGCCGATGGCCTCGCCCATCTTGATGGCATCACCGGTGCAGTGCTCGCCGTTGGTGGTAGGAAGATGAAGCAGATCAGGCCTGTAGGTGGCCAGCAGCGAATCCGCGCCGAAGTCCGCGCCGAAGCCGCCGGATGCGAGGACCATGGGACCGAACTCTTTCACGACCTTACCGGCCTTCTTGTACTCACAACCTACGACGGCTGAGCCATTCTGGAGCAGCTTGAAGACCTCAGCCTTGGTGATGATGCGGGCGCGGTTGGTCTTCTCCGCCACCTTCTCCAGCATCTGGATCAGCGCATAGGTGATGGTCATACCGGGGAACCGCTCCTTCCCACGGTGTGTCCTGGGCTGAGAGTGACCACCCAGTCGGGCGACCAGGGACAAGTCCAAGTCAAACTTGTCCACGAGCCAATCCACATCGGCGGCGCTGTTGGCACACAAGACTTTGGCGAGCTCCGGCTTCTTGGCACCACCCTTGAGGGTGTCCGCGATGAAGATTTCCTGGGCTTTGCGGTGATAACCAGGGAGCAAAACGTACAAACATTGATTTCACATGTTTTGGTTCCTAGGAACACGTTAATAATAAAGTGTGGTATACTTCACAACCCAGTTTCCGCATTGTCCGGAATAGACTTGCCCTTCTGCGTCTTCGTGCCAGCACCGTTGATGCCACTAGTGGCCTTCGTGCTGTTGCCGCCGCAGAAGGAGGACTTGTCCAGCAGCAGACTGCGGCCACCCAACTCGATCACGGTGTTCGCGGCCGACATGCCGGCAAGGCCTCCGCCGACCACGATCACCTGGTTCGCAGGGAAGACGCACGCCATGGCGCTGACAAGTCCCGAAATACAGGCGATGTCCTGCCTTTCCGCGGCCCTCTGTGAGGCTACCCAAATGGCTACGGATTGGGGCACACTGTGACAGGCCCAACTTAATTAAGAGGCAGCGACGACATGCCAGTCTCGCAAAGAGGTACTCTCATGCCAGCATCAACCAAGGAGCTGACGATGCCCACAAAGCTTGCTGAAGCAATTTCTCATGGTGCAAGTAAACGTTGCAGCAATGCTAGAAAGGGCATGTGATGCCAGTTCAGCCAGGCTGCCAACGCTTGAGATGAGGTATCCAAGCGCGGTGGACATGAACCTTTTGGATTGTCACAGAGCTTCTCACTTTTGCCGAGCCCCACTAGCAGAGCACCTAGACTCCATATTTTTAAGAGAACCCACCTCGCAGCTATCAGTGCCACTTGTGTCATGACATGGCCCCGACAGAGAATACTCCTGAGTTGGTGATGCGGGCAAGCGGCTTCAGAGTTTCATTTACGTTAGTAGTTGCCATGCACATACTACAGAATACTATATAGCATACCATAAGAAGTATACTACCACAACACATCATTGATTTGTCATTAACTATCCATGATAAACTATTGCAGTACTATCCTAATACACTATTCTGATGTGCCGCATGCTATCATATTATACTCATCAGTCTGGTGCTAAGTAGACTATGGGGGGGAATGGGTTATAGGGACTACTACTGGGGATCCATTCCCCCATTCCCTACGCAGAACCAGACAGTATCGTACTCATATGGGTGGTTGTCAGAATTATGCTCCCTTTTTGGGTCCTTAATACGATACGGCACCTAATATTTAGGGTACCCAAAAAGGGGCCATACTTTTGACAACCACCCATATAGCATAGTTTGCACCAAGGCGGGGTCTCAGGGTTGGACGGCCAGGCGTAGGACTTTGCAGCACTTCGCTTTGACCCTGCTTAGGGCTGCGGGTCTTTCGGATGTAGGGGTTAAGGGTTTAGGGTTTAAGGGTTTAGGGGTTTAGTGTTTAGGTGAGGGGGGCATTCCACATGGCCAACATCATGCCACCGAAAAGCATGTAGACGTTCGCAATATCAGTCTCCAGTCGGGCAGCCACGCCTTCACAGGCTCGTTGATGGCTTGAGGTTACTGCGTATTTCAACTCGAAACCCCAAACCCAAAACCGCGAACTCCAAACCCCAAAACCCCACACCTTACACCTTATGAGCTCCGATCCACAAACCCCAAGCCCTTTTCCGAAAAGATTTTTGAACTTTGGACTCTGGACTCTGCGGTTGTCTTCAATATCGAGGATGTTGAGCCTTTCTAGGCCCCAGGAGGATCCCAGAGGTCACCCATCCCTAAGCACCATCACATAAAATCCCACCAAACCCATGAGGGCTCCTTCTAAGGGTTCCTTTAAGGTCTTGTCTTTGCTTTTTGCTTTTTAAAAGGGGTCTGTCAAAGGCGCCCGGAGAAGCACACGGGGAGGAGGAAGTTTGGACGCCTGCTGGCTCATGCTCGTCGTACCAGCTCACGTCCAAGCAGAACAGGACCTTCAAGTGTCTTGGATCTTTATGATTGGGGTGTTTCAGGTGTTGAGGGGTCCTGGGCTCTCTTCGCTACCGTGGTCTTGTTCAAACCGTCTTGATGGGGTCTTGGATGTGACTTTTGTGGCGGTATGTTTGGTTTCTGTTTGTCTAAACAGAATTATGTCGTAGGCCCTCTCAGCTTGACGGACCGGGTTGCAAAGGTTAGAGTTTACCTATAGTCTCCATTGTAATTCCTTTCTTTGGTTTAACCAATCATATATTTAGGATCCTAAAAGGTAACCCCAAAAAGGAACTACAATGGAGACTATAGGTAGGGTAGCTTTCCGGCAGGTTGTAACTTAGCTTTCGGGTAGGCGAGTGTACGAAGCTAACACCCGCTTCTTGTACAAAGCCCTACTCGTACGACGTGTGTACACATCTTTACATACACGTATCTCGCTCTATGCTTGTAGATAGATAGATAAGTATATAGATAGGTCGGTAGATAGATCTATCGACAAGTAGATAGATAGATACTTATGTAGACATCACATCCATTGTATACAATTGCCATCCATAGCCTTCTCACACATGCTACCCACCGATACAGGGACTACGCGGCAGCAATGCTGTTGCCTTTGCTCCACCTGCCCGAAACCCTAAGCCCCAAACCTCAAACCATCGAGAGATGCCTCTTTGAGAGAGCAGCCACTCGGGGGGACTTGGGCCGATCAGAGGAGCAATGCAGCAGCCGACGCTCGATATTGTGTAACAGCCATATTCCAAAAACCAGAGAGGGAGAGACAGAAAGGGAGAGAGAGATAGGGAGACAGTGATGGAGCGAGAGACACAAATCGTCATGGTTATGGCTCATAAAGATATACAGCCCTACGTGACACAAAACCCGATCTTCCGGGGTCTTATAATTGTTTCAAGGGTTTGGTAGGGCTCAAGCGCCTTCCGAAAACTATGAAACCCTTATAAAAAACCTAAAACCCCAGAAGTAAGCCCACAGAGCCCTAGAATGGAACCTCACACCTCCTAGACCCGTGTAGCCTCCAGAAAGCTTCGATGCCATCGAAGGGCCTGGGACCCCAAGACTTAGGGTTTAGGGTTTCAGGGTTTAGGGTTTAGGGTTTAGGGTCTATAGGTGTTTCAGGGATTAGGGTTCAAAGGAGCTTAGGGTTTAGGGGTTTAGGGTTTAGAGTTTTTTTCCCTCTCGCATGGCTGGATGGCTATGTCCGCTCGCGAGGTCTGGCATTTGGTGGACAGGTGCCATGCAGAAAACTGTCTCCTTAGAGTTTAGGGTTTCGGGGTTCCGGGTTCAAATATTTTTGGTCAGCGTGCAGAGCTTAAAGTTTAGGGTTTCAGGGGTTGGGATTCAAGGTTTACAGCCTTTAGGAGAGGGCTGAGGGTTTAGGGCTAGGGCTTCGTCTCTCACTCTCGCACAAGCAGGGCTTCAGGGTGTGGGGTTTGTGTCAAGGCTTCAGGGTTTGGGGTTTGTGACCAAATGCTTGCAATCCGGAGATTCGATATAGAACTTTTTGACTGCGACTGTAGGTGTTGTTTCTCCGAACAGAACCATCAGGAATAGTCGTCCCGTTGAATATGTTCGCCCTTCTAGTGGTCACAGGGTCAGAGCTTTGGGGTCTGTTGCCCCCCCTGATGGTCCGGCCTGCGATGTTTCTTCGAGGTTCGCCGTTGCCCCTTATGTATGCGGAAGCCCTGAACATTCAAACAAAGCTTCCCCATCGGCTCACACTTCATTGGGAAACCGCCCACACACACACACACCTTTCCAGCTGAAGCTTAAGTCAAGCTTCATTGAGGAATTCTAGGTGCAGTAAAAGATCATCGGCCGGCTAATTTATAAAAGAAAAAGATGGTAGCATGTTGGCTTCGAGAGGATTTGGCCTGGACTCTGTAAGCCCTCGAAACCGAAAGCCCGGGCAGCTTCACCCGGAAGACCTATGTATAGCCTTACATTAGGATCCATAATACCCGTTTTGGGATATAGTGTATGCTATAGTAATCGTAATGTCCACAATGAAGATCTGTCGGGATATGATAATGTACTGTAAGAAAGATGACACCCCAAAATAGTATACTGTTAATTATGTCGGTCCATATACTACGCTCCGCATCTGTGCACGGATCGAGAGTATGGTCACATAGCAGAATTCGGTTCTGATTCCTTTACAATTCTAGAGCATAATCCCTTACAACTACAGATCCACGGCAGGACGTCCGGAGCTTCCGGTCATGGCATCATCTGTATGCCTATTATCTGCACGGGGAGATGAATGTCTGCTCTGACACATGAATACATCTATAAACAAAACAGCTAGCAAAGCTGCACGTTCACAAACCCTAAGGCAACCTTCAACCCCGAACCTTACTAACCACGCCGTCCGAAAGAGTAAAGCCTACAACTGATTTCACCACTCCAAGACAGTTACCCTAAATCCCGAAAGTGTCGTGGCCTGCTTCGCGGCAGACCAGGCAAGGCAGGTTTGCCAGCCAAAAGCGAAGAGAAACTGTATGGCAGCAAGGACACCTTCGACTCTCCGTGTTTACAGTGGTTTTGTTTACAGAGTTCTACAGAGGTTAAAAAGGGCTGCATGAGGGATTTAGCTTTGTGAGTTCTATCATCTTTCAATCTTCTATCATATAGACGGTTGACAGGGTACAGATTTGCTATGGATGCTGTACGGGGGCTCATGGAATGAGGGCTAAGGTACTTGTGTTGGCGACGATGTTCTTCAGAGCTTCGCAATTACCCTGTTCAGGGAGTTAGATTTGGGTGGTTCACGGTTCAACTCTTTGGAGTTATAGAGTCTAGCAGGTTGGGTTTGAGTGCCTAGCGAGTTGTGTGGGGGCTTCAGAGCCCCGGGCTTGAGGCTTCTGACGTGTTTGTCCGGTGCATTAAGTCTCGTGGTAGTCCGGTTTCAACCTGGGCTTGGGTTGTGGAGAAACTCTAAGTGGATATAGCGGCCTACTGTTGCTACCCACGTAGCTGACTGCACCCCGCTGCAGAGAAAATAGTATGGAAGGGAACAAGCGCCTGGGATTCAGGAGGGAAAACAGAGCAAAGAAGCAACCCCTAGATAGCCGGTACGGAAGGGACACCCTCCGAAACCTGCAGCACAGGTCTACCGCATCGATTCTCCGGTTGGCCGACTCGACGGAAGGAACCCACAAGAGCACTTAAACCCGCTGGATAGTGCCTGAAACTACTATAGCGTAAGCCCTCATCCTAAACCGTGAAGACTCCTGAGCCCTCATATATGAACGGCTAAGCTGACTCTAATTCTGCCAAACAGTCTGCATGTTGAAGCTATGCAACCCTTGCGAGGACCTGCTGAAGTTAAGCATAACCCCGAAAAGTAAGAGGTTTGGTCGGCGTGGCCGTCTTAGATGGCTATGAGGGCGGGGGATGGAAAGAATGAAGAGTGTGCTAAGCCTTCCACAATCAGGTCTTGACAGGCGCTTGATACGGTGGTATTGCAAGATGCTTTCGCGCAAGGGCCGTTCATTCCACGGCCAACCCTAAACCCGACTCAAGGGGATGCTAGTATAGAGGGCTGAAGGTTTCGAGTTGGCGGCCATTTCGGGATGCGTCAGGATTTATATTACCTTACTTATCGGGTTTAGCCTTCTGGGCAACGTCACAGAATTAAGTCTCAGGCTTAACATGCATAAAGCTGCTGAAAGTTCGGCTAGGATTTATGTGAGAGCCGAAGTTCAAGACGTCAAGGCAAGGCACCCTTAGGTTAGGGGGGGTAAGAGGGAGGGGCGGTAGGTAGGGGGCCTTGATCGCCCTAATAATAAGGATTGATACGGCTCTAGTCAGGCCTTTTCAAGGAAGCAAAGGAACCCTACCGCCCTCCCCACCACCCCCCTACTAAGGGTCCCTATGATCAAGGCAAGGCACCGATCTTCATGAAAACCCTAAACCCTAAACCCTACTACGGTTCCCTATGATCAAGGCAAGGAACCGATCTTGATGATATGGTCTGGTCATGGTAACAGTAACCCTGCACTGGTTTCCATGCTCAAGGGTATCCTTCAGCATGATGACAACAGTGTCCTTCTGCCATCAAATGACCTCCTTGACAACAACCCAGATCTCGAGGCCTCTGCTCTTCAGGCTTTGAACGATTGTGCCACTTTCAAAATCGCTGCAATTTTGCATGCAGACGATCCGGTGCTCCTTGGTTGCAGCAGGGGGGCCCTTCAACAAAGTCTCAACCTGCTTGCGTGCTGGGCTTTCCGCCACAAAGCTGCCTTCCACGTCGGTGAAAAGAAAACTGTAACCATGGTTACAGGGAAAAGTGCGGTGGAACTCCAGGCTGCTGAACCTTTAGTGCTCCCTGGACTAGGATTGCAGCCTGATCGGTCCTTGGGCTTCAAAACCAGCCACAAGTGGCTCGGCATCCTGTGGCCTTCGAACCTCCTGCTTGACTCGGCATTGACAGTACGGGTTGCCATTGCTCAGAAATCCTTTGCCATCTTGGTCGGGTTGGCTCAGCGTGATATTCTTCCCTTGCATCTCATCTGCTCCATCTTCTGGGCCAAGGTTTTCGCTTCTCTTTCTGTTGGCCTCTGGCTCAATGGAACAGCAGATTCGGCAAAGGAAGTGCTGGACGACCTTCTTGTCTCTTGGGCAAGACAGCTGTTGGGTGCCTCTTGTTGGCATAATGCCTCGCTTCTCCTTTCCGAATTAGGCTGGGATATCTCCGGCCACCTTCTTGCTGTGATGGCCATGGCCATGCGAAGAGCCCGGCTGTGGACGCTGCCTTCCGAGGACCTTTACGCTCAAGTTTTTCGGCTCGCTCATGCATGGCCAAACTCTTGGGCCTCTCGCAGCTCTGCAATTTTATCAAAGCTTCTTATTCTTGATTTCCCGGCTTGGCAGCATCAGGGTGGTAACCTTCAGCAGTATCGTTTGTACGTTCGGCAACGCTGTCGTGACTTGGGGCTGCCTAGCTGGAGAGAAGTGGCGCAGCGCCACGCCAGGCTGCCGATGTACTTGGAGGTGCAGCCTCAGCATAGTGACCTTCTGCATCTTATTCCCGCCCTAGCGCTGGGATGGGAGGACAGACAGGCTGTTCGGTCATTTTGCAGATTGCGTGCCGGCATCATTCGCCTCACGCATGTGGATGGCCACCTGAGCCGTGCTAGTATTCAGAACTGCATTTTTTGCAGCAGACGAATAAGGACGGGCCTCCCGCACGTCCTCTGCCGATGTCCCACCTTCCAAGGCTGGTGGCAGCAGTTGGCTACACTTCGGCGTCAAGAAGATCGGGAGCTTGTGTCCGAAGAAGCGAAGGCAATACTGGTTTGCCCTCCTTCTTCCTGCTTTTTCGTCTTGGTTCTAAGGTTTGCCAAGGACATCGACATCCGAGCCCGCTTGTTCTGGAATGGTGATGGATCATAGTCGTCCGCTGCTGTCTCCGCTCTGCATACCGAGATTCCGCAACAGTCAACCAAGAAAGTGCGTCTTGGTGCTCGCCGTAGCCCTTGCGCCCTCTTGTGTTGAGGGGCCGTTGCGATGTCTTGCTCTTTAGTATAAGTCGGCTGACTTGCCCCGAGTCGCCTGCCTGCAGAGCCTCCAGTGCTACTGCGGATGAGTTTGCACACACACACACACACACACACCCTGAACCCTAAACCGTACCCCCATACTAAAGGTCCCGATGATCAAGGCAAGGCACCAATCTTGATGAGGGTCGGGACCATGTCGTCCAGCATGTGTGCCTCTGGAAATCCCCTCAGACCCAGGCCGATGGTCTCAAACTTAGGGGCCTTATTCATATGAAGAATAGGGCTCCTTTATAGGATTCTATAAGGGATCTATAGTAGGCTTCTATATTAGGGGCCTCATAATAGTTAGAATAGGGTTTTGGGGGCCCATTCTACCATAATTCTAAAAACAGAACCGCCGCGACTAAGGAGGCCCCTATATTGACACTCCATTGCGGTTTACAGTGAGGCTTTTGGCTTCAGGATTGGAGTTGAGGGTGGTAGGGGGGCCTTAATGGTTCGAAGGGGGTTTCTGGGTTCCTATAGTGTAATGCAACATAGCACTGCTAATTGTAGGTAACATCTGGGGCTCAGAAGACCCAGTCTGAGATTGCAGCAAGTGCGCCTCGTCCCCATCTTTCACTCCTGTCAGCGTGGTGATGCTGTCCTTGTCGGCGAGTTGGGAGCTTCTAATTACACGGTTTCCACGCTCACACTCGGACAATCCAGGCGAGGCATGTGGTTTACACGGTTTAGGCTGTGGGATTTAATCTGAGGCTTTCAACAGCTCGCATGTTCAAGCCTTATCCGAGACACTCGACAAACACAATGTTGCATGAATGTGGCTCCATCGCTCTGCCTCAGACGCACAACCCTCAAGAGCGTAAGCAGCAATCCCCTATACCCTGAACCGTGTCTATCTTGGACAGTTTGGGGGGCTGACCTGCAGCAGGATACAGTAAGGCTTGCGCTGGGCCCTAAACCCGAAACCACAATGCCCCCAACCAGAAGCCCCTGCACACATGATCTGCTCAACCCCTGAGGCCTTGAATCCTGAACCCCCAAAAACGCGAAAGCCGTGAGGAACGGCCGGGCCAAATTGGCCAAGATTCCGGGGAACGCTCACGTGGATGGTTTTTAGGAGCTTAGAGTTTGTGGTTTAGGGATTCGGGATGTCACACACAGACGCGTACATGGAGAGAGAGAGAGAGAGAGAGAGAGAGAGAGAGAGAGCGAGAGAGAGAGAGAGAGAGAGAGAGAAATCTGCACACTCCCGACATGCCTGTAGGACATCCTAGAACTCTACTGCAGCCGTAGACCCTAAAGCCCAAAGCAAGTGGGCCCATGGACCCTAAGGCATGTAAACCCTCTTTTGAGCGGGGTCGCTCTGAGGTATGTAGGCCCTGAACCCGGAACTGAGGCGCCTTCATAATTGGAACAGGGTGTTGGGGCTTCCTCGTTTTTTAAGAAATAGTATATTAACATACCGCCAAGCCACCTTTTGGTTATTGAAGCTCCTACATTATTAAAGCCTCCTGTCAGGGAGGGTCGAACCGCCAAGGAACGGCCGTGAACATGGCAATGGCGGGTGTGGAGACTCCCTCTGCGATGTGGGTGTTTTTGGTTTAGGGGTTCAGGGTTTCACTGTTGGGAGTTTACAGGCTGAAGAGTGGCTTTTGACGTTAGGCCCACATGTGCCCGAGTTGTTCGGGGTTCAGGGGTAGGGTTTGAGGCTGCGGGGCTTTCAAACCCTAAGCCCTGCAGCCTCGAGACCTCATTTCATGTAGGTAGACCCCCTGCGGCCAGTTTTCAGCTGGCATGGCTCATACACGAATAATTGTAGGGCCACTGGAAACGCGTGATCTCTTCTAGGCATCATGATCAGAATCCTACGGTCAAGAGTCGTCGGGACGAAGGGGAAGTCAACCTTCGGTCTACGCAATACAGCTTAAGCCCGCGCTTCTGTCTCTGGGTCAGGGACCTTAGCCACACCCAGACACACAAAGCTGCAGAACCCGCAGAAAGCGAATCTACCAGCCGCTAGGTGATACCCTCCAAAGACCTACACAGTCTGAAAGCCTGCTTTGCCTGCACTACTCACTTCTCTTTTATGTCACACATCTTTTTGTTTGGTCACTCTCTCGTGATACGGTAGAACCGTAATTAAGTGGCCCGACAACACAGTACGCCAGCAAGGTTTTGGGCAGCGTAATGAATGACGGACCACTTTTGAAGAACCCTAAACCCTGAACCAAAGATCCTGAACCCTAGATAGCCCAAATCCTGAACAAGACCCTGAATCCTAGAATCCCTGTCCTCAACCTAAAGCCCTATAACCCTGAAAGCCCTCAGGGGCCTGTGCCAGAGCGAAGAAGACACCAACGCCCAAAACGACCTTCTCGCAGCTCTTCCTCGGAATCACCAAAGCGCTAAAATAGGTATAGGGACTTTATTGGCTTACTTCTCCAGTATCCTGGAGCCCCAGGGCAACTAAAAGTTAAAATTAGGGGTTAGATAGGGATTATCGTACCGCAAAACGTCAAAGGTCAGCTGCTCGACGACTAAGTTGAGCTTTGGCGGATTGGAGGACGGTGCAGGGATCGTGGAAAGTGTCGTGCCGCCACCTGCCTCAAGGACCAGTGCCGCACTGCGGGTACATATCCAAATGAATGCAAGGTCACACGACAAGTGGCAAAGGCCGGCTGTCATTCTGTCTCTCACTCTCGACCTGTTTATCTCACTGTTTTCTGTCTTGTGGAAGATAATTTCTGCTCCCCTGAAACTCTCTCTCTCTCTCTCTCTCTCTCTTTCGCTCTCTCTTTCTCTCTCGGGCACGGCCACCGGTCAGCCGAGTGGCATGCTCGCACAAGAAATCCGTCTTTTTTTGCATCGAAGCAAACCCTGTCTTCAACATGGAACTCGGGAAAGGTAATGAACAAATGTCTGAACACTAACGTCCAAGCCCAAGCCCAAAGCCTGGCCTCTACCCTCAATCCTATGAACTCCCAACCTCTTTTGAGCAGGGCTGCAATGCACTAAGCACTATAAGCCCTAAACCCTTTTTCAGCACGGGCTTTGGGTACCCTAACTCCTAACCTCAACCTCAAATCCTCACCCCACATGGATGCCATTACGAAACCTGTCGCAGAGGGCAAGCGACAAGTTCGTCAGGAGGCTGGCGTTCCTTGGCAGTCCGAAACAGATCCCTCCAGCCTAAACCTTTTCGATTTGGGTAGTTGTCAAAGTTAGGATCCCTTTTTGGGTACCTTAAACATTAGGTGCCGTGTGAGAATGTAAGGACCCAAAAAGGGTTTCCTAATTTTGACAACCACCTATTTGTTTCTTTTCTTGTTGTTTTTGGGTGTGGGGGTAGCAGGGCTTCAGTTTGGAGTTTAGGGCTTTGGTAGACGGATTTCGGGAGTTTGTGCCGCCAGCTGACGAGGGAAGACGCCGGTGAGAGAGGAAAAATGACTCGAGAAACCGGCATAGTGTCCATGGGCTGTGGAAGTCAAGGTCTGTAGCCTCCAAAGCCGAAGTGCGGATCCCTGAGCCTGTACTGTCTTGCAATTCAACTTGAAGACCAAAACCCCTTGGGCCCTAAACCCCGAACCCGAAGGACGTACACCCTAAACAGAAAAAACAACTGCAGTCCCGAGCCCTACACCGGCCAGACACCCGAAGTTCTCAAGAGCCCTGCGTTTCGAACTAGACAAGTGGCTCGTCGCGCTTCTCCTTCGCCGTGAGGGCCTTGGCCTGAGATCAGGAGTTCTTGACGAGGTTTCATCGGGGTTTAGGGCTTTACCGCTTTAGGGCTTTTAGGGTTTGGGGTTTTAGGGTATAGGGTCTTCGGTTTAGGGTATGGGGGTCTCTACCAGTCTCCCTCATGAGAAACGGCCGTCTCAGAATCTCGCACTTCGAACATGAAGTTGCACAAATGGGTCGTAAGCGGTCTCTTACTGGAGAAGTCGATTCAAGATCCTGAACGATTGGATGGTCAGGAGAAATGTAGACGCCACATACTTCACTTACTTTTTACGGCGCTGCGGCCCCTGACACCTATGTTACAGCAAGGACCCTTGAACAGAAGAGCAGTCTTGATGCGCCCCCCCAAAAGCCTGAAATGCAAGAAAAAAGCGTGGTTGTTTTTTTGCAGGCTTAGACTGTTGCGAGGCTTGGGGCTCAAAGCTTTTGCGAGTCAAGATTCAGGGTTTTGGCTAAAGGGTTCTATAAGCTTGGGAGTAGGATTGAAGGGACTCTTTGCTCGGCTACGGCTCAGAAGGCTTATGAGCCGAAGAAGAGCTACGGGTGGAAGTACTAAGTACTTCTGACCTCACGTGGGGCTCCAGTTACCTAACTAATAAGTTTATGCATGGGGTACAGAATACGTGGTTACCAACCTATAGCTTTTAGGTAACTAGAGGTCTAGGCGGTCACTTAGATACCGTGATGAAGGCATAGCGCATCCCACGCGAAACCTAATTCGGCATCTCAGCCTGCAAGCCTCAACATCAACATCGTCTTATTGAAACCTGTAATTAATATAGATAGACAGCCTTGGCCCTCAAGCAGATAGACTTCCCCTGGCACCACAATGGAGTCCATGGGGGCTCTCGTCTGTAGTTGCAGTGTCACGTGCTGATGCAGTGTGCGCAAACAACTACCGGAAAGCAGCATCGCTGAGCCCGACGCCGACACTCTAAACGCCTAAACCCTATAGCCATATACCGTCCCAGAAATGCCAGCACAGCAGCATCCACTTCGACCTTACCCGCTTCGACATCCGCCTCCGCCTTAGTCCATCATGGGTATTCGGGGCATTGTTTGGACGTTGTGCCTCCCAGTTTCGGGTTTAGGGCTCCCGGTTCACAAGCTGGTAACAACTTATGTATAATATATATATATATATATATATGGCACCCATATGCTTCGGGCAAGCACGCAACAATGACAACTTCACAACCTACGAACAGAAAAATACTGCAATAATCGAGGTGCGTGTTTCACGCGGTGATAGGCCTATTCTAATATGAGAACACAAGGACGATTGTGGAGATGCGATGGCTGGCCCTGGCTTGTGCATTATATGATTCTCACAAGAGAGCCTGGAACTCTTGTCAGCGGATGTCCCGCAAGAAGAGCAGAACAAGAGTATTTCACAGCAATCTCGACCAACGATGTTGGCATCTCTGTCCCTATGAAGCTTCAGCACAAAACCCTTGCTGAGGAGCGCTGCAGGCATGCCCTCGCTCTGTGACGATAGCCCGCTTGACTTATTCCTTAAATTTGGCAGCCCTCTATTCAGCTTCAGGCACGCTGGTAGGTTCACAAAGCAAGGGACAGAAAAATCGACCCTAGGTAATAAGTTGTTGCCACGGAGATATTTGAAAACCACAGGCACTAATTTCACGGCCTGACGTCCGGAACAACAGGTCGTTCTCACAAAAAGAACAGCAGTAACAGCACAGCTTTGTAGCTCCCATTTCTGTACTACTCGTGCAACCCCCAAAAGCGGGTTCTGGAACCGAGCTCTCGAATTTCATTGGTAGCTCCGTTTGGGGCAGTGGCCGGCTTTCGTCCCAGGAGGACCGGCAGCACCTTCAAAAGGGCTTCTCAAAATTTGCTGGCGCTTGTTAGGGCCTTAGTTCTGTCTATAAATTCAGCCGCTCGGGCTGGATCCTCTTCACCAAGGGCCAAGGTTGTCTTTGCGCATGGCATTGGCTGTTTCAGTTTGTCTTTGTCTGTTGCCGGTTCGGCCAAGCAGGCTTACCTGATTGTTCCGGAAGGACGTTGCCCTGTCACCCAAGACAATAACCTACATCCTCGACCCCTTTTGGGCTTGCGGGCTCTAAGGTCCATGCCACATATCAAACACGCAAGGCAATCATCTTTGACCCTTTTCAATGTCAGCATGCGAAAAGGCTAAACCCCAAACCGTATCAGACTAAACCATCCTAAACTTGCTGCCGCTCGGCATCTATCACAAACCGAATGCCTGGCAGCCTTCAGACGCCACCATAAGCCCCAAACACCAAAAGCCAGGATGACACTTTGGATCCCAAGCTCCAGGTGCATAATATATGGGCCTTAATAACTAGAATAGGGGTTTGGGGTCCATTACACTATAAGTGTAATAAAGAACCCCCAAAATAGTATTGGTAATCATTAAGGCCACTAGATTAGGTGCTCTGACAATCAGCAATCTGATACAAGTATTTGGGTTGGCACTATACTGGCGCCCCTGATTTTTTAACTCCCATAATTGTGCAAGTTGGGTATTGAGGGTCCCGAACCCAGCACCCTCTGAAGATCCTCAGTCCAAAAGCTTTCAGCCTCGACTCGTCCTGAAACCTCTAAGACCAAAACCCTTCGTTGAGAAGAGTTTAGGGTCGAGGAATCCCCCAGAACCCTAGACCCTAAATCCGAAGACTCGAACTCGGAACCGACACCCCCCCCCCCCCCAAGTCGTAAACCCGCGTCACCAAAACTAAACCCAATACCCCGTTCTCCCCTCCTGCTCAGTGGAGGCAGACTCTTGCATCGGCGCGCTTACGGCAGCCATTTTGGGAAGCCTGGGCTGGTCTTAGAAGCCGTGCGGGTAGCCGAACAAACCTACCTTTTTCGGATTCCTGTATGGGCTATAAGTTCTAGGGCTCAATGAAAGGGGGTTGCGTAGGGTTTAAGGCTTAGGGTCTAGGGTGTAAGGTTCTGGAAGGATGACCTCGGCTGTAGAAACTGGGGTATAGAATATAGGGTTGGGAATTGCGGTCTAGCGGTCCAGTGCTTGTCAGTCTTGCAGCATTGCCCGACGTCAACTTGAAACCGTGAATCGCAAGCGTCTGTGGGCGTCCGAGACTATTTCAGCTTCCTACAAGTCTTAATGGGCTTTTCGATCCAGCTTCTCTCACACTCGGACTTGAATTTGTTCACGGTTCTGTAGCCGTTACTGTATATAGCCCCAAACCCTACGAACAGTTCTCACCCCGGATTAAAGCAATACCCCCAACCCTAAACCATATGGGCCCTAGCCGCAACCCTTGAAACACGAGTCTAGCGGATCCACAGGTTTAACTTCGGATGTAGGATAGAGAAACAGGCGGCGAAAGCTGTGACACGGCCTGTAGGCAAGCGTCAGGAAACTCATTCGGGTTTAGGGTTTAGGGTTTCGGCGCTCACACTCGGACAATCCAGGCGAGGCATATGGTCTCGGAGTCTGACAATGTGAAACAAGCTAAAGGGCCAGTCAAAGGATTGCTCAAAACAGCCGAATATAAACACATAAAGTAACTGTACCTGGGAAGACTGCGCCCTTACCTGAGATCCTACCGACTGAAAGCACCTAAGGACATGCACGATATCAGGCAATCATAGCAGCAGATCACTATCAAAGGGCTCAGGCAGGAGTAAGCATACACTGAAAGTCATAATGGTCACAACAGACATAATAGGATACAGGACCAGGACGATCCGGGTACATAAGGGTTTAGGGTTTAGGGTGTCGCTGGGCTTCCGGGCTCAGGGTTTAGGGAGTGGGAGTAGGGTTTTGTGGGTCTGGACAGTGAGGGTTTGTTTCAGGGTGTAGAAAGGAGTTTGGCTTATGCTGCTTAGGGCTTGGGGACTTAAGGGTTCTAGGCTCTATCTCTGCACATGAACTCTTCGTGGCTGTTCCAAGTCCTTCGATCTGGCAGTATACGAATGAAAGGGCCCGGTCCCGGTTTGCTGTCGGCAGAGGCCTGTCAAACTTGGGGCCCACTGGAACTTGAGACCTGTAAGCCCACGGTCCGAAACACCTCTGAACCCTAAACTCACGTACTTTTTTCTCTTACGGCGTTGGGGGGATATGGGCCCCACAGCCTCGAACCACTTGCGTTGCAGCTGAGGTGCTTTGGGATGATAACACAGTTTGAGGCTTGCAGTTTTTGGATTCTTCCAGCAGCGACGGAGCCGATAGACCAGTCGGATAGGCAGAAAGGGATCTGGGAGTTTCCGAAAATAGGGGACCCTAATATAGTACCCTGATGAATAATAGGATCCTTAATATAAGGACCCCAAAATAAGGTACCCCTAATTTTCGGAAGCTCCCATCTAGTTTGGGGCTTTGGGGAACGGCTTTCTTCGACCAGGGCTCGCTCTTGTGGTGTTCAGGCTTTTGTCTCGGGCTTGCCTGCACCCCCCTTAGAAGAATAACAACTTCCTCTAGCAGTAACTCTCTTTATAGGGTTCTGGGGTAGGATTGAACACTTGTTTTTGGGAGAATTAATAACGAAGATACAACTTGCAATGTTCTCTTGGGTTTGATATGAACAAACCATTAAGTTAAAGCCTCGTGTGTAACACTATGAGGCTGCCCGGGCTCTACTAGCAACATAGTTGAGAAGGCCAGCGGGAAAGGACTAGCCCGATGCGAAGTGAACGCAAATCCTAAAGCTTTCACCCCTAAACTCTGAACCCTAAACTCTAGACCATCCTAAACACCAAACTCTACAGCAATCCTAAAAGACCCCAAGGCTGCACTATGGAACAAGGGGGAAAGTTTCAGGGTGGAGGGAGTTGGCACTGCCGGGCTCACAAGTGTGGCATCTAGTAGAGGGTCATAGTCTTTGGTACTCCAATCTGAGTTACCTGAATACAACCCCAAGTACTTCGAAGAAGATCCTGCACTAAGGGATACATTGAACCCCATACAACCCGTTTTTCATGCCCAAGCAAGTAAAAAAGCTCAGAACCTAGCCTTTAGGATGTTATACTGTCAGAAGGATGCCATGATTGAAAGCTACAGGTTGGGCATTGGAGCACTTAGGATAAGACCCAATACAGGCGTGTAAGGCTCTGTGAACCACGTGAGTAACCCTCAAAAAGTTGAAGGCTGGGTTGGGGCTTAGGGTTTAGGGTTCAGGCACATTCACTGACTGGCACAATCACGGTGGTTCAATCACCTTGGGTTCAGGGGC